ATTTTGACTATCTATTTAACTTGTCTAAAGTACTAAATTGTTCTAGAGAAATGTACAGAAAATTTTTTTTGATTTTATACTGAAACCTCAAGGGTGAAAATTTTCAAATGCGTCTGTAAGGAAATGGCACAAAGACGCTTCTACATCCTTTGCACCTATAATGTTCAGGGCAATGGCTATACCGCCCTATGGGAGTGCCAAACTCAAAAGTACGGTATGCGGCAACTTTTATGATAGGCAAAGTTGACATCAAACACGACAGCCAATAGGGTTACAAACCTAGTGTGCAAGAACACGGCTGCGAAAGAACAATCTACATGATGTAAATAGTAGTATGATGCTGTGGTAATAGATATTATGAAAACGATGGCTCAAGTATTTAACGCCTACGCCTTAGACGCCTGCTATTCAGTTGCTGTTGTTCAGATGTAAGCTTTTGAATTAACAGATCATTCCCATCTGGCTCTACTTGCCCATATTTAACCTGAGTTAGAGGTTCTTGTTCATCCGGATTAGTAACATCAGCTTCAATGTTCAGTTGAGCATCATGAAGATCTGCTGTGAGAGATTTTGGGGACGGATTACCTGACAATCGCCCATATTTGTGTTTCTTGTTTCCATTTCTAGGGGAAGGTAATGTCACCTTCACATTTTCGTCCCGCGGTCGCTTCTTTGGTGTCAAAGGTTCTGTGATAGTCTGCTGGCGCTCGGCGAACTCTGCTAGCGAGAACTCCTTACTATGGCCAACAGGTGCGTATAAACACCATGCGTAATCCATCACGCGGGGAATTTGCAAATCAGTCTTTCCAATAGAAAGTTGTAATGCTTCCCATAAAAAGGCTATGGACACTACTGGAATTTTCCATTGCTTAGCCGCATTTACTTTATTCTTCGTAGCTAGTGTCGAGACGGACGAAACACCCGACTTATATACTGGACAGCTAATGATATCATTGAATTTATACTCGAACAAAATAGGCGAATTCTTTACAAGCGACAGCTTAAAGACATTAATATTGACGACCAAAAGGTCTCGACTGCTTGTTAGAGTGTCACAATAGGTGAGTCCCATATATTTGACCAACTTTTCGACATGTAATAGTTCTATGCCAGTGAAACCACTAATACATACTTTAAACCTTCGAGCTGTTTTAACAATACCACTTAGTGGAAAGCACCAAGAGTCTAACACAATTCTGTTATAAAAGATTGATCTTTCAATGAACCATTCTGTCACCACTTTTAAAGAACCTTTCGTCACTCTCTCTTTAATAGATGGTGGGAGTATTCTCAACATATGCGACGACTGCAGTCCCTTTTCCGCAGGAATCGCTATATATGAAATATTTCGATGAGTAAGTTCTGAAGTAACTTCGCCATTATTGCTCTCAACTACCCTAGAGATCAATGAAACTTGCGCATCAGTAAATCCAACTAATAAAAAAGTTTGATTCAGGAACAACCCCTTTTTCACCTCATTGGTAGCTTCATGTGTTTCGTTTAATGTAGTTTTATCTTCTTCCTCTATTAGTTCTTCCCATGCTGAATCTTTTGTTAGAAAATTCGAGCGACCTTTGGCCTGACCCATAATGGAGTTCCAAATATCCGTTGTGTGGCGTAACTTAATTCGGGATTTGTCTATATTTTTATCTTCCTTAAAGTCTTGGTCCTTAGTTCCAATCAATTTGCTCCAAACATTACAGCCATTGAAACATTTTGAATCCAAGAAATAGTCATCAAAGCTTAATCCAGCTCCCCTCAAAATCGAGTCAAATATCCATATTGGATGGACTACTGGTATTCTCCATTCATTAGCTTTTAAAAATCGTTTACCTTTCTCTTCTGAGGTAACTATGCATGTATGTGATGTTGTTAAAGACTCCGTGATTTTGCCCCCTTCTTGAGTAATCAACTTTGCTAGGTTATTCAAGTCAAAGAAGGTCGCGTAATCAGAGAATTTTCTATGTTCTGCCTTGAAGAGATCTGAAAATCCATCCGTATCAAATCTCGAAAGACATATTGTCATGTCATCGAAAATGGGTAATCTGAAATTACTTATTACCACATCCTCTCCCCGTATCCACTTGTCGTACATTTCATGAATTGCATCCAGGCGAAGAAATTTGATGTCATGTCGATTTCGAATACAATACGTGTACTTATCCGTGTCTCTATTACCTACTAAAAGATAGTGAACATCACTCATTAAATCACTGTAATGTTTTCCGCCTAACCTTACTGTCTTTTCCGCGATTTCTTCTCTCTCCTTAGAGGGTATCCCAGTACAGCAGAATGCTAATCCCCTGAATGGCTTACCATCAGACATTGGCATGGAATATAAATCCAATATGTCTATTGATAAACATTCAAAAATAGGATCTGTAGATTATTTGTGCTATGCAGGCTTATTATTGAGTGTGAGATCGAGGTTTTGTCATCCAAAAGCTGCTGCTCATTGCGAAAATAGGTAGAAGATCATTTGGAGCTTGCTACTAGATCTTGGTTCTGCCAAGTGTAATTCCTTGACTTTTTAGGCTTTCAAATATGGCAATAACTAGATCGACGAGTCTTTTGACCACAGCGAAAAGTATATCAAATGCATCGAACAGTCTCAAGATAGAAGTTAAAAAGGTTACGAAGACGACGAAAAAGCCAAAAAACATATCTCCAAAGAAACCCAAAGTTCATCTTGAAGACATTTTGGGTCACATAAAAGTGCCTAAAGATTCTAGCCTTCCACAGGAATTTGTTCAGTTTCATCGACCAGAGTTTATTAAAGGAGTAAAGTATATTCTTGAAAAAGATCCATCATTATATCCAGTGATAGTGCATAGAAATTTTGTTCAATTTAAAGAGGAGAGCTCCCGTTTCCCTAAAGAATCTGAGTCAGAAACAATATTAAAGTACTGGTATGCGTTGGTTTCTTCTGTTATCAGTCAGCAGATCAGTGGATCAGCCGCAAAGTCCATTGAACAAAAATTCAGAAACTTATTTGAGAGTGGAAAAGTTAATCCAAAAGAGACATTGAAGAAGTCTGCTGAGGATTTAAGAAGTGCTGGGTTATCAAACCAAAAAGCTAAATATATTTTTCATATCAGTGAAGTGTTTTGTGATCCTAACTCTAGATTATCAAAACCGAGTTTCTATAATGAGAGCCTGTTAGATGAGGTAATTAAGGAGTTGATGCTTCTTAAAGGGATTGGTGAATGGTCTGCAAAGATGTTTGCAATTTTCACTTTAAATGAGATGGATGTGTTTGCTCACGATGACTTAGGAGTCGCCAGAGGAATGTCGCGATATATATTAAGAAGGAAAGATGTATTGGAAAGCGCAAAGATAGAATTGAACAAAATTGACGAAATTAAAATTTTATTAAAAAAGAAATCTAAATTTGACAACACTAAAGGTAATAAAAGAGACTGGGTACCTCTTCATGATGAATATGTGAAATACATTGGATCTAAATTCAGTCCTTATCAAACTGTATTAATGTTGATCATGTGGAGGCTATCACTGACTAATGTTGAAGTTTTAGAGAACTCGGGAACAACAAGAAATATTAATAATGGCGACCAAAATTAGCAAGGGGATAGTAGGTTTATTCAACAGTAGTGCTTCTCCGCGATATACTTCTCCACCGATCTCAATATTTTTGGCCGCCTCTTTTTGGCGGTCTTTAATCTTTTTTAGTTCTCTATCAATTTCATCGAGCCCATAGTCCAATTCGTTAAAAATAATAAAATCAAGTGATTCTTTTTCGAAACCTTGCTTCTCAACCAAATAATTGACAAAACTGTCAACGTCTATTATAGTGTCTTTTCCAACGTAACTATCCTCTTCTAAATCTATAGTGCTGAGCATATTACTGACCGGGAGCTGGTGATCGTTAGAACTTCCTCTTTTTCCAGACCTCGCCAGATAAGTTTTAGAGTTCTTCCTTCTAAGTTTGTATTGGCCACCTTTAGGTACATATTTTCCATTTTTGGACATGAATTTAAGATATTCCTCAAAATAATTTATGCTTGACATTGTTGTGTTATTAGTTTTGTCGTGGGTGGCTAGTAAACTAAGGTTAAGATGGTCTGGGCCTAAAACTTTAGATTTAGACCTAGATGTAAGGGCCCTGTCGGCTACACTCAAACATGTACCGACTTGAGCGTCGCTGTGCGCTCTCTTTTTCGAAGAGAATGTACTGAGCTTGTCAAAATCAACTGGTAACAGCTCTATATCATTGCTTTTGATAGAACCTCGGTTGTGAGTTGAAAGCATTTCATTGATGTTCTGATCATTATAAGAAAGAATATGGGATATTACTCCAAAACTATTCAAAGTAACGGCGATAAGGATCAAGTTCATCGCCTTAACTACCTATGCAAAAAACTTCAGCCTATCAGGATGTATCTAAATGAGTTTACTCCTAATAAACAGATAATGACACAATAATAGCTTTGTAAGATGATTTTCGCTTTTGCAAACTTCTTTTTGCAACCTCGTACGAGAGATACCGTCAAAAGTCGTAATTGCCTACTCCGAGGGACCCCATCAGTTTCCAAATAGAATGACGTATAGCGCCGAGTATTTCAACTCAACTTTTTTTCCTTTTAGCTTTCATGCATCTGTGTGTGTTCCTATTTTCGAAGTGAATAACACTAGCAATACTTCCTATCGTATATTAATCACTATATCGGTTGGTGTGCGGCTTTCCTCCTTCTTGCCTAAGTAATATCCCCATATCCTGTACCTGCCTGTATGTAGTAACACAAAGAACTTTTGTGGGCTAAAAGGTTGTACGCACATAACCATGTCGTACGAATTAGGAGATTAGTATCACAAATTTAGAAAATTTTAGCCCGGTAGCTTCCGTCAAGAAATGTAGAAAGCTATACGAGGCGGGTCAAAGACGACATTTTTAAGGTTGAAAAGTTAAAAGCTTAAAAGCTATCTGAATTATTGATGAACTGTACGAACGATTATTGTGAAAACACCATGTTATTCAAAGCCTCTTTAAATGAATCATATTTGAAGCTACTGGAGAATTACAATAGAATGTCGTGTAGCTCAGCCTGTCGCACTGACAATTTAACTTACAGCCAGCGCGACATGTCGTGATTGTCAGCCATATCTTATGAGGTATCCAAAAACGTAACTGTAGTGTATCTTAAGATTATTTGTAGCGTTCTCGTGGTTAATCCCTTAGAATCCCCTGTCTTCCCTACACCAACAGTAATTGAATTAACAGGAAAAAGGGATTATCGGATTCATTCGCTTTCATTCATCTCCGTTTATCTAAGTAGCTCAGGCCACAAGTTATCCTTCCTACATTCCAGTGTGATTTCGTTGGGCCAGAGAAGCAATAATAAGCTGGGAACAAAATTTGAAAAGAATTCAACTTAGGCAAAAGTTATTCTTTCAGAAGGTCACTATTAGCAATATTAGGAGTAAAGAGGAAAGTGCATTTGTCATTAATTTACTGATAACAAGTAACCTTCGTGGACATTATTACTTTTAGTACTTTCGTCTTTCAGTTTATGCCAAATCAGTTATTAAAGCTGCATTATTTTTCAGCTTCAACATAACGTTCAATGATCAAAAGCGACTTATTTTACTAGAACTTCAAAACATACAATCGCTACAATCGCTTCTATTTTAATAATCCCGACAAATGCAAGAAAGATCGTCTTCTAGAAGAAGTTCGATAAGTTCATCGTCGACCACTTGCTCAACTGGGAAATTGAGCATTAGAAGTATGTCTACTGATAATCTTATTACGGTGGAGGACAAATTCTTGAAGAAATCATCTAAAAAATCACCTGTTGGATTTCAAGGCACTCCACGACTTGATCTGCTTGATTCTAAAAATTTTGAACAATATCATAAAACAGGGACGGGAATCTATTACTTTCCGAATGGTGAAGTGTTTCGTCCGAGAAGCTCACGTTCTAAAAGAAGTAAGCCTTTCAAACTTCAAACTCAAACGAGGTCGAATGACCAAATGAATAATCATCTCGCTCGTAGTAAGTCTAATGAGTCAAATTCTAGGGCTTCATCAATGACATCTACTTCTTCTGCGTCACCCTTGCTGCCTGGCGTTCCAAGAAGTGCATCTTTTAGAAGCTTAACGAACAGAAATAAGCATAACTTGGCTAAGAACTTGAGATCAAGCAAACTGGATATTAACACCAACATTGCTCTCACTAGTGGGAGCTCAGCTAGTCTAAGTGATAATGGGACACAAAAATTACAGTCGACAAATTTACTCTTAAAGAATGGATCTTTAGGCTCTTTGACAGATGATGTTTTAAAGTCATCTGATTCCACGACTTCAAGTTTGTTTAATTATAAGTTGAACAATAGCTCTTCCAATACACCAAGTACGTCAATTAACACAAGCGAAGAAAGTCATGAAGTATACCTCGACTTAAAATCGGATCATTCTACGGAGACCGAGGACTTTAACTTATCCACTTTGAACGAAATCAGCGAAGACAACATTGCAAGTAAGGCCAAATCAGATGACTATAATACAAAAGACAATCTGTCTTCTTCTTATGAAACGTCGTCGAATATAACAGTATCTCAAAATGACAGCAATGATGATGGTGAAAGTCTGGATTATTTCTCGGAAGCTGTCGATCATAATCTGCTCGAAAGTGAGTGTGAGCACGAAGGCAAGGCTTCCGAGTTGGAAATTGGTTCTCAAAATCTTACTCACGAAATTGCTGACAAAAAGATTTATGATGGATCGGTTTCTCATAACGAGGGAGACTCACGTAAAGCTGCGGACGTTAAAGGGTATCCTGAAGATATTCTTAAGGAGAATAAAGATGTAGACGATGAAGCTGTACAAAATAAGCAGAAAGGTTTAGAAGGGCTGAATAGGTTAGACAAGGATTTGGATGTCATCAGTGATAACCATGAACTGGAGAATAACATAGCTCCAGATGCTGAAAGTAAATCGGAAGTCATGGACACTATAAGTATTATTGAAGATAAAATTGAATCTGAAGAAATAAGAGAAAAAGAAAGGATCGGGGAAGAAGTAGATGAAGAAGCGCAAAATCAAATTTCTGACGAAGACTCTGATGAGACAATGAAAAATGAGATCCCGATTTCCATCGGTTTAATTGAAGAAGAAAGTTGTAGTCCAAGCAATGGGAAATTGCAAAATACGGGTTCAGATGGTGAAAGTTTTAACAATTCCTCAGAGGATAGAGATACTATGACAGAATCTCAGGAGTATGATTATAGAGCAAAAAATGCTAATGCACGGACTAGCCTGACTACCCTGTCCTCAGTAGAAGCAAAACGAGATATCCAGGTTACTGATTCAGGCGATATTGAAGATTCTAAGTCATCCCACTTGGAACAGAAACCCGAAGAATCGACTAACGATCATGAGGAAATAAAGTTAGAGGATATGAAATCAGAAAGTTCAGACAGCTCTTCGAAGTCAGAGACATTTTATGAGACAGAGCAAGATGTTACTAAGTTCATCAATGATACGCAGACAGAGGTGCCTCCGAGAGGCGATATTGAAGTGATAGATAAAAGCAAAATTAAGAGACATCACCGCGCGAGCTCTTCTATTTCTTCTTTCAATTCGATATCGAAAGTACAAGAAAATGAGTTTAAAATGGCTTCACCAAAAGAGAGTATTTCTGCTGAAAGGGTTGAGAAAGATGATTCACCAAAAGAGATTATTCAAAGTTCTGCATTGGACAGGAGTGATCAAACAGCTTTTTTTAGCAATAATTCAACGCCAACTTCTCCAACTGCTTCTGAAATCCATGCTGCCCAAGATTCGAGCTCTAATGAATACGAAACGCACAACAGGTCTCTACAGAAGCCAGTTTCATCCATGCTACTTTCTATGGAACTTGTTGGAGAAACATCGAAGTCACCTAAAGGACCTTCCCCGCCACAAGTTCCTTCTAAGAAGACAACCAAGGTTGCCAAGTCCTCTCCAATTGAGCAGCCTACTAAGAGGTCATCTGTTTATTTCTCTAGTGATAAGAAGAAATCCCCATCGATTGCGAACTTCAAATTGTTGTGGAGTAAGTTAACTGGAAAGAAAGAGGTTTCAGAAGCGAGAGCGCAAAAGACTGAAAGGATATCGTTTCAAAGTAAGCAATCAAGAACTCGAGATACTGCCAACAAATTTAAAAAATCATTTCTGTTAAGTAACTTGAAGGTTGGTAGAGACCCTAAGGAAAATGAATATCAGCTGGGTAAAGTGGGTTCTTCTCAAAGATTGCTTGAGGATGAAACATTCCAAATATCAAATTCATTTCAAATTGCAGAACCTCTTACTCTTCCTAAGCTCTCGGTCTTGGATTCAGAAAGTAACATGCTTGACGAAGTCTTGCACGAGTTCGACGAAAGACTCGAGCAAGATGATGCTTCTCCTGTCGATATTGGCTTGCATAGTAAGTTGAACGAACCATTCCTAAAAGATGACGAGCTAACACGCGATCAAATCGAGGATCAGCAAATAAAGGATATGCCCATTGAAGTGGACAGGTCAGATAACAGCAGTACAGAAGAATCTTATGTTGACGATAACATAAGGTTTATACAAGAGGAATTTTTTTGGCCAGAATTCGAAGACCAAAGCTCAAACACCGAGATAAAAGATAATTCTAAAGAGATTCCTGTTCCCTTGCAGGAATCGGACTTCAACGACGAGACGATTGTGTTGAATAGCCAACAATTGAACTCTGTTTTCAATGATTTACCTGAGTATCAGAAGAGGAGCCTACCCGCTCATTTGAAATATGTGGAGCAATTCAAAGGATGCAATTTTATTGAAGTGAACGTCAAAAAGTTTGAAGATTTGGCCTCTATCGAATTTATTTCAACTCCTCGGTCAGCTACTTCTTCAATACTAAAGAAAGTTAATTCAGCATCTGGAAACAAGAAGGTGCTGTTTTCAAATAAGATATCAATCAACGAAACATTCCCTGCTGAAATGTATAAACGATACAACAAGTGTGTTACTCATTATACTTTGACGGAAGCATCTGAAGTTAACAAGATCAAGACAGAACTCAATAGTTACAAATGTAACGAAATGCTTGTTCACGAAGACTCACAGGACAATACACAATTCTTTTATTAATATTTTATATAATGTTAGATTTGATAACACGTTGCATTAGCTCAGCTTCCGCGATATGTAGTATAACTATGGTTGGATAATAGCAATGGAATATGATAATGGAGATCCGGAGGATTATCTATCTGAAATACGATTTCGACAAAGGGGAAGAAGGTACGATTAGCTGTCTGTTGAGTGTCATAAAAATACTTACCCGTTAGGAACTTAATTTTGTATATTCCTGGGCTCAATGTGTCCCATTTATAGTCACCTTCGATCCCTAGCTTTGTTTTTGTGACAGCATCTAGATTAGGACTCAAAACCCAGTTCTTAATCCTTCCATCTTTGTCAGTCCTATTCATAGCAAACGGCTTAACATCCGCATTAAGCTCATAGGCCCCTTCTTCACTAGGATTGCTAATCAATGGAGATAAAAAAAAAAGTTGACAGTTAACATCCCTTGCAGGTTTCCCTCTTGTGGTGTCCAATATATGACATGTTATAGGTGCTACAGACATTATTAAACCACCTAGATCAAGCAAATAAAGCTAGTAATTTTGACATTTAATATAATCTATGAAATGATACCAAAAAGCTTATGCGCAGGTTCGGCTTTACCCGCGCCCATCATGAAGCATACTTAAAAATGAGATAAACCATACACCTGAATAATTTCCCTGGAACTAAAATTAACCTCAAAGGTTCACACATACTATGCTATACCACTATAAAGCCATTGAATAGATCTGGAATCATATCGCCAGAATTTTTCCTCATTGAGATCATTACTAATGATATAATCGACAATTGAATTGACTAATTTATAGTTCACGTTGGCACCAACGAAGTCATCGAATCGTAGATTCGACAAATAATTATGTATGTTAAGGATTTTGTCAGAATTATTGGATTCTTTTGCCGTTTTGATTAGGAGGAGGCATTTTCTTAAATGATTGTACAACATTTGTAAGTTATTCAGTCTAACCATCTGAGACTTCGTGACAGAAATTAACTTGAAATCCACCTGTAGCTCATGTCTGATAGAATGAAATAGTTCTTTTTTTAGATCTAGAAAACATTGTTCATTCTGCTGAACATTGAGAGACATCAACTTGACATTAGTTAAATTATTCAACAAACCACTAATTGTAGCATCTCGGTAGATGTCGGCTAATTTGAAAGTCTTGAAACTATTTTTTATTACCCAAGTTATAAACTCAATTGACAACTGGAATTCTGTAATAACTTGGAGAGGAGAATCTTTTATATCTATGATTTGGATGCTAGAATCGACCTCAGAGTCAGACTCTAGTCGATCATATCTATTTCCTGCGACAATCAAACTGTCTTCCGGAAGAAAGATACTCTGATCAACCGCAAATGACGTTAGCTGCAAGCTCTGCCGCAAGCTTTTCAGTTTTTGGTCCGCTTTAGAAAGGATTGAGGTGGGTAATGGTTGAGGCGATGGTACAAAAGAAGGAATATAAACCCAGGGACTAATTAGTTTCTCATTTCTAAACTTAAGAATATTTCTCCAACAACCAATTTCTATATCTAGATCGTCATTCTCGCCTATTACATTAAGGAATTCACAAATGATATATCTTGACGCGTGAATATTTGTGATATACCCTCGTACTTCTATAATTTTACCATACGAGTCATTAAAGGTCAATCCAGATGTTAGATATAATGATTCCAGAACATTAACCGTTACAGTAGAGTGAATAGCACTCGAGAAATCATCAACTGTGATCTTTATGTAGTTTTTTGGGTTCTGTTTGCCGCCTTCGTCAAAATTTTTATACAATTCACCAATGACTTTACCATAAATTTTAAATGACCTTATTGGATAATTGTTAATGATTAAAAGATTTTCATAAGTAGATCCTTGAAGCCCATATATTTCTTTGAAAGAGGGACTATTGTTGATATCGCTAATGAACAAGGGTATTGTTTCGGAGAAGTATGGAGATAAATGAAATACCTCAGGAACATAATAACATTTGTGAGGAAAACGTAATGCAATATGATTTTCTCCAGGCCCAAAATCAATCACAGAATTCTTGCTCATTTGTCATCGGTATCGTAGTGTCTATTTGTAGGCTCACTTTCATAGATGTCTTCAAGATTTTTAAATTAAAGGATGTCGTTGTGACAGATCGGGGTAGTGTTTATATTCTTGTATTTAGTATCGCATCTCGAATTTTTGATGGGCTGACGAAATTTTTTTTATTATAGAATAAGACTAACAGCCATCGCATAGACAATGTCGTTATTCCAAGTTGAAGGATGGAATTTAAAGAGCGATAATGTAGCGCTTGACACTGGCATTTCGAAGAAGGAAGCCAAAAAAAGTAAAAAGGAAGCAAAAGAAGCAAGAAGACTAGAAAGACAAAAAGAGGACGACAAAACATCGAAGAAAGATCAGGCAATTACAACCAGAGATGCTGATGATATAACCACAAGAGACGAAAGTGGGGAGAGTAACCTGAAAAAAAGGAAAATAGATCTTGAAAAAGAGGAAGACGGCCTGGAGAATGTAACAGACATATTCCCAATCAGTAATACACGTTTGTCACCACTACAACAAAAGATGATGGCTAAGCTCTCTGGATCACGGTTCAGGTGGATCAATGAGCAGCTCTATACAATCAGTTCTGACAACGCCTTGAAACTAATTAAAGAACAGCCCCTGCTTTTCGATGAGTATCATAAGGGATTTAAGTCTCAGGTGGAAAGCTGGCCAGAGAATCCCGTGAATGTATTCGTAAAGGAAATTGAACGCAGGGCCACAGAGAGAATTGTAAATGCGCCTGGAGGTCTTCCAGGATTCTCCAATAAAAAAGTTGTAATTGCTGATATGGGTTGTGGTGAGGCACAATTGGCGCTCGATGTCAACAAATTCGTAACTCAATATAACAGTCAAAGCTTGAAAAGAGGTAAGCAGAACAACAAAAAGATAAGACGAAAGCAGCTAGATATTGAAGTTCGAAGTTTTGATTTAAAGAAAGTAAACGATAGAATTGAAGTGGCAGACATTAAAAATGTTCCCATGCCAAATGATTCATGTACTATAGTTGTGTTCTGCCTAGCTTTAATGGGGACAAATTTTTTGGACTTCATCAAGGAAGCTTATAGGATACTTGCGCCAAGAGGAGAACTTTGGATAGCAGAAATAAAATCAAGGTTTACTGAATCTAGCAACTCGAAGCAGGTTAAGCCAGAAGAGGTTGGCTCTGAATTTATCGATGCACTCAAGCTCTGTGGCTTTTTCCACAAAGCTACTGATAATACCAACAAGATGTTCACTAGATTCGAATTTTTCAAGCCTCCTCAAGACATCTTAGCAGAGAGGCGTGCCAAACTAGAAAGAAAGAAGAAGTTTATTGAACAAGAGACTGAAAAGGAGACATTAGAAAATAGAAGGTCTCAAAAGCCGGAGGGTGAATGGCTTTTGAAGCCTTGTATATACAAAAGAAGATAAATAAGCATTGTATAATAGCATCTATGTATTTTGGTTGATCACAATTTTTTTTTTTGTGTAGTAAATCATTTATTTAACATAAGCAGACACGCTAAGACTACACAAAATTTCTCATAGATCACAATCGGCTTAAGAATTTACCACATAAAGGGCTGGCGAGGGATTATTGTGATGACATCTTGCTATGTGTGTGGATTGAGAGTCATTTAAGTGTCCGGTATATAGTCATCATTTGAAAAAGAAGTAATGTACCAGCGCAAAATTTGGCCAGCCACTTATTAAGTTTTGCATCAACCAGTGATTTCATCTGAAGAGGTTTCGAATGAGGCATACACCAGCCATTATTATAGGATATGAGTGAGATGTGGTTTAAATATGATAAAGGTCTTTATTATCCCAAGAGAAAGAGCTTGAGTCTTACATTTGGTGAAACTTAAGAATAGCTCTAAGATAACGCACGATAGAGATGACTGATTACTATGAGCCTACAATGCTCTTCAGGCAGAACGCTATCAGGCGGTACAACAAAGAAGTCGATTCTTTATCTGACACATCGACCAAAATTGCTCATAATAGTATAGCCTCTTGGCTCTTGAACTATAACAGTGACAAAGACAAGGAGGTCACCAACAGGTCCTGTTCATTAAATAATCTAAATTTTAGATCGAGCTATTGGAGAATACCCGACAGCAATATGAACCTTACCTCGATGGATGTCAGTAGTAATACGACAGACATCACTAGTCTTGCGATTGCAAGTGGAAATGAGAGTTCCAATTTATTTTTGTATGATTTGAATCTTCAGGATACTTATTTGTCTCACAAAAGTACTATTACTTTGCCTCATATTTATAGCCTCAAGTGGGTCCCTAAAGCACCTGGATTAATTATAACGGGAAACAGTAAAGGCTATGCTCATTTGGTTTCAGTTCCAACCAGCGAAGACCCCGACGATCAAGCGGAAATATATAAAAGATTTAATCATAGAAAGCATTTAAAATCTATTAACAAAAGCTCATCAATTGAGCAGCATGGTTCTACTGCTATAAAGAGTTTGAACTTCGTGGGTGAAAACTTAATGTCGGTTTACGATAATAATTTGTTCTTATGGGATCTTAACGGATTAGATACACAATTGAGACCACGCCCGGCCTCCATTGCTTCAATTTACGGCTTGTCAAACGTTGACACTATTCCAAATACTGACAAGTTTGTTGGGATATGTGGAAAATTTGGAGTTTCGCTTTTTGACTTGAGAGAGCCGAAGTTCAGTGTTCCCTCAGCAATTATTAGAAACGCAACTAAACTCAGGCTAGGATCACCTTTAATAAAGTGGAACCCGGAAGATGAGAATGTTTGCGCTGCAGCCCATAACGATGGCGTAGTCAGATTATGGGACGTAAGGAAGCAGGACCACTTTGCTACATTACATGGATATCCAGATAAGGTATGTAAGATGGAGTGGATGAACGGTGATTTATTCACTGGAGGGAGACACGGAAATATTATTCACTGGAATATTGCTTCAATAGATAACACAGCAATGGAGCTGACTGAATGCGGCTTGAATCAAGGTTTTCAAAGTGTGAATTTCAACCCTATCACAAATTCGTTAGAGAGCATAAAAAACCAAAGACAATGTGGAACATTGCTTCCAGCCTCTAATTGCAGTATTACAGGGATGTGCTCTATTAATGCAGAGGGTTCAGATAAACCACAAGTTCTTTCGATTGATAGCTCGGCACTTTTTGGCGTTCATTCTCGTATTTGCGAAACTATTAACGTCGAAGACATATGTCATGGAAATATTTACTATAGCAAAGAAAACCTTGATCTTCTCGCTGCCTCAGAACAAACATCCAATACTACGTTGGTTAATTCGTCTTCGGAAACGATCAATTTACCAATCGAACCGCTTGCTATATCACATGCCAAACATGAAGATTTTTCATGTGATGAGGCCTCCGAAACATCAGTTATAGAAGAAAAGGATAGTATATCTGAGGAAGAATCATTTGTGTTCGAAATGCCAGACATGTTTGCAATAGAACATGAAAATTTTTCAGGTATTTCACTTGTTGATTCTATCCATGATTCTTCTTCTGATGCCTTCAATGACTCCATGGAATCATTATCAACAAACCCCACAATATTTGATGACAATAATGACGTTGAACTTCCAGCGTCTCCAAAGATACGCCTTCATCAACCTCTTCCGAGCTTATCTCTGGCCTTGGACTTCAACTTCGCAATGAACTTCGAGAATTCCGTCTTCTAGCCTCGGAAAGTAATCATATTATCTAGTGACATATTTTCCATCTGTCATAAGACCATCCAATGAATAGTAATGAATCACATATAGCTTCTGTTAACGTACAACAGCCAGTGTAGCATTAATGTAGAAAAATCACGTGATGAATATAAGGCGCAATTCAGTTTGTGATTCATCCGACATGGGTGATTTTGTTTCCTCAGCTGTGATTATCAATATAGGAAGATTTTCAATCACTTTTAGTAGGTTAGCTCTATTGCAAGGGTTATAGATCAGTTCGATACCAAAGAGAGCTGAATATTATAATTCACACAGATTATCCGTTTCAAAGAAACCAAGTCATCATAGTTGTAAGGGATACTTGAGTGAAGCAATACCTTATTCAATACATACGAGGGTGGTTGGCTCGGATAATCACTTTAATTGATTTAATAATTATAAACCAAAGAACTATTGAAAGTTAAGGAGTTGTTATTGAGAAGTTAAAGTTAGATAGAGAAAATACGTTACTTAAGTTATTTAAGTTTTTGATTTGATTAAGTTTTTCATTTTTTTTTTTGACTTCTGTCGTTTCAAAAGATAAAACCTGTTAACGAATATTATCTAAACAAGCTATCCAAGAGTAAAAGAGAAGGAACGTTAATTTTAGGAGTGCCATTAAAAAGAGAGTACTATTGAAATTGGTAATACAGATTGGCTTTCCAGGTTATAGAATAGATCAAAGATGACTTCCCGAGGTACTCCGATTGTCGTAAAAGTTGTTGCAGCTGAGTCTTTATATAAAAGGGATGTTTTTCGTCAACCTGACCCTTTTGCAGTGATAACTGTGGATGGATCGCAGACGAAAACTACTAAGACTGCAAAGAAAACATTAAATCCTTATTGGAATGAGTCATTTACTTTTAATGCTTTGGAAGATTCGATATTAGTTATTCAAGTATTTGATCAAAAGAAATTCAAGAAAAAGGATCAAGGTTTCTTGGGTGTCGTTAATGTGCGCATTGGTGATGTGATTGATGTTTCATTACCAAACTCGGAGGAAACTATTACAAGAGATTTGAAAAAGTCCAATGAAAACTTGGCAGTTAGTGGAAAGATTATTGTTGTTATTTCTCATGACACCAGAGGAAGGGCCAGCTCTCAAGCGACTAGCGCAAACTCTACTGTGCCGGCTTCTTATTCTAATGGATCAGCAGCTGGTGCAACCGGGGGTACTTCAAGTAATAATAATACAACGGCAACTCAAGGGTCTAGGCAGTATTCCTCATTTGAAGATCAGTATGGTAGATTGCCCCCAGGGTGGGAAAGAAGAACTGATAATTTTGGTAGGACATATTACGTCGACCATAATTCTAGGACTACTACCTGGCAGAGGCCAGCTTTAGATCAGTCCGAGTCAGAAAGAGGACAACAGAGACAAAATGCCACAGAAGCTGAAAGAAGGCAGCATAGAGGAAGGACGTTACCAGGGGAAACTCCGAGCTCACCTATTATGGGGACCAGTGCAACTAGTGGCAACGTAACCGTCAATTCAACGGGTGGAACTACTCCTACTAGTCCTGCTGCCGCGGTTTCGATGGCGGCTACTGGAGCTACAACTAATGGACTTGGTGAATTGCCGTCAGGGTGGGAGCAAAGGTTTACTAATGAAGGAAGACCATATTTTGTTGACCATAACACAAGAACTACTACTTGGGTTGATCCTAGAAGACAACAATATATTCGTACGTTCGGTCCAAATACTACCATACAGCAGCAACCAGTTAGTCAACTAGGACCTTTGCCTTCTGGTTGGGAAATGAGATTGACCAACACTGCTAGAGTTTACTTTGTTGACCATAACACTAAAACCACTACATGGGATGATCCAAGATTACCTTCGTCTTTAGACCAGAATGTTCCACAGTACAAGCGTGATTTTAGAAGGAAGGTGATATACTTCAGATCTCAACCTGCTTTGAGAATTTTGCCAGGTCAATGCCATATTAAAGTGAGGAGAGATCACATATTTGAAGATTCCTATCAAGAGATAATGAGGCAAACCCCTGAGGACTTAAAGAAGAGATTGATGATTAAATTCGATGGTGAAGAAGGATTAGATTATGGTGGAGTGTCAAGAGAATTTTTCTTCTTATTGTCTCATGATATGTTTAATCCCTTTTATTGTCTCTTTGAATATTCATCTCATGATAACTATACATTGCAGATAAACCCGAATTCAGGAATCAACCCAGAGCATTTAAATTATTTCAAATTTATTGGCAGAGTTGTTGGATTGGGTGTCTTCCACAGAAGATTCTTAGATGCGTTCTTTGTCGGCGCTTTGTATAAAATGATGCTTAACAAGAAAGTTGTGTTGCAAGATATGGAGGGAGTTGACGCAGAGTTTTATCGGTCATTGAAATGGATTTTGGATAACGACATCACAGGTGTTCTTGATCTTACCTTTAGTGCTGAGGATGAGAGATTTGGAGAAATAGTTGAAGTAGATTTGAAGCCCGGTGGGAAAGATATCGAAGTAACAGAAGAAAATAAACGTGAATACGTTGAATTAATTTCTGAGTGGAAAATATCAAAGAGAGTCGAAGAACAGTTCAAAGCATTCATAGATGGCTTTAATGAATTGATTCCACAAGAATTAGTAAACGTCTTCGATGAAAGGGAGCTAGAGTTGTTAATAGGTGGTTTGGCTGAGATCGATGTTGATGATTGGAAGAAACATACTGATTACAGAGGCTACCAAGAAAGCGATCAAGTCATACAGTGGTTCTGGAGATGTATCAAGGAATGGGATTCTGAGCAAAAGGCCAGGTTATTGCAATTTACTACGGGTACTTCTAGAATACCAGTCAATGGATTTAAAGATTTGCAAGGTTCTGATGGACCGAGAAGGTTTACCATCGAAAAAGCTGGTGAACCAAATCAATTACCTAAGTCCCACACATGTTTCAATAGAGTTGATTTACCACCATATACGACTTATGAAAGCTTAAAGCAGAAATTGACACTTGCAGTAGAAGAAACTGTTGGTTTTGGTCAAGAGTAGATCTCCAAATGTCATTTTCATATATCATCAATTGACTTAATTTTTTTATACTACTACCGTTTGCCTTTTTAATATAATTTTTTGAATTCTTACATATTGCTTGTATCTATCCACGAATAGCTAAACTACCTTATTCTACCATTTTAAAGCTTTTAGAGTTGCGCTGAATCCTAAATTTGCATTTATCATGAAAACAGCTTTTTTCCGTGCGATAGGCAGATGATCAAAAACTACTCCTCTTATTAGACAAAAGAAACACAAAAAAGCAAGAGCAATCTCCACACTTTCATTAATAATCCATAAATGATTATGTGTAGATGCTTGCGGAGTTGGATTCAGTATTTATAAGAACCCCCTCTACCAATTATCTTTTCTTGTAGTAGTATATTAAATTATTTTAAAATGGGTGGAGGTTTATTTGATAACTTCTTCGATAAAATAGGAACAGCAGTTCATGGAGGTAGGTCTTCCGGTCACTATCAGTCTAGCTCTCAGGTAAATACTGGAAGTTACTACAATTATCATAAAAACGGAACAAATAATGACTATTGGTTACCGACCTCGAAAAGCTTTGGAGACACCATGGATAAGATTGACGATGTGAACAAGGCAAGAATGAACAGTGTTGCATCTGATTCATCTGATATGTCCGAAGAAATGCTTGCAAAAGCTCGTAAGGGCAGTGTCGCTTCTGAAGATTAATAAGGCAGAGCACTATCTCTTGTTCAATTCTTGATGGCTGATAATGAGCTTATATATTTAAATAGCTCTTACAGATTAAATATAAACTTGTATCTATTGATTTTAATGAAAAGAGCAACATTTAATTTACTTGCTGCTTGCTGTGGCTCATTTCATATCTAGAAACTGGAATAAACAAAATTAATTAACGGAGAATTGAATCTTATTATTGGATTATTAAGAAAGCGATGACATTCTTTCAAAAAAACAAGATTAGTAACAGCAGCATAATATGTATCGCAAGATCCCCCTCTCACGTTTCCGTCTTTCGTTAAAACTAGAATTCTCTGAGTGTAATTCACCATTGTCTCTCACAGGTACTAAGTCGTGAGAATGATTAAGATGCTGATTACCTGGTTGTTTATTTTGAAAAGGATAATTTGCTCCATCTTGCGTTATAGATTGGTAATTGCCATAGGATATTGAGTGTGATTTTGATCTCGATGTCTTTAAATTCTTACTACCAGAAGCCAGATTTCGCAATAGATTTCTTGAGTTTGAAACGTTCTTCTTTTGTGGGGGTTGCGGAGGATGCGGATTTCCGTAGCCATGCAAATTTGCTTTCTTATTCAAAGCAGCATCCCACCCTTTTCCGTTATTCAAATCCATCCAATCGTAATGTTGATCTTCTTTAACGTCAATTGATATTAAAGCCTTGTCCATCAATGATGTTAAGTAATTGTAGTCAGGATCTTCGTCAAATCTTAAATTTCTAACATACTTCAAATATTGCGCAAATTGAATTGGAAATCCGTAGCAAAGCTCATTGATCGAAGTAGTTTGTTTCTTCAACCCAATCTTTTCATACTTTTGCTTGTTTGTTGGTGCTTTCAATCCCTGCCATGGAAGCGAGCCACGTAGGAAATACATAAACACATGTCCTAAACTCTCTAAGTCGTCTCGTCTCAGCTGTTCTCTACCTAAGTGTGTGTTTATAGACATATAGCGAGCGGTTCCACTTAATGCCTTTTTCTCTCTATAAGGGATATGTGTCTTAGTTTTAGGGTCTCTATATTGCTTGGTCATTCCAAAATCTACCATGTACACTTGATTTGCTTCTGGTGTGCCTGGTTTTCCAATCAAAAAGTTATCAGGCTTGATATCCCTGTATATCAAGTTGTGTTCGTGGATCGATTCTACTCTTTCTATCATTTGCTTTGCAATTTGGATTACCGTTTTAATCGAAAATTTTCTACCACACCAATCGAATAAATCTTCCAAAGAAGGCCCCAATAAATCAATAACTAATATATTATGAACACCTTCTTGACCAAAAAAATATGCTTGGGGAAACCCTTTTACACCACTCAAGATTCTATACGACCGATATTCATCTCTCAACTGCGGCGCTTCACATTTTCTTGGTTCAAACTTTATAGCAACTTGTTGATTGTTTAAAAGGTTTATACCTTCAAAAATTATTCCAAACGATCCTTCTCCAATCTTCTTCCCAACCTTATAATGGACTCCGACTATATTAGAAGAATTTGATTGAGCCATGGCATCGATATTATTTTGATTGTTATAATCTGCTAGTTTTTTTTTGTATTTCTCTTAGCCCAATATTATTCACTAAAATAAAGATTGGATAAAAGAATCTAACTTTCCAAACGATGTAATAAATTTTACCCTTCTACAGTCTCTAATGGCTAAAAGATAGAACTAGTAAAAAACAATATGACAATCACTTTTGCATTATTGTTATCAATTAACCAATTTCTTCAATATATTAAAAAAGTACTTTGTGCAGTGCCTTCGAAATAGACGAACTTGATGGAGAAGTTTACGAAAGGTCCTTGTTTTTTACAGTAAAACGCGGCAGAGTGTAAGTCGTAGAAAGAGGTAGGCTTGACTTACTTTAGAAGAGGTATTCGTTTATTTTGCTAAAGGTTATAATAGGTTTAAGGGAGTCTCCCATATTCATATTTTTTGCTTGTTGTGACTAAAGAACGCGGCTCCAATTTGCGTCTTGAGAATACGGTCGTCAGAGCATATACAGCAGAACAATAAGGTGGACTAACATAAGAACATGGACAAGTTTAAACCCGGCTCTACTGTCTATGCTTTCCATGGACCCTTGATGTATGAGGCCAAGGTCCTAAAAGTTCATGAGAAAAACAAGTCGTACATAGAAATTGCTGAAGGGAAACAAGAGTCGTTGGAAGGGTCTAAGTTAAAGGAGGAAATGTTGAACGTCAATATGTATTTTCTACATTACCATGGATGGAAATCCAAATGGGATGAATGGGTAACCGATGAGCGGTTGCTCGAACATAGCGAAGAGAACCGAAGAATAAAGGCTGAGATGGACGAATCAACCAGAAAAAAGAGAGTAACAAAGAAGGAAGCTCCCGTAAGCAGTGGTAATGCTGACGAAAAGAATACCAAGAAACGACAAGGATCCGAAAAGCCTCAGAATAAGCGCAAAAAAGATAGTCTGAAGTTAGAGATCACGATTGAAATTGAACCGGACTTGAAATATTTGTTAGTCGACGATTGGGAATTCATAACTAAAAACAGGCAGTTAATAGAAGTTCCATGTGAATATACCGTGTCGAAAATACTTGGTGAATATGAAAGATACAGAAAGGAGACTAGTGATAATATGAATGCAGTTCATGAAATTTTAAACGGTTTGGAGATATACTTTAATAAGTCTTTGAGCTTGATATTGCTATATAAATTTGAGAGGTTGCAATATTTGAATCTCCTTAAGGACGGCGTAACTAGAGAAAAGAGCTTGAGTCAGATCTACGGATTGATTCATTTTTTGCGCTTATTTGTATCTTTGCCCGGTTTAATTAGCCAGACATCCATGGATGCTTTAAGTATAGGAGTTTTAATTCAGGAGGCTCAAGAGATTTTAAAGTTCATTGGTAAGAACCTTCCGAGATACATGAATACGTACATAAATCCAACACCAAACTATGACAGCTTGGCAAGAAGTTAGAGGCATATTACACATACTTCTAATTAACATAAAACATTCAATCATAGATAAAGAGCATAACACATAAACACATAACAGCGTAAGTTCGTAAACAGAATTTTTAGCTTTGATAGCTCAGAGTTCACATTATCGGCATAGCCCTATAATCGACCTCAACTAATGGACTTTCATTATTACAACTTACTTCTAACATTAACTTCCAGTGTCTTCCGTATAAGTCTTCTTCTTCTTCTGGAAGACCATGAAGACCAGAGTCCTCATATTTCCAGGTGATTTTATTCGGACTCTCCTCCATGCCAATTTTATTAAAGTCCATTTCATAACCTGAGCATTTGGCCATCTCAGCCATCAAATGCCTTTTGACATGGTGTTGCAAGTTCCTTCTAAACTTTCTTGAATTTTTGTTCATAGTGGGTTTTATTTTATCCATATTGTTACGAATTTCCTTCATAACGAAAGGAGGATAGTAACTCAAATGGGCGTGACAGTAATCGAATTCATTATCCCATGTCTCGTCTCTAATGTACGATTCAAAAGCATGCAAATCGTCAAAGTCCCTCATCGGAGGAGGCTTTAAAAATGACTCAACAGTACCATTGGATTCAATAGAAGTGATAGATGAAGACCTGCTCTTAGGAGGAGGCATAACATGCTCCAACTTCTCACAGTTTTCTAAGTCCAACGGAAGAGATATTTTAGTCTGTTTATTCTTTTTAGCAGTCATTTTGCACCCTTAATATTGATACGATATAGTTATTTGCTAGATTAATTAATTAATTAGGTTAATAGAGTTATTATTCAATAATAGAGAAATTAGAATGATAGAGAAAGAAAGAATGCATTCATTTCTTATAAATGTAGTCATTGGACAATATTCTCCCGTCATTTTCCCCAATAGAATATAGTCACTCCCCCCTTTGCTGATCACGATACCATTATTTTCGGGGTCAAGAAATGACTCTAAAAGCAATAAGTGGGTTAGCATATTGCGCAACATGTATCAAAACGTACTATTCTGACATTTCTCTAGACAGAGGTTCAAGAATCTATGAGACTTGGATTTAAGGGCACTTCTTCAGTCTTGAGATATCGGGAATTAATATACGACATGATTTTTAAATCTCTGGGCCATTGACATTAAAGCTATTAAGATTTCGATGTTTTCGACACATCTTCTTACTAGTAGGCTATCTCCGACGTTTAATGCCTCAAGTCGATGTCACCAGCAACTGCTGTAGATCCTGTCCTCTAAGGTTGATATCATATTAAGTTCGTTTCAGCTGTGCGACACTAACTGCGAATATATCGTGGGGCAATCTTGGACATTAGGAATCAAAGTTTAACGTGCACGTATTGCTAACTTAAAAACCAATATAGTGAATTTCAGATCTCTTTAAGGCTCAGCACTGAGCAGTCAAGCGAATGGGAAAGCTAGTTTTCAAGGGAGACAAGCCGCAAAAGAAAAAAAGGAAGGTCAAAACTGAAGATGAGGTAATTAACAGAGATTCTGAAGAAGAGCATAAAAGTTTGGAGAATGCCACAGGATGGATAACATCTAACTCACTCAATGATTTAACTGGCCCTTGCATACTACTTCTGGTGTCAGATGATAAAAATGGGAAGATTATAACATTTAATCCTGATTTAGACTGCTTTGAACTAACTAAACGGTATGATATCGTACGGAATCCATATGAATTCTCGGAGACTCAGATAGGCGATTATCCTGAGTATCATATGGCCGAGCCTAGTGTCTCGACTCAGGTATTTATTATTTCGAGCATTAGCGCAGCTTCAAAGACGTTACCGGAAAGTGTTGGTGCAAGGAAGGGAATTGCCAAGTCTTTCTCACTTAAAGCGAATACGCAATATTTTTCAGCAAGCCAAACTACATGGGAGCCTAGCATATCTCCAACTGTAAGCGACCTTTCACTTTTTCAGTTCACTCCTCACACTAAGACGAATGAGAAGTTTGGGCTAGGGGAGACATTCTGGACTATCACAATCTTGAATGGGAAGCGAACTTTAGTAAATCAGGAGGGTCGTCTTGTGTTTGCACCAACTGTTGACGTATCTGAGAAGGATTTGGACAAATTCTTGGTTAGGATTCAGATCAAAAACCTGCAGAAGTATAAGAAGTTCCTTCTAGCTCAGGAAGAGGAAAAAGGAAATGATATCAAGCAAATATTGAAGGATTTATATAAAGAAACGAAGGGCAAGATTAAAATTACCGACGATCTAGTAAAGAGACTTAAGGATTCAATTAAGTCAGGAAACTTGAATGAACAGTTATTAGAAGAAAAATCTAGAATTTCATCTAGATGGTAACACTTATAGAATAAAATTTATTTAAATCTCTTAAGTACTTCTCAATAGTATAGAAATAATGTTAATGAGAAAAATTTAAATTAAAAAAAAAAAAATTTAAAATCCAGACTATAACTTAAGATTCATCGAAGATAAAGCCTGAATAATGTTTGGCACCTTTAGTGGAGGACAAGGGCCCCAAAAGCCTCTTTCGCAGATGACTCAGGAGGAACAAGCAGAAGCAGGTGCTAAAAAGATGATTGAATTTATGCAATCTTGTCCAGGTAAGACTGCAATGGCAGGTGGATCAGGATTCTTCTTGGGTGGATTTTTTGGTCTTTTTATGGCCTCGATGGCATATGATGTCCCAGTTGGAACGTCAGGTGTAACTAGTATTAGTCAACTTCCATTGAAGGAACAAATGAAACTTCAATTTTCAGATATGGGAAAGAGGTCATGGAGTAGTGCAAAGAACTTTGGCTATATTGGATTTGTATTTTCAGGAGTGGAGTGTTCCATTGAGAGCTTGAGAGCAAAGCATGATATATATAATGGCATGACTGCTGGATGCATCACGGGGGCCGGTTTATCAATCAAAGCAGGTCCTCAAGCGGCGCTATTGGGATGTGCTGGTTTTGCTGCGTTTTCGACAGCTATTGACTTGTATCTCAGGAGTGAAGGTGCAGCTCCTCCAAAAAATGACTACGACGAGTAGCCTGTTACTTGTATATATCAATTAAGTTACACCGTCTGTATATTAATTTAATGTTACACATAGATCTTTGGAATATAATACAATGAAGAAATGAAGAAATAAAGAGATGAAGTATTCAGCAAAAATAATAGCAATATTCATAATTGAGCCCCGACACCATGAAAGAAGAAGTCAAAAGGAAACAAACAACAACAAAAATTGCCACATGCACCTTTGATATCAGAAACTTTTCAAACAAAGTTGGCTTTGATGCTGCCAAGAGCTTTTCATTGTAATTCTGTAACTTCTCGAGCTCATGGAGCAATTCTTCAGATGATGCAGCAATTGACTGACTTAATTTGCCAGGGTCTTCCTCTTTCAATTCATCTTTCTTACTTTTGGTTTCACTTATATCCGTTAACCTGCCCTCAATATCTTCTAGGACATCCATATCAATGAGAGAGTCACCAGACGAGACTTTCTTTCTTAGTCTCTCTATTTGCTCTTCAATTGATGCGATCATGTCAAGCTGTCGGGATACCTGTGATTTTTGAAGTGGTTCAGTTGATACGATTTCGTCGCTAGCCAGAAAACGGCGCAGTTGCGGCACTTCTTGCACAGGAAGTGGTCGAGGCTTCCTTAGAGATATAAAAGAGCCCTCCAGTTGGGTATTGTCCTTAATATCAGATACTTGTCTATATTTATTTATTTGTTGATTGAATCTTCTGCGGATTGGTTCACTGAACTCCTTCGTATCTACTGCTGTATCCTCCTCTTCTTCATGAACGTCTGGGTTTTCTTTGTTTATTTTATAAGGTAAAGGTAATGGCTCCCCTAGGATTATCTGCACATCTCCATAATGTGACTTTCTTTTGTTCTTATTCATATTAGCATGATTCTATCTTTCTTGGTGTAAACGTAGCCGGTAAAGTTTTGGTTTGTTTTGAAACTCTTTCTTACTCGCGATATCCGATGTAAATTTACGACGCTCATCGCGTTTTACCTTTTACTCGAAGCGAACTGTTTTGGGTAGTTTTTTCATCCAAGTGACAGCACCATGAAATGTGCGGAATACTTTGTCTTATAAATAGGAATAAGGCTGACCATCCACGGTGTTTTGATAACTTGGAAAGCGATGAGAAAAATAGGTTAACATGTGAATCTAGTGATGTAAAATATATTAGAGATAATCTTATACTGCGAGACATGGAGAGATTGAAGTTGTCTGAGGTAGACAAAAGGAAGATTGAAAACTTAGAGGAATTGAGAGGATTGCATAATCAGCTTATTGTGCTTAAGAATAACATTAAAAACAATGCTGAACTTGAAAAAAAACGTATCATTATAGAGGAACAGATAAGCAATATGACCAGTGAGGAGCACGAAACAAAAAAAATTGATGAGGTGGAGCTGAATTTCGAAAATTTGATATGTAAAGTGGCATCTAGAGGTCCAGATTTTACAAAATACTTGCAATTTTATAGAGATGGTATCAATTTCCAGCTCTTTTCTTCAATATTGTCGCTTAGACGACCTTTCACATCGCAACCTGTGATTGACGAGTCTTGGATTGTTCAGTTTAATGGCGAGCTCTACAATGAAGACTGCTTAAGAACGAATGATACAGAGTTTATAAGTCTTTTGCTTAAGAAAAACTTGAAACACGGAAAAAGAAGCGATGCGATTTTACGTACAATTGGAGAGTTAGATGGAGAGTTTGCTATCCTTCTACTCGATTTGATAGAAATGAAGTGTTATTTTGGCAGGGATAGCATTGGTAAAAGATCCCTAGTTTATGCATTAGAACCTGACTTTATTGTCTGTTCGGTGCCTCCTGATAACGACAACTCAATGTTTCAAGAGTGCAAAAATGAAATGTATCAATATGACTTGAAAACTTTTGAACTAACAGCAATTGCTTATGACACAATAGCATCGCAGTCCACGTCTCGAAGTTCCATTGGAGGAACTGCGTTGGATTATAATTCAAGTATAAGCGAAGATCACATTAATTGTAAAGTGCAAGAGTTATACAGAAACCTTAAAGCATCATGTTTATTAAGGCAAGATACAATTCATCCGACTGATGGCAATGATCATTCTTTCGGGATATTGTTCTCTGGAGGTTTGGACTGTACCATTCTAGCCTCTTTATTAAGCGAGTGTGTTCAAGATATGCATGGCCAAAGAAAATGTCGGTTTCGTAGTGTTATTTACTTGATTAGTGTTGCATTTGAGCACCCAAGGTCTAACCTGACCCCTTCTGATTCTCCTGATAGAAAATTAGGCAAGAAATCCTGGTTCAACTTATGTAAAAAATATAATTCAGAGTCACTTGACATCAAATTTATTGAAGTTGACGTGAGTTACGAGCTGTGGTTGGTTCATAAGCGACGTGTGGTTTCTTTGATGTATCCCTCGGCAACTGAGATGGATTTGTCTATCGCCATTGCATTCTATTTTGCCAGTGAATGCAAGGGAAGACAAATGACTTTGAAGAACAAAGACGTGGACTATGATTTATTCTTGGCAGAAGAGAAGAAATATATCTTACTTGAAACACACAGCACTCCTGATCCAAAGGTGCTTTTCAGTGGATTGGGAGCTGATGAATTATTTGCAGGTTATTCTAGGCATGAGGCGATCTTTAATTCTGTATCTTCAACTTCAACATCTAAAGAGATTAATGACCGATACTTAGATCTCTCTAAATCATTACGGTACGACATTGATGTTATTCATCACCGAAATCTTGGGAGAGATGATCGTGTGATGGCATGTTGGGGAAAGGAACTTAGATATCCCTACTTGGATATTGATTTTGTCAACTATGTCATGAGCTCGGTGGAGCCCAATCTTAAACTTACATTCGGATTTCAACAATTGATCGATAAAAAGAATAAAGTAAAAGAATCAAAGGTATATATCCGTAAATATTTGCTTCGGAGACTAGCGGATTATTTAGACTTATCTTGGGTAAGAGATGAGCAAAAGAGAGCAATTCAATTTGGAGCTAAAAGTGCAAAGTTGGAGCTTGGACAGAATAAAACTAAAGGTACAGACAGCTTGCGAGCTAAAAAGCAGACCGGATTATGAATAGATATATAAACTATAAATAAATGAACTGTTAAGAAATAATAAATAATAAATAAATACTGCTGACTACATAATTGAAAGAGGAGATGTGTTGACAAGTCGTTTTGATATTGAGAAAAAAAAAAAGTAAGTGAACTGTCTTCACTTTGTATTGCTTAACTTGTGGACCCATCTAGGCTCCACAACCAAAACTTCACATTCTGCAGCTAAGTTTTCGTTGTCCTCAATATCACATGCATTATCCAAATCTACGGTATAAACACATCCCTTTACCCAACATTTCCTCCCTATCTTCTTGATTATCGAACACTTGATCATCACATAGTTATCCGCCAAGCATGGCTTTCTATAATTGATATTCAAATTGGCAGTGACACCTTTCTTCGAAGAGATATTTTGAAATGCTAACCTGCATGTCATTTCATCTAAAAATGTGGCCAAGAGGCCACCGTGAATTATCCCAGTATGACCAGATAACTTTGACCCTAAGTGCAAAAAAGTTACGGAGAAATTTTCTCCATCAACTTCATTGAAATCTTCATATTTGAAATATTTTTCGTCTATGAAATAGAAAGTATCCCCTCTGTAATTGACCTTGTCCCTTCCCATTAAAGTCTGGCCAGTAAAATTTGGATATAAGTGTTCTTCAATTACACTATGTGGGTTTTTGATAGCATGCCTTTCATACGATTCTCGATAGTTTAAAAACTTTGAGCTCGATAGCAAAGCTTCCTCCAAACTTTCTTTATCATCTACACCAACGGTACTAGTTGCTTCTGAGTTCACAAGAGTTTCTGGTTCTGAATATTCGTGATGCATCTTGTTTTGTTATATTTGCAAAATTTTGTGGGGCAAGAAGGCCCCCCAGATTTCGGACCTTTATATAGATTTCGATGAGGATGGGAATTTTGTACACACTACGGTCCAATGATAACATAGAAATCACGATACATGTTAATTGTCATATTGAAGGAGTCTCAAAAGAAAGAGGATATAATATATAAAGAATCATAAAACTGAATGGAAAATATTTTCGAAAGCCTGCTTTCCGTTTTTTTCAAGAACATTTCCATGACACATTACCCAGGTGTCAAAATCCCATGTATCGATAGCTTTAAGTCCCTCGGAACTTTTTGAGGTATTCATGACGGACCTAGCTAAGTAATTTCCCACACTACTGTATGGTTGTAGATATCTGGTGAAGTATGACCAGCCCAGGTGAGGATTAAAGTTAGTGTAGCCAGTCTCAGGTGAGTACTGCTCTAATGTAACGGATTTATTTGTTGTCCCTCGAACCCCCAAGTTGAAAATTATATCAGCAGCAAAGACAATCTTAGAATTCTTATCATACAAGACTAATTCCTTGTTGGCATGAAATGGTAGATAAACAAATTCGAAATTGTTAACTATAAAGGGGTCCAGGATTCCAATTTCCTCTAAAACTTTCTTGTCAATTTTTTTGTTCCCATATTTTGAAGTTATAACATGGTCGATTTTGACATCTCCTAGGTCAACTGTTTCCATAGAAATTATGCTTAAGCTCGGATAGACCTTCTTGAAGGATTTTGCAGCTAAGGTATGCTCACGATCTGGAATAATCAAGTACTTGAGATTGAACGATTCAGCCTCCTTGCCCGTCGTTCCATTGAGAACATTAAGGGCATCTACTACTTCTTTTCCAAAGGGGATAGGCGACCAAACTAAAATTTCATTATCATATTTCAAAAGCGCCATTCGTGCGCCAAAATTAAATTTGTCAAACCTTGAAAATGGACAAGACGAGGTAACAATATTTGGAGTTAACTTCCTGTTAACTGCTTTAATGATATTTGGATATCCCATTCTTGATCCGATGTGTATTGTGGAAGAGCAAATTAAAACTTTGTTAGAAAGTCGAATGAGCAATCATGAAAAGAAGTTCGCTGTCTAAATGTCACATTATGCGATATTGTTAACAAATCCGTGAAGTTCAATTCCGTGTTTTTAATCTCCATATTAATGGACGACCACACACAAAAGTAGCCACTGCTACCTAATTGATCCTTGTAAAGTTCAGTCGAAAATGCTGTGTCTATCAATACTAGAGTCTTACGGACAGAATTATACGCATTTATGCAGCGTTATCTACTACATCATAATAATTATATATTGTAAAATACTATATGTAGAAAACTATGTTCTTGCTGGCCTTGTATCTCATATACTCACTGTCAGGAGCTATAAAAACTAGTGAAAGGATACCCATATAACTTTCTCTTTTTTGATTTGAGATCTATTTAATTGATCTCATCAAACAAAATATTATATCTGGATAAGGAGGATAAAATTCTTTTCCATTCTCTTAATATTCATTAACCTTTGCGGTTACATCGTTTGAAACCCACGAATACCCAACGTACTGGCTTCGAAACCTATGGAGCTTGGTATCTCGAAAAATGCTTGATTAATACAATAGTTCTATTATATGAGGTCAAAGATATCGCTAGATTTTTTCGGCCCGTTGGTATTGCTTGTCTTATTACTTGGAGATAGAATTAAATGCGAATTAAATCCCGGAGGGAAGCTTGGACTGTTTGATCCCAGTTGTAATTGTTGAAAATTAGATTGAGGCTTAATATTAAATGCTGGATTGAGTTTAGGCGCCTCATTGTCTCTTGGTTTATCATCTCTGTTATCGTTGGAAACTCTAAGGGTCCGTAAAACGGAGGCATTCTGGGAACTGGATCCAGTGGAACCAAAAGATAGCTGAGTTTTTCTACCTTGCTGACTATCACTTTGTGTTCTAATCGGTTGTAATATATTTTTTGTTTTTGGTACCTTTAAAATATCATCTTTTTTACCTTCAGTCAAGTTTTGGCCACTGATTACTTTCGAAAAGCTCATATCACCACTCTTGGTCGTTTGACTCGATGATTTAGGCAAGTTTTCTATATTTCGATCCATTAATGCGGTTTCAATTTGGCGAGTATAGCTCATGAACTGAGAAAATTCTTCTTGTGTACACCCATGACATCCAAAAACCAAAAGTAAGCTTTGACACAATATAAAGTCAACTGATGTTTCGATGCTTAGGGTAATATGATCAGACTTATTCAAATTGACAAAAAACTTCAAAACTGGGGCCACAATGCGCTTATCCCTGCTTTTTAAATTCTTCAAGAGAGGTAGAATTTGGTCTTCTACTATGATCTTATCAATTATTTTTCGGCTGACGAGCATTTCAAGGTTTTCTATTATCAAAACTTTAACAGAAAGCAGCGTCGTTGTCTTGAACACTTGACATATCAATGGGAACAAGTTATTTTTTATGTATGGGAAATCAAATTTTCCAGCTACACCAGGTAGTTTCTTGAAATATACCTCTTGAAGTTTAATTTGATCTTCTTGATTATCTGTGTCCACAGGAGAATTAAGAGCCAAATCGGATAACTTTTTCGCTAGATCTATTAGCAGTCGATCGTTCAATTTTGACTCAAGAACTTCCAAATTTTCAATTAACGTCATCCTTGTTCTCACTGAACAATTCAAAAGCTTCTTACCCACGCTCTGGACTTTAGATTTCACTTCATCCTTTAGGAGTGATTCGTATATAACATCCTGGAAAGTCAAACGGGATAAAGTTGACCCAATTTTGAAAACCACGGTCAACGAGTTAGTAATCAACAACTCATTCAAAGTATCCAAGTTTCTGTTGCTTGCTAAATTTAGCTCCTTAGTTATCAAATCAATTAATAAAGGCAAAAGTTTATGTACATTAAATCCATCGGGAAACTGAGATATCAAGCTATTCCCTTCTGAATCGGCTTCTGACAAACCTTTAGTAAAGATAGTTTTCTCTTCAAGTGTCTTTGTAGATATTTCGTCAATGAAAAGCATAGCTCTTATAAGATTACCTTGGAAAAAGTCAGAATCGATGAATTGATCGATGGTAATCCTTTCATTAGGATAACGTGCAAGTATTTGAGGGAACAATGGGTATAACTTGTCAGGAACATTTTTTAAGAAATACCTTAATTCACTGGGTCTGTGATTATAAAACTTGTTTTCAAATCTTTTAAACTCACTTTTATAATCACTTATGCTATTAGTGTCAAAACAGTTTAAAATAGCTTCACCTTTATTGTAAAGATAAAATATTAGACATCCCAAAGACCATATATCATTTCCTGGATCAAGAATCAGTTGTTTATCTATTAAAAGCTCTGGTGCAGTATAATTGACATTAAGATTACTGAAGGGGACCAAGGAAGAATTATGCATGAGAAAAAAGTTCAGGCGTTCCAGGGGCAGGATCTCTTTAAGATCTTTTAAAAACCTGAATCCTGCTAGTTTCCAGTCACCCTGTGTATTAATAAATACGGAAGACGGTTGTAGATTGAAGTGAATAATGGAGCAGTAATTATGTAAAAATTGCAAGCTTTTCGCTATTTCCAACAATCCTTTCTGAATGCTTAAGTTGTCTAACTTAGCCAAGTCAGTAGTGACTAAACTTCCTTTCACAGGTTCCGTTGCAAATAAAAATTTCAGTTTAGTTTCTTCAAGTGTTTCAAAAACAGTCAATATTTGTGGATGCTTTAGCTTACTTAACTGGGTAACTTCATATTTGATAAGTTCATAGCAATTACTTATAACCACCTTGGGATTGTTGCTTGACATAGACAGACACATTCTATGAATTTGAGATTCAAACTTTGACTTATCAAAGATGAATACCGATACCGCTCTTCCCAGGGACCTATGCTTAGCTGGGTAAACTTTCCATGCATCAGAAGAAAACAGAGGATTCTCCAGGACATCATATGAGGATCGAATTCCTGTCCTGAAGACTGATTTGAACATGCTAAAATTCTATGAGTAATTTAATGCTTTCAAAAGTTCAATATCAAATCTCAATTAGAGTAAGAAAACATTTCGAGCGAACTACTTTTTTTTTATACAAATTGCACCAGAATCATTACTAAAGCACCTAAACATGGAATTGATAGAAGAAAATTACCAGCATTCTGCTGAAAGGCTAGACAAACCATCACAGTATTTGATTAAAAAGGCCATTCGAAGACAAAATTTTGAAAACTTAACAAGGGCCCTTCACCTGAAGACTATATACGTAGGAAACTTGTCTCATTTCACAACAGAGGAACAAATACATGAATTATTCCTGAAATGTGGTCCAATAGATAGAATAATAATGGGATTGGATCGAAACAAATTAACCCCTTGTGGATTCTGCTTCATAATCTACAAATCGGAAGATGGATCTTTGAACGCAATGAAATACTTGAAGGGAACTTATCTCGATAGCCAAACTTTGGAAATTGACCTAGATCCTGGGTTCAGAGAAGGCAGACAATTTGGAAGAGGTGTTTTTGGTGGACAAGTTAGCCAAGAGTCACAAAACAATACCCAAAGAAGGCGATTTGAATACAGAGGCGGATTTAGAGGACGAAGCAGAGGTAGGGGTAGAGGTACTTTCCGTGGACGAGGAAGTACATTCAGAGGTAGAGGAAGAGGTGGATTTAGAGGTAATCTGGACTTCTCGATCCAGAACCTGTCGGATGCAACATTTAATGATCAAACATCAGTGAACAGTTCAGGGGATATGAATACCGAGTGAATCTCCCCATGATCAACCTCTTAGATTAGTATTTAGTCCTATTTCATCTATATTACAGCACAAACTTCATCAGCAGTTAGGTAACTTATAATTTACGCAAAATGTTTGTTTTAATAATACTATACGCTATTATTATGAGTAGTCCTCTGTAAATGAAGTCTCGAGCTAAGTGTGACAGTAGCTTGGATCTAAATTTTCAACATACTGCATATACTTAGAGAATAACATCAAGTTAAATACTTAAATTAAAGGCTATCTATCAGATTAGAGGAGTTGGCAGTAGACGATAGAAAAACAGGTCAAGATGTCGTCTCATCCTTCTCTGGCTTCCTCTGTATTAGATGGTGGAAGGGGGAGAACGAAGGCTCAATCAAATTCTAGTTTGCATGTTCCTCAACATCTCAAGAAGAGTCATTCCAAAGGTAAAGTACACAGCCGTTCACTGTCACATACCAAATTAATGAATAAAGTGTCCGCCCCTGGTGGTACGTCAGGAGTACTATCACGCCCCAATTTGGGAAGATCCAAATCGACTGACATGCTACTTCGAACCAATTCCAGAGGCGGTGCTAAAAGAAGCAACAGATCTTTCACGAAATTGTCGGGTCTTCAACCATTGCTGAAGACCACCTCAAACCAATCCTTGAAACTGAATAAGTCCAGTGGATCCTTAAAGGGATTATTTGGAGCTTCTGTTACCGGGGCTGCGACTGCTGGTCTACGTACAAGTGGAAGAAAGGGTAAGGCCATCATGCGCTTGAATGACGATGACCCCGATAGTCAGGAATACGAGGACATGAAAAACGACGAAGAGAGTAATACCTCATTAGAGCCTGAACAAAATGATAGAAATTTAGCAGATGATATCGCAGAATCACCTGAGAACCGTCTTTCTTCAGGAAAAGAGGTTCCAAGTTCTAGTGAGATAGAATCGTATGAAAATAATGATAATGATCTTCAAATAATGAATGCACCAAACAAAGACCAGACATTTATGGGTTTAGATAACCGCACCTCTCCTTCTCAAGATCCACAAAAGGGCAAGAAAGTGGTTCAGGGCGAACTAATTGGAAAAAATTCAGCCCAAACTGAGAGCTCAATAGATGAAACTCAGAACATGTATGGCGGATCATTCTTACTATCACAATCTACAGGCTTGACGAAAAAACTAGATAAAGGAAAGGGCGGCAATAGTCGATCTAAAAATGATGTTTATAACGGTAATGGTATTGTTGTACCTCACAGTGAAAACATAGGGGGCCCTAATAATTCAGAATCCTTGACTGGTATCTCTTTTAAGGCAAAGCCAATTGATAATGTCGCAGAACCAGTTGTAACTAATAAGACTGTCAATCAAAATAACTCATATCAACCAAATCAAACAATTTTTAGCAATTTACAAAGGACAAATTCTCAGTACTTATCATCCAAGAAGCATCCAAAACAGTTGAAAAATTATCAAAAACACTTTGGTCTGGGGCCTGATGATATTGACAGTAATACTACAAATTTTTCAAATTTCTTGAATAAACAACACTCTTTCCAATCAGAAAACAATATGGACACAAGAACACAACAAAGACTATGGTTACAACGAGAAAGTTCATTGATGGATATTCCGAGTGAAGGTCATATACCGAATCTTTCCACACTTTCTTTGAGCAATATGATGTTCCCAAGCAGCTACTCTCAGAGTTCTGCTTCCAACAGAGACACCTCTCAGAACATGTTGGCAATGACACCAGCACCTCAGCATTCAACCACAAATGAAGCTTTCACTGGAGGTCCAGAAAATGGAAGCCTGACGAACATCAATGGTTTATTTATGATGATACAAAATCACCAAAATTCTATTCAATCTAGAACAGAATATGAAAGGTTAAATAGGGAATACTTAAATGTGAGGCGTCATTTGAATCCAGTAGGCGAATGTTTAAGCAGGCTTGAAAAAAAGTCGAGGAGTAAAAATGAAATTGACGTATTGAAATCAAGACTGAGTTCAAAGTCTCCTCTGTTATCATTAAGTACCCGAGATAAAAATAACAATTCATTTAATGAATTTTCGCCGCTTTTTCAGGACAAGAAAGATGAAATAGTCCCGACTTTAAATTCAATCTGGCAAGATGCATTGGTTTCCTCCCTGTCTGTGACTCCCTCGCCCACGTCGCAAATGTCACCAGCGATACAAGGGCTGTCATGGAACAACCAACGCCCTATTAACCCTCGAGGATCATCATATAATAACTTACGTTCTTCTCAAACTCCAACCACTAGAGCAGTCAAGTTAGCTGCTGCACATGCAGCTTCGCTGTCGAATCACAGACCAAACGAGCAGCTAGTCAATATAAATTGATACCTAGTGAAATTCTATTCGTATAGGTTTGACTTTAAAAATAGGAAATATAATATATCTACATCTTTCGGAGCAAGAATCAATCAATCTGAATACTTATTATCATGTATTTACAAGATATATTTTAATCTATAAACATAGGCACGAAAATGCTAAAAACTCTCTCTGATCTGCCTCTAACCTTGTCTTTGCTTATGCTTTCCATTTGACTTACAGTACACGTAAACTCTACCCTTCCTTCTTACCATATAGCAATCTTTGCAAAACTTTTTAACGGATGTTCTTACCTTGAATCCCCTGTTAAAGATCAACGGTTGAAATAATGAAGACCAGTACTGTGCATTTCCTGTTATGGGAACTATCCTTGAGAAACTTGGTGTCACCAACACTCTCCTTATCTGCCTGCTAGTAGCAGATATAACTCCAAGCATTCTTCTTAATCATTAATACCCTCGAGTATATCAGATTCCTTTCTTAGAAATTTTCAAATTTACCGATTGACTGCTTACATAATCGAAATCAGAAACTCGAGCTCACTCTCGAACCAACACGTCGATGAAAAGGGATCGACAACAACAAGCAAAACTAGGCATTGGAATCTGATTTGGTAAATACGTTATAAGAGGGTGGAAGCAGTCCAGTATGTCAACTCAATTATATAAGAAACAGGATTCGCAATTTGCGTCGGGAGAAATCCCAGACAAAATGGCAGTATTCCAAGATTGTTTACAGCAGTTCAATGCTTCTCCCGTGAATGCCAAAAGATGCCGTCAGTTATTAGGCAAATTATTGAGATTAATATATCATGGTGAGACATTTCCCTCTCAGGAGTCTACCACATTATTTTTCTCTATATCTAAACTTTTTCAGCACCGAGATGTTTCATTGAGGCAAATAGTCTACTTGACAATCAAAGAGTTGTCATCAACGTCTCAGGATATATTGATGGTAACATCATCGATCATGAAGGATATACAAAGTGGGGATTTGGTTTATAAACCTAACGCCATCAGAACTTTGTCAAAAGTGTTGGATCCTTCAACCGTGTCGGCACTGGAAAGATTATTTAAAAACGCTATTGTTGATAGGAATCCTACAGTATCTTCCGCTGCATTGATCTCCTCTTACCACTTACTACCAATCGCAAAGGATGTCGTTAAGAGATTCACAAATGAAACTTTGGAGACTATACAAAGTTTTAAGCAATTTCCAGCAAATCAATTTCAGCTTCACGAATATTATGGAAGTTCTACTTCTAATTTGCCCTCCACGTCTTACATGTATCAATATCATGCTTTGGGATTATTGTATCATTTAAGAAATCACGATAAAATGGCATTGATGAAATTAATAACTTCCTTGTCTGAGGGATCTACTTTGAAAAACTCTTTGTCTATCATCCAGTTAATAAGATACATCAATAAAATATTGATTGATGATGAGTCTTTACTTAATCACTTGTATCCTATTTTGGCTGGCTTTTTGAAACATAAGAGTGATATGGTAGAATTGGAGGCTTGTAAGTCTCTTTTGAATTTACAGCATTTGATAAAAGATGAGCAATTTATGGGTGTTGTTAACACTTTACAGAAGTTACTTAGTGTTCCCAGAACAGCAACAAGATTCTCTGCTATAAGATTGATAAATAAGGTATCTTCCAGGCATCCTGAGAAAATCATGGTTGTCAATTTAGAGTTAGAAAATTTGATCAATGATTCAAATAGATCAATCTCTACATTGGCTATCACCACCTTGTTGAAGACTATGGGTGCCGGTACTATTGATACAGGTTCTGAAGGTAGCGAAAACGTTGATAGGTTGATTTCAAAAATGACTTCTTTGATGGATGACATAACTGAGGACTTTAAAATCGTCATTATTGAAGCAATTGAAAACTTGGCATTGAAATTCCCAGCCAAGCATAAAAAATTGGTTTCTTTCTTGACAGATTTGCTTCGAGACGATGGTTCTTTGCAACTTAAATCTTGCATTGTTGATGCGCTATTTGACTTGAGTAAATTTCTACCTGATGCCAATGCGAAACAATTGATATTGATGAACTTGTGCGAATTTATTGAGGATTGTGAATTCACCGAGCTCTTAGTCAGAATTTTGCATTTGCTCGGAGACGAGGGTCCATATACGCTGAATCCATCGTATTATATCAGACATATCTACAATAGATTGGTATTGGAGAATTCTATTGTGAGATCTTCTGCCGTCATATCACTTGCTAAATTTGCTATTATATGCGGTGGAAGTGTTGCTAAGAATTTGAAAATTTTATTGGGAAGGTGTTTGAATGACGTCGACGATGAAGTCAGAGATAGAGCAGCTTTATCATTAAAGTTTATCAATAGCAACCAAAAAAGATTAATTGTATCTGATACTAGGTACGACCTTGCTTCATTAGAAAGTAGGTTAACACATTATTTGAATGACGAATCTAATTTTGATCATGAATTCGATATTAATGAAGTTCCTGCTCTCTCCAAGGAAGAGATGAAATCTATGGAGTACACTAAAAAGATATCGAAATTGGAATCAACGAATAACGATTCAGCGGAGATTAACGACTCTCAAAACCTATCTGCTAATGAAAATGAACAGGTCAAGAGTGATGATACCGCCAATGATCTTCTTAAACAACAACAGTATGCACAAGAAGTATTAAGCATTCCTGAGTTCTCAGGTTATGGTAAGCTAACCAAATCTACCATGACTCCAGTTTATTTGACTGATAAAGAAAATGAGTTCGTTGTTACGGTCGTAAAGCACTTTTTTATTGAATCAAAAAAGATGGTTTTGCAATACAACATTACAAACACTTTGCCTCGCTTGGTTTTACAAGATATTACAGTGATAGCTCAACCAGATAATGAACTATATGAAGAAGACTTCATAGTTCCTTTAGTCGAGTTAAGGCCAGATCAGACAGGCATCGTTTATGTTTCTTTCAGCACTCCAGGTATCGAGAACGATGAGCTTCTCGCTGCCTTTGGAAGCACTGTAGCTTACACAAACAAGGATATAATAGATGATGAAGGTAACATCGATCCCGCTGATGAGGGTTGGACTGATGAATATCAAATTGATGACTTAGAGATTCAAGTAGGTGATTTCACTTTCCCATCATACAACTCAAACTTTACTGAAATTTATGATCAACTTCCAAATTACGAAAGTACTGTTGTAACTTTATCGTCTGTCGATAACCTTGAGAATGCTGCTATTAAGTTGAGAACAACTTTTAACCTTATGCCATTAGATGGATCGGATTACGTTCCAAGTGATGCAACGTCTCACATTTTGAAATTGTTTGGTAAGGATGTATGGGGCGGCAAAGTCGGTGTCTTAGCTAGGCTTGCTGCGACAGGGGGTAAAGTTGTTGTCAAATTGGAGGTGAAAGCTGAGACAACTAATTTTAGTGCGATCGTTGCTGGGGGAATATACTAATCTCTATTTTGTAGGAAAATAAGATGATATATCAAATACAAAAACTTATATAAAATTTTATAATAGACATCCAAGGATCCAAAGTCTTTTTTCGTCCGAGGTCAGTGACATAAGGATTCATAGAAAAATCTTGAATACATATAAACTGTCCAGGTAGTTAAAAATTCCGAAATAACCCACAATAGTTTCCATTCCATCGAAATAATAATGTACAGTGAAGGTAGCGATCTAACAGAATCATGACTTATATTGCATTTTTGGCCCCTCTGATTTCATGTGCTTGTACAAGAGACCTCCCGAAAAGTAAACGAAGAGGGCGGCCAAAAGTATCAGAAAAAAGATCCAGATTACAGCTAAATTGCTCTCTTTAGCTGCAGTTGGGCACGCTTCATGAGATCTGACTTCAAAAAAATAGTTGCAGTCGTTGAAGGAACCAATGAACGAAACGGTGGCCCTACCTTGCATCTCTCTGTCGCAAGTGAATGTCAACAAGGTAGACTTCCTCATTAACTGCCCAGTTGTCTTGTCAATTAAACCATCACAGGCAGACCCATTTTCATATGTCAAGGTAAGCTTCTTTCCTCTAAAAACTGGGGTACTGGAATATTCTCCTAGAGAAACATATTTACTACTCTTTGAATCTCTATAATAAGCACCAACTTTTTCAGCACTTACACCATCCTTCATCTCCGTTACCTCGTCATGATGCTTTTTGAAAGGGTTCGAACATATCCCTATAGTGTAGTTGTGTCCGCTATCATAACCTTTAGAGGTCCAAGGCAAAGCTTTACCTTCATTTGCACTGGATGAAAGACCTCTTAAATCAATAAACCCATGGTTTATGGGATTAGTCGCTGTACATGGCTCAATTATTCCTTGAACTAGATTGTATTCTTCTAGCTTTTGTTTCTTATCTGATGATATTGCATTAGAATTAGATTTCAGTCTTTGGTAGCTAGCTTCTTTACTCTCTATGTAAAAGAAAAATCCACCGCAAAGAACAATAAGTAGTCCCAATAGTATGACTCTTCTATACTTTATCATACTATTTGGCTGAACATATAATTCCTTAAATCCTTTCGGTTTTGTCAATCAACCTGTAGCGAGGAATAGTAGTAGATTACCTAATATGTTTTGAGTTTCTCGGACGAAGACAATTTTAAGATTCACCTTTAGGGCTAATAGATCGCTAAATTACTTCAACAATGGACGCGTGGACCACCTCTTTAACAGAGGAGCAGCAACCGTCATCAAATGTAATGCTACAGGATGATAATAATATACTTAATTATTCAGATCCTCTTTTATCAAAGATTCTTAGAGCCAAAAAGGAGCTACATACAGCCATGGAACTGAAGATCAATGATGGTGAAGGCGACGAATCACTAATTGAACTTTTAGTTAGTGCTTGTGATGGAGACTTGGTGACTTTGGAAAGCTTACTTAGAAGTAAACCAGGTATTGTGGATGAGTTGTACCCTGAAGATTCAGGTGTTACGTCCTTGGTGTGTGCAATTTGTTTTGATAATTATGAAGTAGTAGATTCATTATTATCATCGCATGGTGCTGACCCTGATATATGTGATACTATAGTGCATTATACTCCCATGATGTGGGCAGTGTATTTAAATCAATTGCCTATTGTCAAATTATTGATGAACCAACAAGCAGATCCATATCTCTCACCAGAGAATAATGGTAAAAATGCAATCACATTGCTAAACCCTGAAAATACTCTTTTGTATGAGTATTTTAAATCCCACAATTTGTTGCAATCTTCGAAAGATGCTGATGGTGATGATTTTTTCAGACCTGAGTATGAACCTCAGGATCCTTTGGCCGATGAACTTTCTGTCAAATTAAAATTACAGAGTATTGCTAACAATCCTTACGACGAAGAGGATTTAGATGATAGAGCTGCGGCACTAGATGAGGAAGCTGAATTGTCATTGGATCCTATTCTTGTGAATCGAAAGGATTTTGAATATGACAAGCTAATCTCAGGCCAATATATTAAATTTACAGATAGCGATATACCGTCACTTTTGGATTACATTTTCAAATTGAGAACGACAAAACTCGCTTATCAGCATGATTCAAAGGTTCCTGCTGCGATAGTATTTCAATTAATTAGATATTCACACTTGAAAGTGAAAAGTGATGAATTGACTGAATTCTTGTTTGAGTGCTTTAGTGCTAGATTAAGATCGGTGACTAACACTAAGTCCGGTGTCTTTAATATGGCAACAACTGATAATGCAAGTGCGGCAGCTGGTGCAGGTGATATTGTTTTGTTGAGTTATTGGTTGTCGTCTCTTCAATTTCTTCATTTTTATTTCAGTAAAAATGACATTTATATCAGCTACCCCAAATTTTTACAAGAAATTATAAATTTGGTCCAATCATTGATTGCAACTTTATCATTTTCAATAAATTCGAGATTGAACTTATTGTTAGATGATTGTCTTTTGAATTTCACAAGTTTGGTCGATGTGTCTAACGTATTGTATGAGAAGGATTGGAACTTTTTTAAAAATAAAAAGAAGCACCCGTTCACTTATGACGATATATACGAGATGTTATATCCACCATCACAAACTGAGCAAATGAAGCCTTCGCCTATCAGGTATATTCAAGTATTGGGTGCCCTTGATTATGTCTTGAAAATACATGAGGTTGATAAGCTCTTCAGGGTTCAAACTTTTTCACAAGTATTCTATTACATCAATGCAGTCATTTTCAATCGGCTTATGAGCAACGCGAAATATTGCTCGAGAGCAAAAGCGATCCAAATAAGGTTAAATATTTCAACCTTAGAGGACTGGTTGAGATCGCATAACTATAAAATATACAGACCTGAGGTAATAGGACATATTAACAAATTAGTAGGTGATACCAATATAAGGTTGCATAACATTTTTTCAGAGGAAACTGAGGACAAAAGAGATCCACATACACTTGCATTTTACTATAATTCCTTGTATCATGTTGGCAAAATCCAGTTGCAGCCTACATTTGAACTTCTTCAATGGTTGCAATGCATGTCTCTGCTACTGGATGAAGAAAGTTTAATCATAACCATTAACCAATTTGACGCATTAAACTATTATCAGCTTTATAAAGTTATACATAAATTGTACAGATATGAAGTTGATGAACCAAAAATTCCTAAAAAACTAATCAATGTGGTGAAAGCTTTAATGAATGAACAGGGCGAGAAGCAAATTGAGAGAAGTCACTTGCACTATATGACTCAATCTACTTTTTTGGTAAAAGAGCTATACATATATTTAAATCCAAATTATATTTTTGAAGTGGCATTGCCTAATTTGGCAGAACTTATTAGCAATTATGGATCTGGCATTGGAGGTGTTAAAATTTATAGAAGCAGAAAGTATCAACCATCTTTGCCGATCGCTATTTCTGACGATATTGAAGAACTATTGAGTAGCAATAGAGCTACTGTAAATGATGACTATGACTATGAACAGCAGCGAGATGACTATAGACCCGAAGAAAACAACGGGGAGGATTTAACCGAGGATAATTTCAAAGGTGATGAAATGTTCAAGCAAGTCCAATTGCCAAACACATTAGTACATAAAGAATGGGGTGATGAGGATATAGACACAAATCCTTGGTAATTGGTGTATTTTTCTTCGAAAGACAGACATGTATTTTACTCATTCAGAGCGACGGTTAATCTAGAGACCTCTTATTACAAATTATGTATATTCTATTCATCTTTTGAATTGTCATTAAGAACTATTTGTCAATTATGTATATACAAGATATCAGAAGGATGACAATCTGATCACATCTTCGAAATGAAGTTGTTGTAGTTGATTTTCTTGGTATTCGCCTTAGTAAGGTGTTTCCTCCTCCACTTCATGAAATCAGTCTCTTTCAACTTGGCATCTACTTTCAGCTTGTCGAGGCAATCCCACAACCAATCTGGGTATTCTGAATCCTCTAATGCAATCGGTTCATCACCACTTTTTTTAATTTTCAAATTCAAGACAGTTCCTGCTTTGCAAGACGATTTTGGGGCACTATTTAAAGATACATGCGAGGTCACAAAGTTCCTCGCTAGACGAGTTATACATGCATTGGCTTTGTTCATATTTATTATACCTCCTGATTAAAATCTTTGACCCCTGTTGTTGTAATTTGATTTGAAGATTTTCTTTACCCGGCAAGTTCAAAAATGTCAAAAGCGACATAATTAAATGTCGTACAATTCTCGACATTTTGATGAAAAAAAATGTTCAAAAAAAGGTCAGAAGCAGTTCAATCCAAAGCCAAAAGAAAGTAATAAAGTAATAAGTCTTTTTAATATAATGGCTCCAAAAAAGAAGGTTCAACAAGAGAAGCCCATACTATTGGGTAGACCAGGTAATAACTTGAAGTCCGGTATTGTTGGTTTGGCAAATGTTGGAAAATCAACATTTTTTCAAGCTATCACAAGATCACCTTTAGGAAATCCTGCAAACTATCCTTTTGCTACAATTGAGCCAGAAGAAGCTAAAGTTATTGTCCCATCTCCAAGGTTTGAGAAATTATGTGAATTGTACAAACCAAAAAGCGAAGTTCGTGCGTATATGACTGTTTATGATATTGCTGGATTGACTAAGGGAGCTCACGCCGGTGAGGGTTTGGGAAATAATTTTTTAGCAAACATTAGAGCTGTTGACTCTATCTTTCAAGTTGTGCGTTGTTTCGATGATGCTGATATTATCCATATTAATGATGAGGTGAATCCATTTGCTGACTTGGAAATCATTCATGATGAGTTGAGATTGAAAGACATTGAGTTCGCCCAGAAACATTTGGAAGGGATTGATAAAATCACCAAAAGGGGTGGCCAATCCTTAGAAGTTAAACAAAAGAAGGAAGAGGCGGAGCTTGTTAAAAGAATCATCGCATTATTGGAAGATGGTCAAAGAGTTGCAAATCAAAAATGGACCTCTAAAGAAGTTGAAGTCATCAATGGAATGTTTTTATTGACTGCCAAGCCTTGTATTTATTTAATCAACTTGTCAGAGAGGGATTACGTTAGGAAGAAGAATAAGCATTTATTGAAGATCAAAGAATGGGTTGATAAGAATTCTCCAGGCGATTTTATTATACCAATTTCTGTCTCACTAGAAGAAAAATTGGCCAATATGGAGACCGATGAAGAAAGGGAAGCATACACCAAAGAGCTTGGTGCTCAGTCTGCTTTGCCTAAGATTATAACTACTATGAGACAAAAGCTCGACTTGATTTCCTTTTTCACTGGGGGCCCAGACGAGGTTAGAGAATGGACAATTAGACGTTTCTATACTGCTCCTCAAGCTGCTGGTACCATTCATACTGATTTGGAGAGGACATTTATTTTGGCACAGGTAACGAAATATGACGACTTGATTGAGTACGGTGATGAAGCTAGTGTCAAAGCAGCAGGAAAGTTACTCCAGAAAGGTAAAGATTATATAGTAGAAGATGGAGACATATTATATATCAAGGCTGGTGAAGGTAAAGCTCGTTAGGATGCAAAATCTTCATAGTTTATATACTCTATATAATATATTGACCACGTGCTTTTCACTGTATTTTGACATCTGCGCCTTGTTATAGCTTAACAAGTTTCTGCTTTAAATGGAAGTATTCGCTGTTACAAATTGAACATGGATTATTCGTAAGGGTAACTTGGAAACCGCAGGTATAGTATGAGACGTGTGCTAAGAAAGCTTATAATACTTCTCATAATTGTGTTTACGGTAATCACGGTGACTTGTCTATCATTTGAGAATTTAACACACTTATTATGGAAAGCGATTGTGAACACAGAACCCCGAATCAACGATTTTTGGAGGGATGATAGAGATCTAAGAAATGAATTATTATATTCCAAACATGTTTATGGTGGGTACGAGCATTTTTTAAAGGATGCAATTAATGGTGATATAAAAAATTTTAGGAAGAAGGATTTAGCAGAAAGATGCAAAATCTTTTTTGACCATTTTCAAAGTAAAAATCCTAACTGGGGATTTGATGAATTCAAATCATTTCATTTCGAAAAGAATATCGTGAAGAAGAAGAAATATTTTGAAAACAAATTCAAACAGCTTAAGCTTGAGTCGACATTCTCGGAGATAGGTAGGAAAGACTTTGTAGCAATATCCAAGGAGTTTCAAAGAGCCGTGAATGAATCACGGGAAGTAGAGCAAAAGATGGCTGATACAATTACATTAATGCGGATATATGGGAAGTGTTTTTTGAATGAGCAAGAGAAATCCGCAGAACAAGCTGCAATATTTGAGGATTTTTCGAGTCACATTTTTCCGTTTATTGCTAAGCTGCTTCCAACTTTTGAAAGCCTAAATGGTGAGACAACCCCGCGAGCTTTCCCTGTATTTGATGGTAACCAATATACCTCGAAGACGAAAGATTTTGATGGTACGCATATTATTGATTATATGCATAAGAATAGTAATGGAAGAGGAATTGTGGTGTCAGCGTCTAAAAGACATGTTAAGGATCTTGTTAAACTAATAAGGGTTTTGAGAGCTTTGAACAATGAGCTCCCTATTGAAGTTGTTCATAAAGGTGATATAGGAAAGTATTCGGCACAATACATTACGTTTGCAGCAACTGCGGATCGTAAAGAGCTATTGGACCCAATCAACCTTTCAGATAGTGATAAGGTTTCGCCTGAAATAGATCTTTTAAGAGATCTGCAAAAGTTTGGCTCCTATTTCCCTAAACAAGAGATTTGGTTCGTTAACGTAACACCGAGTATTCCAAGGGCTTTTAAATATTCTTTTGGGGGCTACTTCAATAAGATACTTGCATTAATCTTTAATTCTTTCCGAGAAGTAATCATGCTAGATGTTGATGTGGTGCCATTGATTCCTGTAAAGGAATTCTTCGAGATGAAACAATATATGGAGACATCGGCCCTTTTTTTCAAAGACAGAAGCCTCAGAGATACAAATGACTTCATTGAAACCAATTTTTTCGCTAAGCTTTTTCCAGTAAATAAGAACTCGATTGATTCATTATTTGATATCCCTCTCGTTAATAAAACTTTGCATAATAGTTATATGAAGGGATGGAGGCATAATCAAGAAGCTGGAGTAGTAGTTGTCGATAAAGTGAAGCACTTCATGGGAATCCTAATGATGTTGCCATTGACTTTATGGAAAGAGCCCGTTAAATCTTCCATTTGGGGAGACAAAGAAATGTTTTGGTTGGGGTTTGCGATGGCTGGAGATGAAAATTATAACTTCAATACAAATTCTGCCGCAAGCGTTGGTGAGATAACATCGAACTCACTGCACCAGCATTATGTCGGATCTTTGTCTCAAGAGATTTGTTCATCGCATCCTGGCCAGATTGATGATAGTGGCAAGTTATTATGGATAAACTCAGGCTTTGACTATTGCAAAAAGAACACATATTACAGAGATAAGAACAAATTTCCATTTTCTGAAATGGATATAAATGATTTGTCAAATTTATTCAAGTCACCTTTAAAAATAAGGCACTCCATAGTTCCTCCAGATCTCCCTGTTTACAGAACTTTAGATAACCCAGAAGTTGTCATGAAAGAACACTCCTCTTTACTGCAGAAACAGGCGCAGGATCTTCAAGATTTAGATTCAGGGAGGATTAATCAAGTATTCAATATAAACCCTCAAGATGGGTGGCTGAAGAGCCCCATATGTACAGGCTATTTTTATTGTGCTTACGATATTTATGATGGATCTGAAAAATTTGACAGTAAGGGAAAAGTCTATGAATTTGACGATACAGAGGTCAAGTTTTATGACTACATAGGAAAAATTTGGACAACTGGAAAAGAAAAGAAGAGAATGGAATTGCATACCACATCCAAAAATCAGAAATACAAAGGAAAAGGTTAAAAAAAAAGATTTTATAGATTACTTACGATAATTAATGATACCATTAGATAAAACAGTACACACTCACTTCTTAGATTGTAAAACAATAGAGTGCGTTCCCATAGCCTTTCTTAAAAGATCACTATTACCATCAACTATGTCATCATTCGTGACATTTTCTTTTAACAAAGTAGAAATGTGTTCTTTGATCTTTTTTCTCTCTTCTGTGGATAACGCAGTAATATAGGATCTGGTTTCCCAATATTCATATATTTGCTCCCGTTTGATTTCACTTACATAGAGCATAAAGTTTTCGTGAGTAATTGGTGTAAAGAAGTCGTTCTCTTTCTCTAGCAATTTTTTCCAATCCCCATGGCGATACTGTGGGACGCCTGTGTCAAAAGTATATATATATTGACTCACTTCGCGAGACCATGGGTGCAGCTTGAAGAATTCTTCGCCAATTGTTCTAGCCAAGTTATCATCTAATGGCAAGGACTTACTGAGCTTGATGAACTTGTTTGTAGCCTCTTGTGATACATTTTCAAAGAAAAAGTTGAGTTTCGGATATGGCTTGTGCAATGTTTGGCTTATCGAGGGACAATCAAAGTTCCATATACAACCAAAAGCACCATGAGGCTTAAGTACTCTTTGGATCTCTTTAAGACTGTCCAAGTCGCTGAACCAATGGAATGCTTGTGCAGCGATAACAACGTCAACAGAATTGTCGGCTAATGGGAGCTTATAGGAAGATCCATTCACGGCTGTTACTTCTGGAAAATTCTTAGTGAAAGACTCAAGCATTCCAGTTGAAGGTTCCGCGACCGTCAAATTTCCCTTCCAGCCATTATTCACCAAGTTCTTTGTGAACTTACCTGTTCCAGCTGCAAGCTCTAGTATCTTTTTGTCAGTTTTGAAAGTAAAGCTATCAGGGCTCGTCTTTTCAGCTAAATTAAGATCTACTAAAAATTGATTCACAATTGGGGGCAAAAAAGAGGGTCTGAGCACGTCATAATTAGCGTGATTGAGATTGAAAGACTTGAGTGCTGTTTGATGTACCTTAGACATATTCTGGTTGGTTTAAATTGATGCTTCAATGCTTAGTAATTTGCTGATTTCACTACAATAGATGTTCCATCTTCTATTTTCCGTTACACAAAAATTAGTGTGGAGTAGGAGAGCTACACGAGAGTTCAAGTAGTCTAATATGTGAAATTATTAAATATTTAAAGAGCTTCGTTCAAATATATTCAATTAAGCTAATTAAAAACCTCATCGCCCATATCCTTGACTTTCAAGTTAACCGCATTCGCACGGCAAAAGTCGTCTATTCTTTCAACATTACTTGGATCGTTCAAGAATACAAACGCAGACCTTAATGTTTCTAATACTTTTATTTGGTCGTTTGATGTCTTCATCCAAACTTCCATGAAATAAAATTGGAGCAATTCAGAAAACTGGTTCTTATGAATAACCTTATTAAGTATAATGTTCAATACTCCGTCCGAATTTGATATGGATAAAAACTTGATGATTAAAACAAGGCTATCCGTAGAAAGTAGTTTCAGCTGACATAGTTTCAAAGCCTTTAATAGTGAGTGAAACTTCTTGACTAAATTCCTGTTTATTTCATCTTTCTTTTCTTTGCTTTGCGTTGACTTGTTCAAAGTATATCCAGACTTTATTAAATTACTCAATGAAAGGTTTGTTAATTTTTCTCTGTTATACTTCACATATGCCCTATTATTCTCATAAAATTCGTTTATCTCTTCAAAATTATTGCTGATCAATATAAGAGACTGCTCAGATAACGATTTCATTTCACCGTAGTCCATAGACAGTTCCGTATTAGTTAATGATTTTAGGTATTTTGTAAATGCAAGAGCGGCACGTACTTCTGGCGACTCTGTTCCCAATTCTCTAAACTTGTCCAAAACCAAGTCATAAGAGCCCATGAGAGTGTAATAATTTATAACAATTACCGCCAATTCTTTTGATTCCGTAAGACTTTTATTTAAAAGGTCCAGCCCATCAAAGTGGCTCTTAAATAAATCATTGAACTGTTCATAGTCTCCTAGCTTTAACGATGCGTTCAATACTTTGCATAGTAAAGGCAAATGGGAAGGATTTTCAACACTTAAGTCTTTTAAAATCTCATGCTTAGAAGCAAGGTATACGACTTCTCTATAGTTGTCTTTATCAATTAGAAATTGAAAAAAAGTGTTAATCCAGTCAGGATTTTTGTTCATATCATAAAGTGCGCTAAAGTTGTCCTCAATTAGATCTCTTAAGTATCTGTTGTTGGATTCCTTCAACGAGAATATCAAACAGTTCATCAAGCTTGAATCTTCAAGCAAATAATTGATTTTTAATAAATATTTTGTAACGCCTATTGTAGTCTTATCATCTTCATAACGTAAAAGTCGCTTTATTAAGTCACTTTTTACGTCGATACTAAGATCCAGTTCAAAAAGACGAGATAGTAAATCGTCTAATTTAATTATCTTTGAATCAACCTGGTTCATGATGAAGTTACTATTGATAATTATGTTCCATGTTGATTCATTAAACTTGTAGCCTTTTTTAAAGTACTCAAGAAATCTTTTTACCCCTGACTCATAATTTATGTTGAGTAAATGGCTAAGATTGAGGTTATACCCCATATCTAACTCTAATACCTCGTGGTTCGAAGTCAAATGAATGTCATATAATTTACAGGCTTCGTAAATTTCATTTGTAAAACCTATTTTCAAGTTTTCGGCTTTGTTGAACAAGTTCACAAATCCTGCTTTGAGTGATTGCTTAAATTGAATCAACTTCTCATCTAGAGGCAAATAATGATTCTCTGTGTTTTCAAATTCGAGAACTACTGACGATTGATATTGAAGTATCCTAAGCAATTGTTTTCCATCTGTAACTTCATTATGGTATGTATAATCTGACAAAAATTCCGAAATCACCAATAAACCGAATATATTATCCTCCTGTAAATCAAAAGACGAGAATGCTTTGCTGACCATCTCAGAATTCATGACCATTTTGACATTATAGTCACTTCTTTCCAAAATTAAATAGTTAATGACATCTGAGAGGAAATCATTCAAGAACTTTGGATTACTTTGATAGTGGATTGATTGGTTTTCTAGTAAATTCCATAAAAGCTCAAAATATTGTGCATTAAATCCCCTTGAAACAACACCATGATGTAAATAAAGTGAGACCTTTTTCAAAACCAGTAATTCACGAATGAGATGATTTTTCAACATAATTTCTTTCATCAACTGAAAGACTTTCTCGTGGTCACCTAAGTCAATAGCTAATGATAATAGGGAATCACGGCAGTGCGATCTATTTTCACCGAAAACCAATGAATCCTTACCGAATTCTGCACTTTGAAAATCCTTACGAATTGCCACATAGTCATATAACTTCCAAACAAAACGATAATATTCTTCCTGTTTCAGACATATTGACTCCAAATTTGTTCGATCCTCCTGTTTCTCGTATTCCAATGAATAATATTGGTTGATGAACTTATTGATCATGACATTGTAAACTGATATTGATAGTTCTGGTAGATAAGAGTTTTCATTAAACCTCAATAAAAGCTCGTAACAAGATTTCAAACCATCGATGGACGAATCGATGCTCATGACCGAACTTAAATAAACAGAAAGTAAATTCGAAATTTCACTTTTAGATGGTCTTTCCAAAGAGTTGAGGGAGATTCTATAATCTATTAGTATATCGTCCAAAAATTTTGTAGCAAGTCTCATGTTACCATTGCGAATTAATGAACGAATTAAAGCGGCATAGATTTCATATTCGGAATCAAAAAGATCTGGATTTTGTATGCAACTTTGTTTATAGTTTTGGTACAAATTGATTATATAGTCATACAAGACTTCCTTATCGCTGAACATTTCAAATTTGGAGTAATATGCTGTTAATCCGATTAATCCGATATGATAATTACTGTTCTGTAATTGCGGTAACTCAATTGAGACAAGACTTTTTATCATACTTTCATCAATTAAGTGAGGATGAAAATTTAATGCGCTTACCATCAATGGTAAGATCCTCAGTAAATCTACTTCATGAATCTTCGAGATAGAATTAAACAAATCAGTCCCAACTTTGATAAAATCTCTGCTTTTATCTGACGTTTCTTTAAACAAAGCCTGACAGCAATTTCTTTGATTTCCTATCTCTATAACTTGGACAGCGCCTTTAAATAATTCTGTCAATAATATTTTATAGGTATTCTTATCTGGTTTCGTGGTGCTATTGAGCAAGTCTTGATAAACTGTAAGAAGGCTGGTTAACCTCATCTCCACATCCTCTATTTCTTTTGTGTTATTCAACGATCTGCGAGCTATGGAATCCAAAACAACATTATACAACTCTACACCAGGTAGCCGAAGGTTGTTTCTTTTCAACGCTTGATATAATGGATAGACCAAATTTAAATCGCTTTCTGTTTCGCTATTATACTTGGCTTTTATTAAAGAAATTTGATTCCTTAAAAAGCTCGAATCATCTTCCTCTTTTAAATCAAGTTCATTCTCTCGAGATGTATCCTCCTCCACGAAAGCATCAGAATACTTAGTGCGTCTGTACGCAACGGTCGAAAATCTCCTTGCTTGATTTACGGCAGCAAATTTTGGGCGAAATATTGAAAGGGTAGATAAAAACTCATATTCTATACTTTTCAAATAATCTATATGGTTGTAAATGTCCCGGTTAACCCTCAGTATAAAAAAATTTGAATTTGAGTCATAAAAACTTCCATGGTGTTGCAGCTGATCACCACAAGATCTAGGATCTTGTTTTAAGATGTTCTCTGCTCTTCTTCCTTTATTTTTCTCTGATTCTTGATGATATATAGTGTAGTACAACCCATAGTGACCATTGTCGATCCCAAGAAAGAACCAACGGTTCCTTCTTGAGGGCCTAGGTCCTCTTTGGCTCCATAATTTACTGTAAATTTTATGAAAAGATATCAATCCCTGACTGTTCATATATGGATATGCACTTTGAAAGAATTGGATTCTTTCCCTATGCCTAGCCTGTTTCACAAAACTAGAGAACACCATAATCAGTAGCACATTTCAAGAATTTCAAGACGAAAATACAAATAAATAAAGTCCAACTACCTTTTCGATCAGATCAGTTGAAAATTAGCCAATATCAATAAGTGTTTGCCATCAATTTTTGAATTTTTTTTTTTTTCAGTGTCTTAAGACCGCGCGGAATTTTACGGATGTCGGATATTAGACATTAAATACAAATATGTTTGATGTACACTACTGGACCTCCACGCAAAGGAAAGCCAATGGCATTTAAATTCATAGTATACATAGTCTATATTCCTCCTACAATTCTTGAAGAAATAACTTTAATTCTCCTTAAATCTTCACAATGCAATATTATTGATCCAAAAGAGACAATTCTAGAGCCTTCCGAATTTCATCATCTTCGTCAAGGGTCTCGTCCTGCCCTCTCGAAGCTTCAGAACTCCGGCGACGGAATTTAGAGGACTCCAGCTCAGATTGTTTCGACAACTCCATTGCTATCGCTAGTTCTATGTCATCAGTTGAATCTAAGTTTTTTTGTCTATAGCTTTGGCTAACCGCAAGAGCAATTGAAAGTTCATCATCATCATCGTCTAACTTACCATTATATTTGTCAAAAAGACGAAAACTCTGTTCTTCTTGCTCCTGAAATTTATCGTAATCTTCAATGCCATCTCTTATCTGTTTGTAGTTTTCGTTCTTGTTAGAAGAACCAAAATTGACTCTTTTCTTAGATGCCACTTTAGTGCTAGTGTTATCACTATCGTCAAATTGGAAATACTGAATTTTGTCACCACAAACTATAACTCCATTAGTCGCAGCCTGATCCTCGTTCAACTCTATGTTGCTAATCGGAACCAAGTCATGGTACCCATATGTTAATTTCCTAGGAAGTTTTGCTGAACATTCTTTGATGTAGTCACCTGTGAATACGTTATGTAAATTTGTGAAGCCATTATAACCACCGATGACTATGACAGAACTATTCAATGCAACTGTTGTTATCAACGGAATATCTGCCGGAATCTCAGGCGCATGTTTGCTAAATGTGGGACGAATTGTGCATGCTGGTATTATTTTGGTTCTTGTGTCTCTAACGTTCCAGATTATAACCGAGTCATCAGAAAGAACATTTGCATACAATAACCCGTCGCCACCTACAATCGAAGCATCTTGTTTGAGGGGTCTTCTCAGGTCCACTATTTGCATTTTGGCCCTTAGCGTGATTATAGATTCTTCTAGATCTATTCCTTTTATCCTAACCTCATCTAGCGATTCAAAATTAACAGCCCGAATATGTTTATCGTAACTTATAATCACGTTTTTTCCTCCACTGTCGAAATCCATAAAGCATCTCTCGAAATTATCAATCTCAAAGTCAAGACGCACTTTCCTCACAAGACTATCCCCTAATTGAACGAAAACCAATGATGTCTTCGTTTGAGCAATAATGAAATGCCTAAAATCAGTTACAATATTATATATTGATTCTCCGAAATTGAACTCTTTCACTAGGGTTCCCTTCGAACTCCAAACTTTGACAAATCCTAAATATGACCCCGAAATACAATCAAAGATTTCTTTTGGTTTACCAGCATTCGGATTAAGGGCTGTTGCTAAAATCGCATCGTTTGTGGAGCTCTCGCTGATCATTTTTACTAGTGAAACCTTACCCGAGACCGACGAAGTTGATGTAAAGAGGTTCTTCAAATAAAGCTCTCCAGTACGCTTTCCAACAAGCATATAGTTCCAAGTTATGGAATAACTAGATATCTCCGTAAATATGTGATTTCCAGGAATAAATGCCTGATTTTTGCCATTCTCCAAGTTGCATATTGATACATTTCCTAGGAGCCGTGAACTTGTGAGTAGTTTTCCTTGAGGAAAATTGACCAAGCAAGTATCCACATGAAAGAATTCATTATTTATCAACTGGTAGCTTCTATGTAATGCAGTAGCCTTATTCCATTTTTTGTATGTCTTTATTCGCCTGAAGTACTCTATGGTCCAGAACTTGGACCCAGACAAGGAAGGAAAGCTTGCTCCAGTCCCAAACCTCGATGCAAAGATCCGAAACCATGTTGACTTATCCAGGACAGCAAAGTTCCATCGTTTACAGACTAACCGACATTCAGTAAGCTGACCAGGGTCAAGGTTAGAAAATATATTGATCAAGATCTCAATAGGAAGATATTCTATGTTCACCGCTCCTTCTTGTAACGCTTCTGGTGCATCTATATTAACCGTATTACCAAAGTTATCAGCTCTCACTTGAGGAATACCACTCATGCTAATAAATACGTCAATACGCTCTGGTGGCGTAGATTTCAACGCCACGATGTTCTTCTGTAGAGCACTATCTTTAATGATCTCTGTGTGCGTGTGTAAGAAGGTCCTTACGTAATCTCAACTCACGATTGCAAAATGAGCTCCATAAGAACTTCTTTAATTATATACAACGTGGACGTACTTCTTTGTACGTACTTGTTCTTCTTCATTCTCGACTAAGTTTGGTACGTTACAATGAATCTGAGGTCCATCTCTTCCTCTTTCGAGCACTTTCGTCTACATAGGAATTTATACGCAAGACTACTATGAACAGTTGTTCAATTCAAAATAAAAAAAAGCAAAGGGATCACTCGGATAACAATTAGAGACTCTGGAACCCGATCAATGGAGCCCTGATCGAGATATGGAAGACAGAAAATTAAGCCCAGCAAGCTCACGAATCTCTAAATTTATTCGGATGCTTTAGAAATCAGTAAAGCAAATCTTACTGGCTTTTTTCTCTCCTTTCATGACAAAATTAACTAGAAATGTCATGAGTTTTTTTCTCTAAAGTATATATAAGCTTATATTGTTAGGTCCTTGTGGCCAAATTCGTACCATAAGCGTTATTTGTTTAAATCATTTGAAAATTTTTAATAATCTGTATACAGTGAACGGTTGAAAAATATAGAAAAGTTCTTCTTTAATCTATTTTTCGAAGAAGTGGTATGCAATATGAGTGATAATCAGAATGGAGATTCTAATGGGACGCTTGAAGCCCGGATTATAACAATTAAACTTCGCTTTTCAAAAAAATTAGAATTGGATGAGGAAGTGTTAAAAATACCTATTTCGATCTCAGATACTTTAGCGGATTTAAAACAATCTTTGGCGATTTTACAGCTCACTCGTAATTTCACAAACTATAAGATCATATACCAAAATGTGGATATCTTGAATGAATTTGAAGAACTTACTACCTTGCTGTCTGTTGCGGACCAAGTTGGGACTCAATTGTCTGATGAAGTGGATATGACATTCGTTGAATCTTCTTATAATTTGGCCCTTGTGTATGAGCATTTGATTAGATTTAGAGAGTCAGTAGGCTTACACTTTTTAGATAGGGTTGCGCTGGATTTTGGTGTTTTGGCTGGAACATCGAGCTTCAATCAGTTGGGTCTTTCTTACGTCAAAAGGAGGACCGATATGATGGATAAAGACAACGAGAAAGATGAAAAAAATACGGCTGAAACCCCTTTACCTCCGATAGTCCTATCCGATGAAGAGATATCTGAGTTGAAAGAAATCTCTAGTAATATAATCTCACAAGAATCGATATCCTTAAATTCATATGGGCACCTTGAATCATTTAATAGCATCTTAAAGGTCCCCTTTAGACTGCTTACTATTTCTCAATGGTCACCTGTTCCAGCGGCATTTAGATTTAAAGGGGATTTACTCTACTTAATGTTGCAAACTTTGGAAAATGAAACTTATCATATCACTTGTCACCGTACTGGTTTTTACGTTAATAGATGCTCTAGCATTAACTTTAATAGAGATCCAAAGTTAGACCAAAAATCTGCCATGCTTGAGAATTATACCCTTTATGGTTTAATTAATAAGTTGTCTTCCTCATTCTCGAACGTCATCAGGGAAAACGAACTGAATTTGGCGGACTCGTCACTCTATCCAGAGACATACTTATTGCCAACAAACTCTTTCGTGTCCAATCCTTGGCTAGTGAGTCAAGTGGAAGCCAATTTGCCTGATTTCTCCAGATCACAATTACCTTTGATTTCTAACGGTGTTGACGGTGAGGGTTATATTAAAGAGTGGAATGAGGACATTCAATCCATCAGAGAATTACCAAAGAATACAGTAGAGGAAAGAATTTTGAGAGAAAAATTGCTTAGCAAATCTTTGTATGAGTTTAACAAGATTGCTACTAAAACAGCGATCAATATCATCGAAGGAAATTTTGCACCGATGAATCCTAATGATCCGGAGAATCAGCATATCTTTTTAAGGAATGGAATCTTTTACTCGTTTCCATCCAATTCATCTGGTGCATTTGATTCGTCCGGTGGTGCTGCTGCCGCCAGATACACCTCAAGCAAAGATTTAAGTGCCATCAGGATTTTAAATAGACTCGATATAAGTGGTGTATCTCGTTTAATCACCTGTGTCGTCGACTTCTTAGGTAAGAGGGTCATCTGTCAGGCACCTGTTCCCGGAATATTGTCCAACACTGCAGATGATACATCTGAGAAAGTTTCATATGGATTGATGACTGATGGTGTTGGTATAGCTAATGATTCCTCCTTTGTCGACGGTATGAAGTCAGTTGCTGAGGTATTTCATTTATCTCCTCATAAAGTACAAACGTCTAATGAGGTGGTTGAACTTTTGACTTCGAAGGATACCAAAGGTATCATTGGTTCTGACCAACGAAGATATGTGATGGATCTCTTTAGAACTGCACCCTTGGATATCGAGTTTATTGAAGCCCATTGGAAAGAAGGAACTGAGAACTCTTATCCTCATAGAGAGACTCTTGTGAGACATGAAGCTGTTGAGGAATGGTGGAAGCGTAGAGCATCTGTATTATTTAAGGAAGAGAGTGAAAGGCTCGAGAAGGAGGGTAAAGCGGTTGAGCTAAAAGAAGGTGAGAGGCCAAGTATCGGTTTGCCAGTAGATCACATTTCCTTCAATCCAGATGCTTTCACTGGCATTGAAACTTCCAAGGAGGATGAACTGGTTGTGAGGGAGATCTCAAAATTCGTAAAAGACAATTTGATTGATGAGTTCTTGAACGAATTTCCTTCTCAGTTAGCACCTTTTGATGGTGCCCATTTGTCCCTGACTTTACATAAGTATGGTATTAATCTAAGATATTTGGGTCTTATTGCCACTAGCGCGCTAGAAAGAAAAAATAAGGAAGAGGCAGCTTTGAAGGATACCATTGCGAAAAATGATGCCTTGTTAGTTCAGGAGGCAGAAAACCCTGTTGATAAAAAGGAGGGGAATGAATCTTCAAAGAAATCCTCTGAAGAACTGAACGGCATGGACAAAGAAGAAAACTCAAAAGCTAATTTTGAACCAGTAGTCTCTAACTACGACGCTTTATACAAGTTGTCTGTTCAAGAAATGATTTCCAGGGCCGTCAAACATTTATTACGCGAATTAACCATTAAGGTGCCATTTGATTTGATCCCTAATCTTATTGTACATTTCCATAACTGTCTTTTAGGATCTGATATCAATCCAGTGCCTGAAGCTGAATTTGATCATGGTTTCGAAACAACTGAATCCGAGGCTCTGCATTTTGCAACCTTAACAAGTGAAAAGATATTTTCTATGTTGGCTTCTGAAGTTTTTATCCGTTTCAGGTTTCTTTTGCCTAGTGATTGGCTTTATCATATAGTAGAGCCATTACAACTATTCCGTGAGATTGCCTTGAAATTCGGGATTCAATGGAAGAGTCAGAATTATCACTTCACTAAGGAACAATTTAATGCAGCCGAGCCTATAGAAAAAGAAGAGCCTAAAACAATATCTAAGAAGAACAAGAAAGGTAACAGTCAAGTAATGGAGAAGAGAGTAAAGCGAAAGACCACTTTTTTGGTAGATGATTTGATAAATTTCACCCCACTTATCAAAAAATCAACTTATAGAGCCACAATCGTCGATGACATTTTCGAATCTGCGAAAATGTTTATTGTAAAAGGCGAGAAAGATCTTGGTGTATCATACTTAAACGACTTGGCTGCGATTTACGAACAAATCTATGGTCGCGTTGATGCCGAAACTGCTGACTATTATATAACCGTCTCGCAGATGTATGCCGAACTTGGTATGACGTCGGAGGCCTGTGATTTCGCGAGAAGGGCTGTGATCTTGAATGAAAGGGTTAATGGTTTTGACTCTTATGAAGCTATCTCGACATATATTAACGCTGCTTACTACGAATTTCTTAATCAAGATTTAATTAGCTCATTTAAGTTGTACAATAAGGCAATAACGAAATGGACATTGGTCTACGGTGAAGATCATCCTTCTTTCGTTACAACTTTGACAAATTTGGCTGGGATGTTGCTGGAAATGAAGTTGCACAGTAATGCCCTCAAAGTATTAGAGAAAGCTTTGGAGATATCTAAGCGAATAAATGGAAGAGATTCCCAACTCACGGGATTAATCTTCTATAGAATAGGTACAACATTGACTAGTTTGAGTAAATTTAAGGATGCTAGGGAATCGTTAAAAGCTTCAAACGAAATTTTTACTAGAGTAGTGGGTCCGGAAGATTTCTTTTCTAGAGAATCTTCTAAATATGTAAGCAACCTTACGACCTACTTAAACTATATGGCGTACGAAGAGCAAAAGAAAAAAGCAAATCAGCAATTACATAGTAATTCAAAAACTAAGACAAAGGGAGCATCTAAGACATCTTCGAAAACTAAGAATAACAGAAAGGGTACTACTGTTCAACTGGATCCTGAGATAGCTTCGAAATCCATCGAAGAAATTTTAGCGTTCATTGAAAACAAGACTCCTTCTAAAACTAAAAAATGATAGTTTAGTCATTATTGTAAATAGCTAAGTAGAATTATACGTTATTTTAAAAAAAAGGTGGTCATTTCGTTTTCTAAGCGGTCGTTTACAAGCTACCTATATGTCTACCTTCAATGGGAATGAGTGTGATCTTCTTTCAGTTCAGATTTTTCTAAGGTTTGCGTAGAACCATCTTTAAAGTGAATAAGAACTTTCTTGATAAACTTATCGGCATCTTTGAGTGAATAAATTAACTTGGACTCGATTTTATTCAAGTCTTCTAGATAATATTTCTCTTTGCGAGATGTTGACAATGTAAAAATTACATTAGTGTTAGCTCCTGAAGTCATAACTGACAAGTCTGATAATTTAAAGTCCTGGAGACATTTATCGTCTTCTAATTCATCACTGATTATATCTTTGACTTTTAAATAAACTTCACTATCAGCCGCTTCGCCCCTATCTACTAATTCTAACATTGAGCTTTTGAAAGTTCCCCATCCTGCTTTAATGATCAATATTGAGACACACAAACCACCAATCGAGTCAAGCCAAGCGACGTTGAATAGAACACCTCCTGTTACTGTAAATAATGCAACAGCAGAAGTCAAGGAATCAACCCGATGATGCCAAGCATTAGCAATCAAGACCTTCGAGTTCGATTCTAAACCAACTTTCATAGTTTTCCGATACAACAACTCTTTTACTAGTATTGAACCACCAGCTAACCAAGCAGCATTGATGTTCGGTATCTGCCGATCCACCTTGACATCATCCCCCTGTACTAATTCATGGTGGGATGCATGAGAATGGGAGTGCGAATGATCACCATCAGTAGGCAAGCTTGTGTGTGAATGAGAATGACCTAGTTGAATCATCGCTAAATATTCATAAATGTAACTCGGCAACGCGTATTCGAATACCTGCAATAGTGATGACCATCCTACTGATACACCAGCGAATAATAATGCTGCACTAACAAGCAATGAACCAACTGTCTCAAGCTTTCCATACCCAAGCGGAAATTTTGTCGGAGAACCAATCCTATAGGCCACATTTACCGTGGCCAAGGTTAGAAAATCGGCCACCATATCTGAGAGCGAATGGATTGCGTCAGCAAGTAAAGCCTGCGAATGAAAATATATACCTCCAACCGCCTTCGAGGCAGCCATTGCCACATTCACAAGTAATCCTATCCAAGTAATCCTTACAGCTGGATTGTTTCTGACTGAACCTGAAACCAACAATTCATTAGGTTGGTGGTGCGAATGAGAATGAGAATGTCCAAAAATTCCGTGGTGCTCTTCCTCCGAATGAGAGTGATGATGGCTATGCCCCTTCTTCGGTTCATTTTCCTCACTAGACATCATTCTCAACGATATTAAAGGTTTATTCGCCCTATAAAACTTGTAAGTTCTTGTGGAGTAAAAAATTTTAGAACTCAATAATGGAGAACTTTTTCTCATAAAACTTTGCCCCCTAATATACTGAAGATTCCAATTGCGGCTATATTTAAGTGAACTAACCGTATTGTGAATTCGAAACCTAGTTGTGGGCCATATTCCAATTATCATTATATAATTTTAGAAGTATACAATTTGCTATATATATATTTTGATTACGATAGATCTAATTTTCAAACGTTAAGTTTTGTAATCGGTGCCCGATTCCGGCATTTGTTACATTTAAGATAAACAAAATGATATCATGTGGCAAATAATTTTTCAACTACAGATGTAGTCACGGTGGTGGTTGATGGTGGGGTAGCAGATTCGTTGTCGTATGTTTCTCTGTTTTGATCATGATCAAGCTCTTCTTGTTCAGTGGATACACCTTGTTGGACATTTTCTGGTTTTGTATTGAGTAGTTGCAATTTTTTCAACAATATTGACTTCTCTTGTGATTTGAACAAGGAGCTTCTGAGTGACGAAGAAGGTCTTCTTACATGCATAAAGTTGCAATGATCTCCTCTATTACAAGAATCGTTATCGTATGCTCGACAATTTGCGTCATTGAAATTTTCAACGGGAGAGAGCTCACAGTGTACCGGTCTACCACTGAACCATTCCTGGTTCAACTGTATTACGGCATTGAAAGCAGACTCTTGTTCCAAAAATTTAACGTATACGTTACCATTTAAGTGGTTGTTCTCATTCTCACAAACCACCATGGCAACTACTTCCCCTATTAATGCAAATTTTATGAATATATCCTCATAGAAATGATCGAAGTATTCTTGAAGCTGTTTTGGGTTGAATTCAGTGGTGGAATCGTTATTCTTGTTTAGTTTAGGGTTCTGATATAAGTTAGGGAGCAATATTGTATATGATGATGTAGGTTTTATATGCTTCCTTGAGCATTTTTCGGCATGCCGACAAGCTCCAATCTTCGTGTAAAATGTACAAGTAGATTTATCTTCGTAACGGCCATTCATGCCTTCTTATTTGAAATCGAAGACGAACTATATGCTTTGCACAAACGGTTTTTCTTATTTAAACTCTTTATATATATATTATATTATATATATATATTAATTTTTTTTTTTTTTTTTGCGATATCACACTATCTATTTAACATCGATTTATAATCATACAATTGTGTCCTTCCGTAACAAGAATTGCTAGTAGAATATAATATGCTTTATTTAAATAAGAATAACCGTTTATTTAATCTACATTCATTGCTTACTTTGTAAAATAGAGCTTAACTTAAGAACTAAAAATCTTAACCATTTCAATTATACTTTCTCCTCTGATTGATCATTATATTCGCCTTGCTCAACACCTTCAAGAACGTGACTGTTGCCGTAAACTATATCAGCTTCATCAATGTTACATTTCGGTCCTTTGTACCATTTATGTGCATCCACAATAAACCATATAAAGACAATTAACAATGGTCCGAAGAAAACGACTACTGTCCAATTCATTTCGTCCGGAGTCAAATCTTTACCTGCAACGTATGGGAAGCATAAGACGGGAATCATCACCGTAACGAAAATCACAGATACAAATCCAATAGGTTGGGAGAACCTGCCTAAATTCCAAGGTCCCGGCTTGAAGGTATTACGAGCATAGGTAATTTTGAAAAGAGTGGGCAAAGTAAATGAAACAAATCCTGCAATACCACCAACGGAGAAAATAGCACCAATAGCAGTGTCACCTGCAAAAATTAATAATAAAAGTAACTGTCCAATGACCCAATTGAACCAAACTGCATTAATAGGAGTTTGAGTTATAGGATTTACAATCTTCCAGAACCTTGAAAATGGAAAAAGGCCATCTCGAGAGTAGGCGTATGTGACACGTGAAGCTGACAACAGACACGATTGGCCCATAAAGAAAGATGATATAACTGTCAATGCAGCTGCTGCATTAACCATGTTCTTACTCATAATCTGTGTCAAGTAAGTGATAAAAGGTTGACCTAATCCCTGTGGGTCTGCAGCGATAGTGTCGATGTCAACGACTGTGTAGGCAATTGCAATCATAAATAAGAATCCAACAAGACCACCAAATGTTGACGTCAAGACAATAGCCTTAGGTGCTGCTACGGCTGCATTTGAACATTCTTCACTTAAATGAAACGGACTATCATATCCAGACATCGCCCATATTACACCCAAGAAGGACATAAGAAACGCCATTCCAGTCGGAAATTCTGTTTGATTGTCTAAGCCCCAGGCCTTTCCATTATCGTTAAACTTTGGTATACCTTTGCTCATGTCTTCCCTGGAATTACCACCCAATATTAACACGAACACGATAATTAAAAATAACATGTTAATCACAGTGCCCATTGAATTGAATCGAGCATTCCAGATAGTAGGCAAACTTGAGATAATACCATCCACAACTTGGATACCCAATGTCAAACCATATATCTGCCCATTAGTAGGAACGTAGCTTTCGACATTATAAGATTTCAAAGCCAATATTAAGCATGCACAGCTATAATTAACCAGGGGAGATCCCGTAATCTGACAAAACCAGTTTGAATAAGCACACAACCAAGTGAAGAGAGGAGCCACTCTTTTTGGAGCTAACTGAGAGACTGCATACGGTGTTCCAGCAGACGTGGGAAATGCACTAGCGGTTTCGGCCAACGAATATGCCACGGAGGTGACAAAAAAAAGACCAATCAACCACGGAACAGGACTTATACCAACCACTAGTTGTTGATAGTCAAACGTAGCGGCGATAGAAGGCAAGAGTCCTAACGTCAGGAATGAAACCGAAAATATACTCCAAAGCGAAAATTCTCTTTTAAACTCTTGCTTATATCCTAATGCTAAGATCATGGCCTCATCATTATCTATTTGATGATCCACATTAATAGTGATATCCTTATTAGAAAGGACAGACTTAATATGTAAGTTGTCCACATTAACATTAGACACCACCGGATGTACACCACTTGAGGTGACAGCACTTAAATTTTTGTCTTCCATCTCTCCTCTTTAAATAAGGGTTTTTAAATCCACTTCGAATACTCTCTGTGATTGAGAATTACGTTGGAAACTTAGTTTTATTCGCTCTCGATTATTGGAAGCGTTTGCTAAATATCAGATTATTTAAAAGTATTTTCATGAATAGAGAATTATTAAATATTCTTATAGATCTTTTCAAAATCGCGATGGGAGATAAAAGCAATTGTCAATTTTTGTAAGGCACATTATGCATAGATAAGAAATCCTAATCTCATCTTAGCGAGTCCTCTAATCGAACATCACGATAAAAAAAAAATATCGGATTGAACTAGCCAAAAAGGAAAGCGCCAGGATCGGAGCTTACCTCGAATTTCTAATCAGAAAAAAAAAAGCGTGTCTTTACCTAACTAGAATTGCAGCTATTACAATACGCTTTATTTTAAAGAAAACCGTTTATTTAAAGCTAAATTGATCGCTTTATCCGTAAAAAGAAGTTTAATTGGGAACTGAAAACCTTAAGCATTAATATTATACTCTCTCCTCAGGCTGATTGCGGTATTTCTCTTCCTGGCCCAGCTCAAGAGCGTTACTTTTGTTGTAGACTAAATCTGATTCATCAATATTGCATTTTGGTCCTTTGTACCATTTATGTGCATCCACAATAAACCATATAAAGACAATTAACAACGGTCCAAAATAAACGACTACTGTCCAATTCATTTCGTCCGGAGTCAAATCTTTACCTGCAACGTATGGGAAGCATAAGACGGGAATCATCACCGTAACGAAAATCACAGATACAAATCCAATAGGTTGGGAGAACCTGCCTAAATTCCAAGGTCCCGGCTTGAAGGTATTACGAGCATAGGTAATTTTGAAAAAAGTGGGCAAAGTAAATGAAACAAATCCTGCAATACCGCCAACGGAGAAAATAGCACCAATAGCAGTGTCACCTGCAAAAATTAATAATAAAAGTAACTGCCCAATGACCCAATTGAACCAAACTGCATTAATAGGGGTTTGGGTAAAAGGATTCACAATCTTCCAGTATTTTGAAAATGGAAAAAGGCCATCTCTAGAGTAGGCGTATGTGACACGTGAAGCTGACAACAGACACGATTGGCCCATAAAGAAGGATGAGATGATTGTCAATGCTGCCGCTGCATTAACCAGTTTTTTGCCTAAGATTTGAGTCATATAAGTAATAAAGGGTTGACCTAATCCCTGTGGATCTGCAGCAATAGTGTCGATGTCAACTACCGTGTAGGCAATTGCAATCATAAATAAGAATCCAACAAGACCACCAAATGTTGACGTCAAAACAATAGCCTTAGGTGCTGCTACGGCTGCATTTGAACATTCTTCACTTAAATGAAACGGACTATCATATCCAGACATCGCCCATATTACACCCAAGAAGGACATAAGAAACGCCAATCCAGTTGGAAATTCTGTTTGATTATATAAACCCCAGGCCTTTCCATTATCATTAAACTTTGGAATATTTTCGTGGAAATCTTCTCTTTTATTGCCACCTAGTATCAATACAAATACAATAATTAAAAATATCATGTTAATCACAGTGCCCATTGAATTGAATCGAGCATTCCAGATAGTAGGCAAGCTTGAGATAATACCATCCAAAACTTGGATACCCAATGTCAAACCATATATCTGCCCATTAGTAGGAACGTAGCTTTCGACATTATAAGATTTCAAAGCCAATATTAAGCATGCACAGCTATAATTAACCAGGGGAGCCGCCGTAATCTGACAAAACCAGTTTGAATAAGCACACAACCAAGTGAATAGCGGGGCAACCCTTCTAGGCGCTAACTGAGAGACTGCGTACGGTGTTCCAGCAGACGTGGGAAATGCACTAGCGGTTTCGGCCAACGAATACGCCACGGAGGTGACAAAAAAAAGTCCAATCAACCACGGAACAGGACTTATACCCACCACTAGTTGTTGATAGTCAAACGTAGCGGCGATAGAAGGCAAGAGTCCTAACGTCAGGAATGAAACTGAAAATATACTCCAAAGCGAAAATTCTCTTTTAAACTCTTGCTTATATCCTAATGCTAAGATCATGGCCTCGTCATTATCGACTTGGTGATCTATATTAATTACTATATCTCTATTCGATAGCACAGATGCAATTTGCAAGTCGTCCACATTTACATTAGATACCACCGGGTGCACACTATTTGACGTGACCGTACTCACGTTTTTACTTTCCATCTCTACTTTCCAACGACGCTATCACTTCCAATTCGAATATCTTATGTTACCTGAAACACGTCTTGATTTAGATTCATTCGCTTACGATTAATATCGCTTACCAAATACCTAAAGGTTCTAATGTATTTTCATGTGCAATGAGTTATTGAACATTTTTATATATTTTCCATGAAAACTATGAGAATAAAGCAATTTTCATATGTAGTTAGGTACGTTGTGCAATGGTAAGAAACTCTACCCTCATCTCAGCGAGTTTTCACATATAACGTCATGATATAATAAAATCTCGGGTTAAACTAGCCAAAAAGGAAAACGCCAGGATCTAAGTATACCACAAAGAGACTGCTTTCCTTAGCGGAAGATCGTGTACTTGCTGGATTTGAGACAGCACATAATCTTCGCACGGCGTTGTGGGGCCGCCTACCTTCTAAACAAAGAGATCAAACGGTCTATACCCCATACTGAGCTCAACCGTGACTCTAAGAATGCACCCCGTTCAAGCTAGCCACCAATATTGGCCAAAACTCTAATTTTCCCACCATGTACATTTTGAAGTTTAAGCTGATGTGGGGTACAATAGATCCATGAGCGGAGTAAAGTAAAAATTTACTCATTATTGAGATGATGAAACGAACGATTTTGAACATGAAGCTTTATGGCATTTAGTTTTGCATCTTCATCTAATGGCTTTCGCTTGATTAAGGGTCTAATTTACTTTTGAAATCACTCTTTCGCTAGCAGTGGAGTAGGTGTGTGTTTACCGAGTCCTTTTTTTTTTTTTGGCGCGTCCAACTATCAACAAAGCCAGTACACCTGGTGGTTGGAAATGAGACGTGGAGACGGCGTGATACTAGTTGCAACTCATTAATTTTTCTTACTATGGCCATCAGGTTGTACAATTCGTGGAGCGTATATGCTGTGGTGTTGATTATACATGCTGTGGGGTTGTTGATATTTCTCAGAGGCTTCTTCCCTTCGAAAGTCGTTCTTCCGGGGTTCAGTGAGTTTGAGTCAACATCGCCATTTTTGGAGCACGGAGATGCCCAATTTGACAAGTTCGTATTGATGGTGGTAGATGCTATGAGGTCTGACTTTATGTACTCGGAATCTCGCTCAAATATGCCCTTTTTGCATCATTTAATTTTGACTGATAATGCTGTTCCCTTTACTGCATTTTCCAACCCACCAACGGTTACATTGCCTCGCTTAAAGGGTATAACTACGGGTGGTGCACCAAGCTTCTTGGATGCAATTTTAAATGTAGCTGACGATAACGATCAATCCCAAGGTTTGACAAATCAAGATTCTTGGATATCTCAGTTCAGTCAGAATAAAACTCGAAGGATAGATTTCTTTGGTGATGACACTTGGTTGAAATTATTTCCGCCAGAGGATTTTTTCGAGAAATTTGATGGAACGAATTCATTCTTCGTAAGTGACTTCACGGAGGTTGATAATAACGTGACAAGGCACTTGGAAAGCGAGTTAAATTCACCTGATTGGGACGGACTTATATTGCATTATTTAGGTTTGGATCATATCGGCCATAAAGGTGGTCCAGATTCGGTCTTTATGAACCCAAAACAAAAGGAGATGGATGATGTTATTGAGCGGCTTTATAAATACACGTCTAAATCAAATACTCTTTTGGTTGTCATGGGAGACCATGGAATGAATGAAATTGGTAACCATGGTGGCTCCAGTAAAGGTGAAACCAGTTCTGGTTTGGTGTTTATCTCTCCAAAATTTCAGAAACTAAATAAAGGTCTAAGAGCCCCCGTTGAATCGTCTGAAGACTATTTGTACTTTCGGCCAGTCAACCAAATTGATATCGTTCCTACGTTGGCTGCCATGTTAAATTTTCCCATTCCAAAAAATAACTTGGGAATTTTTCTTGACGAATTTTTGGACTTATGGCTGTCGCCCTATTCGAAGGTTAATATATTGAGACAAAATTGTGCCCAATTTGTGAATCTTCTCAAGGTAAACTTCGGCACAAATAATGAAGTCCTTAGAAAGTGGTCACATTTATCAGGCGAGAATGACAAGGCATTATATTACGAATTTTTATCTGAAGCTCAAAGTTTGCTAACATCAACTGCTACCAACTACGATTATCGGGATATTTTTACGGGCTTTTCGCTTGTATTTTTGTCAAGTCTTGTGGCATTAGGGTTGTTTTGCTATTACTTTTTTTGGGTGTCCAAATGTTCTTATGAAATAGTTGTATTTTCACTTGCATCTTTTGTCTTGTATGCGGTTCATTTTCACGGATCATCTTTGATTGAAGAGGAACATCAAATATGGTGGTTCTTTGCAATAGTGGGCTTGATACATTTCTCATTTTTTCTAAAGCTTAAAAGCAAAAGGCATATATTTTTAATCTTGGCTTGTTTTAGATTGATAAGAGCATGGTGTAACGGTGGCCAAAAGTATACTTCACTGTTCACTATATCGTCTTATCTATTATCGCATCCAAGTTTACTTTGGACTTTGAATATTTTCACATATTTTTTGTACGCAACATTAATTTACGGTCAAGGTGGGATAGTGAACTGTTTAGGATATGCAGATAGTGTTTCTTTTGACTTCAAAGACACGGGAAATCTTTTTGGCTTCATACTTGCATTTGTTGTGTCTTCTATTGCATTCCTGTTTAAACTAAGTCAATACTATAATGATGGGAATGATATACCAAAGGGGTTAAATTGGTTGTTTCTTTGGATATCGGACTCCTTTGGCGTAACAGACGGTATAAATGATAAAAATGAGATTCAAGAGATGAACATTCTGCTATCACAATTGATTTATATTTGCATCGTCTTTCTCCTTGGGCTGAGAATTGTCCTCGGAGCCATTCGCAAAGTAAGGCATGGATTTTTTACAGATGTGACCAATATTTGTACATTATTGTTGATACATTTAACTAAGCCAGAAGTGATTCCGATGTATGCTATTTTTTTTGTTATAAAGTACTCTTTTTCCAAAATTCTAGTTGAGAATAGTAAGCTTATTATAAACAATGTTGACAATCTCATTATAGTCGTTTCCCAGTTTATACTTGTTATACAAAACCTTGCGTTTTTTTCAAGTGGAAATACTAACCTGTTGGCAACAGTTGATTTATCGAACTCTTATAATGGAGTCAGATCTTACAATTTGGTGATTGTTGGTTCATTGACATTTCTTTCTACGTTTGCTGCTCCATTGTACTGGTCTCTAAGTTCTCTTCAGCTTCTTTTTGAGACTCAGGTGGTAGGTCTTGATTTGAAGCAAACCAGCAATCCCATTTACCTTTTGCGGTTACGAAAGAGTATCATGTTGGTGAAATCCTTAATATCTTTAACCTTTTACTCCATCGCAGCTACAAGCTTAGTTGCGTCATGCATAAACTTACGATTTCATTTATTCATATGGACAGTTTTCTCCCCAAAGTTGTTATATTTCGCGAGCTGGTCTGTGTTATTGAATATGTTATTTGATACACTTATCGTCGCACTATCTTTTTTGGGTTGAAAAGTATAAACTTTAAATATTTTACGTTAAAAATCGCATTAAGAAGAAATAGTTTAGTTTACTGTAAGAGTTGGTCCCTGTAATGTGGCTGGTTGTTGATGAACTTCTTTGCTCTTTTATCATTTAATTGCTCTCTCTTTTTCTCCTGTTTCCAAACTCTACTTTGAGTTGCTACTTCTTGTCTATCAGCGCGTCTTGCCATGCGTCTCGTTTCAGCAGCCACAACTGTTCCTTGACCTTCCAGCAAAATTCTATCTGGAGGGAGGTTTTGCTTGTAGTATCTAGCAAGAGATCTGTGCCCAATAACCGCACCGGATGGCAAGATAAGTTCATGGCCATTTTGATATATAGACTCCGGTTCTGGTGAATCCCCATCTGAATCTTCTTCAGATACATCTTCCCACTCCTCGTCATTCTCTTGGTCGCCAGCATTTACTTGAGAATCATAAGTTGAGCTGAAGTCATAGAATTCTGAAATTTCCAATTTTTCATCTTCGGATTCGTATGGTATTCTCATGTGTCTTTTATACAACATATGCTCTCTGACAGCTTCTATGTTCTTGCCTTGGTAATTGCAGCATAGACAAACGTTTCCCAAACCTATCTTTTCACCCAAATACTTAATGAGACCTTCTTTATCAACCAAATAAGCCTGCTCTGGAATATATAAGCCATGTTTCAGAAACATGTGATCGAGATTTTTTTCTAGAGTTTCAAATTCAGCATTCTTCTTGCAATGACAAAATAAACAAGTTGTTATAGGAATATCTATTCTGTTTTGAAGTTTCTCTGCCATTAATTTCTCTTGTAAATCCCCTTCGGAAATGACATTCACTTCTTCAATATCCTTGCTCTCGTCATCAGATTCTCGGTCCGTATTCTCATTCACCTTTTTATGATCAAGGCTAGGAGGAGTATTCGTGACGCTCTTCGGGTCATTTGCCAACATTGCTTGTTTAGCTGTTTCCAAAATTTGCCTTTTCTTCTCTTGAATCGCTTCTCTCTCTCTCTTTCTTATTTCTTTCTTAGTAGTCTGTTTGCTTTTGCTCCTTGTGTCGCTTTTATCATCCGTTATATTCAATGATGCAACCTTGGACTGAAACAAATCTTCATCTATTGGTGGTAGCTGAGCAACTCTTCTTTTCAAATTGTACCTATGCCAGTCCGATTTCATATGAGCTCTTTGCTCACCTGGATCGGTGAATGCCAAGTTACAGGAATTACAAGTATAACTCATGATTCACCGTGTAATATCAAATACTTAGGCCTACCTCATCGAAATATTCCTCAAATATTTTAAGACCGATGAGATCACGTGCGTGTGTTTAGTCTTTTTTTCACTCAGCTCATTTTATGGTTCCGTTGAAGAAATCACTAAACGATATAAAAAACACAGCTATGGTGGATCAAAGTGAAGGGGACGCCTTTACTGAAATATTTCCTAAAGTGCTACAAGTAACGCGTGCATCTTCATCTTTGGGAGCTCAAGATGTGAATTTTTTGAAGTCGATTGACAAAGAACTTTCAAAGGAGATCGATAACTCAGGAGAAAAAATATTAGATGTGGTTAATAAATTGTTAAAGAATGCTTCAAATGAGGCTGTTGAGGTACCTTATGGGAAGGATGAAATAAGTAACGAAGCAAGTTGGAAGAAAGTTGGGAATTCACTAGACAGCATATTTGAGAAAGTTGATATTGCATTTGATCAAGCAAATAAGCTTCAAGAGAAAAGCCGCAATGGCGGTGATCTTATGTATCTAGAAGATACCATATCTGTTGAAAATCCAAATAGACATCCATCCAAAAGCAATCTCAGACCTCAATTAAATTTTCGAGTTAAAGTTGATAATTCAGAGGAGACTCCTTTCAAGCCAAAATTGACCACTAAGCCTAACGCTCTTCAATCTTACGAACAATCCACGCAACTAGTAGTGCCTGAGAAAGAAGATGATTCAGATATACAAGACCACCCCCATTACATGCAACCATATGAGTATGAAATACTAAACCAACCATATCCTGATGCTATGTTCTCCAAAAGTGAACCGATTCGACCAACTGATTGGCGAAACACTTCCGCAATTTGGGTCGACTCAATAGAGTCTTTGAATGAAATGATCAAGGAGCTTTCCACACTGTCGGTAATTGCTGTTGATTTAGAACATCATGATTATAGAACCTATTATGGTATTGTATGTCTTATGCAAATTTCAAACAGAGACCAGGATTGGATAGTAGACACATTAGTGCTTAGAGACGATTTGGAACCATTGAATACTATTTTCACTAATCCTAATATAATAAAAGTTTTTCATGGTGCATTTATGGATATAATTTGGTTACAAAGAGATTTAGGATTATATGTGGTATCTTTATTCGACACGTATTTTGCATCAAAATTACTTGGGTTCCCCAAATTCTCGCTAGCTTATTTATTGGAGGCTTTTGCGTCATTCAAGACATCCAAAAAGTATCAACTAGCTGATTGGAGAATACGACCTTTGCTGTCAGCAATGCTTGCTTATGCGAGGTCTGATACTCACTTTCTTTTATATGTTTTTGACCAATTGAAGAATAAACTCATCGACGCTGGTAATGATAAGCTTCAAAAAGTATTATTTGAGTCAAGAGAGGTCGCAAGAAGAAGATTCGAATTTACAAAGTTCCGGCCCTTGTCACCTAATTCTAAAAAGGTTGCCTGTCCTGTGATGGCTAATAACCCAAAGGAACCTTTTTCTTCAATAATGTATCAGTATCATATACCTTTTCATAGAAAACCGTTGATCGAAGCATTGTACTATTGGAGGGATGCGATTGCCAAACGTGAAGATGAATCAGTTCGTTACGTGATGTCAAATCAGTTGTTAGTCGATTTATCATCTTTGAGCGAGCCTGTGGATACTAATAAGATTCTCAGTTGTTCCAACTACATATCTGACCATGTGAGATCTAACGCCGCCAGCTTGGCGATTTTAGTTGAGAAGACATTAAAAGAAATGGCAGAAAATGACTGGGAGTTAGCCAACAAATGGAGCAATGACTCCGTCGTTAAAGAAGACGATACGATCCAATTAAATGAAAACTTTGTTTCAAAATCTGCGGACGTATTTGAAGCATTGAGTGAGAAGCAAAAAAGCCATCTTGAGGGAAACGAATTACTTTGTTCTGATTCAATTTTTCTTACGGATCATACAAAGTTCTGCTATGCCATAGATTATGATATCAAAAAAAAATTAGTTTCTAAGCATGGTTTCATGGAGATAAAGTCAAGACTCGAGCATTTACTGAACGAATTAGAAAAATTCAACCATGTGGAGTTACAAAGTGTCGAAACGCCAAATGATGAGCCTGTTAGCTCCGAACAAGAGATATCTGAAGCCGAAGAAAGAATGGAACCTGAATCCCAAAATGAAAAATTGGATCCGAATGAAGTAATCACGCTTCGTAAGCGCAACGTTCAGAAGCCTAAGGCTCAGAAGGAAGTTTCTCAAGAGCCTGCCTTAGATTACAATAGTCCTGATAAGGTGCTTCTTACTAATAAATCTAAAAAGACGAAAAACGAGAGAAAAAGGAAGGCATTTGACCCCTACAGCAATCTAGGAGATGGTCCTCCAGCCTTTAAGAGATCTAGGGGTCCCACAAGAGGAAAGTCATCTACTTTTAGTAAAAAAAGAAGCGGTAAATAGACTTTGTATTTAAAAAATCTACTTGAATGTCGCACGATGACATTAATGTAAAGTGATGAGATTTGTTCGAACATCGCGTTTCACGCGTAAATAGAATAAAAATCGATTATGATTAACTAAATTTATTTAAGTATCCAAATAGACAGTATACTTGAGTTGTATTAATATAATGGCATTGCCAGGCTATCTACGAAATAATTTGATGCCTTCAGAGGTCAGCTTTTTGGCAGAAAATGAGCATATCACAGTTTTACCTAGGTATTCAATGAACAAAATTGAATTGATTGGTGTAAGTCCTTGAAATTTTAGGCCCTTGCTATGTCCTTGGAAAACCATAGAGCATTTTTCCAATATTCTTAATCATATATACTAACATAATTAGACCAAAATACCAGCAATGAGAAGTATGAGGCGAGAAAGATTGCCCCTCTGGGTTGCGCTCATTTTAAAGTCGCAGGACAAATGCAATATCGTTCCACCAGACTGGTTGAATCTAATATATTTAAAAGAGAAATATGAAGATGAGCTTCGGAAACCGCATAAATTCAGTGATCTTCCTTGGAACTGGCTTGAAGTATCAAAAATACTACTTGCAAGGGCTCCAGATGATCTTGCAGATCCATCGCATCAGCTTCGATCTATAATCCAAGACTTGAGAGAAGTAAGGTTGGCAAAATCTCGAAAGGGTCTTCGGGAGCTCAATGAGTCTAATATTCAACTAAAGGGTTTGTCTTTGGTAGAGATAAATGAAATGCGACCATTCGTCTTAAATGTGATGAATAAATTAAGGATCCTTCACGATTCGGCGCAGCCGCCTCGCGCTCCTGAAGAAGATGACGATAATCAAGAGGAAGAAGATTACTCAGACAATGAGTACTGAATATCATATCATATCTTCCTAATTAAGTTCATCTCAGGTAATTATGCAATCTTGTGAAAGTCGTGTCCCTAGACGAGATTTCGACCTGAGGGAGATTCAGATCGACTCCATCAAGAATGACTCTTAGAGGCTGATGTGCCGATATTATGCTTAAAGTTAAACCATTAACCCATCAGTTTGTATCTAATCTAAAGACCCATGAAAAAAATACCGACGCTAAAAGGAACTTGATTCTATCAATTCTTAAATCAACTACAACGAAGCGAGAGGCTCGGAACTATTTAAATAAGTATCAGAATCAGTTTGATTCGGACGACTTGGAATGGACAAGAAATAACCGTGAATCAAATCTCAGAACAAGAACGGGGCAAAGAGAATTATTCATAAATAGATTTTTGAATCAGCAAAACCCATTCGTCAACATATACGACACGGACGACCATAAGATACCAAAAATTCCCCTTAGAATTGCATTATTTAAAATCAACTATACGACTATTGAGCATGAAACATGGAAGGGAATATCCGAGACTTTTTCAAGATTGATTCAATTAGGAATCTCTCCCGTCGTTTTACTTGATTACGATCATTTACCAACAAATTCGTTCAAATATAACGAATTGTATGTGACAAATTTGGCCAATAAAATTTCAAATTACCTTGGGAGAATTGACGATGACAGCTTAAAATCCACAATTGTAAGATCCGTTTTTTATAAAGAAAATGGGAAAATAAATTTGACTAGTTTGGAGCAAGTAGTGATACCCTTATATCAAGGAATAATACCTATCATTCAACCAATTGCATTTAACACTGAAGCGACATGTCAAGAATTTGTCGGTTCTCATGAACTTCTTCTTGGATTGAGCTCTTCATTGGTTGATGCGAAAGGTGTTCTTACACTTGAAAAGATTGTCATGATTGATCCAATTGGTGGTATTCCTTCTGTCGAACGGCAGCAATCGAGTCACGTTTTCATTAACTTATCACAGGAATATTCAGATATAATATCGGAGCTATATATTGGATTTATTAGACCTAAGACTAGGGAAATGCATTTAAGTAACTTGACTACTATGAATAAAATATTGACCATGATTAATTCCAAATATGGTAACGATGATGCAACGGGGATTATTACTACTCCTTATATCATGTCTATTAATGAAGATCAGCTCAATCCCATCATATATAATGTTCTAACTGATAGAGCAGTGATCTCGTCGTCCTTGCCAAGTTCAAATAAATCAACACCCCAACTATCGACTTCCATAATTAAAAAGGGTGTCGATGTCTCATGCTATGATGCTGAGAACTTTGATGGTGAGTTCACTATGACTAACTTAATTAAAAGGAATCTTGTAAATAAGGAAAGGCTTGTTCATTTAATGAACGACTCATTTGGAAAGGTTCTCGATGTGAAGAGATATTTCGAGAGGATAGATAAATCTATTGCAACAGTAGTTATTGTCGGAGACTATGACGGAGCGGCTATAATAACTTGGGAAACGGTAGGACGTTCAAAGGAACCCGTTGCTTATTTAGATAAATTTGCAATTGCAAAAAAGAATCAGGGATTGCCAGGATTAGCAGATGTCATCTTCAAAATTATATTGCAGTCACATCCAGATGAGCTAATTTGGAGATCAAGAAAAAATAATCCAGTAAACAAGTGGTATTTCGAAAGATGTTATGGCTCAATAAGTTCTCCTGGCTCTCAATGGAAAATATTTTACACTGGGGATATTTTCAACAAAAAGATCAATAAGACTCAATTTAAAACCGTTTCAAGTAAGATTGATATCCATGAGAAGCTATCTCAATATAGCGATATAGGCGAAGGTATTCCTCCGTCATTTAGCTTATAAAAATATATAATAACTTATACTTCACAAATAAATTTTTTGACAGGCTTATCTGGCATATGATTTTGGTTTTTCTCTCTCAAAAAGAGATTAAGTTACATTGCGATTCACGTTGGATGCTAATTATATTATAACTTCCTCTCTTTGAAAATATGACTTCAACTATGAGGCAAAGGAATACAGGCTCTCAGATTAATACAACAGTGTCTAATGATGCGAATGGTACAAAAAAGTTGTATTTTTACCATGAAATTGATCCATGGCAGCAAGACAATCACTTTATCAGATCGGGGTATGTTAAAGAAACCGGCTCTTTTAAGGAATGCTTCAAGTCACTTTTCTATTTACACAATGAGTCAGTTAATATTTACACTCACTTGCTTCCTTCCAGCTTGATATTGGTTTACGTATTGTACTACGTGAATTTCAAATTAACCATATACGATAATTATTTAGGTATATGGGAGAAGCTCAATTTTATTCAATTTGGTGCAGCAGCTACATTTTGTATGTTCATGTCGTCGACGTTTCATTGCATCAAGTCTCATTCTCCAATGGTTTGTAAATGGGGAAATCAATTGGACTATTTTGGGATCGTTATTTTGATAACTTGTTCATTAATCTCCATTATCTCGTTTGCGTTCTACGATATGCCTTACTGGAAAGACACATTTGTTCTTCTATTTTTAGGCTTAGGCAGTATTGTTACAGTGCTTACCCTACATCCAAAGTTTTCATCGAATGTATATAGGCCATTGAGGTCTGCGATGTTCATTATCTTTGGCTTATCGGGAATCTTCCCCATAATCGTAGCAGTGGATCTATTAGGATATGAAAATGCAGTTGAAAGGTCTAGTGCAGGATTTTTGGCTCTCGAGGGCTTCTTATATATATTGGGAGCTGTATTGTATGCTATGAGAGTTCCAGAGAGATTCACTCATTTAGAGACTGATGAGACAAGTTTGTTGAATAACTCTCGCTCTGCCAAATTTGATATTTTTGGTCACTCCCATCAAATATTTCATGTCATGGTTGTCTTGGCCGCTTACTGCCATTGGGTTGCATTAATAAACTGTTATGATTACTTGCACCAAAAAATCTTACCAAGCTGAGAATTTATATAGCGCATAAAGCAATAAAATATATAGGAATATACTAAACAAGTTAATGTCTGAATTGCTTATATTGCCTTGCCATAGTATCTGGAAAGGCGGTAATGCCAATGGAGATGAGAGAGAGGAATGGTACTTGGCCCCGTTTCAAGTAGAAGGATATGATCATTTGTCATTCAAAGATCATATTAAGAAGAGCTTAGATTATTTAAAAAATAATAGTGATTCATTTTTAATAATATCAGGAGGACAGACAAAGCAAGAGGCAGGACCGATTTCTGAGTCCCAATCATACTATAATTTAGCATCGAGTCTTTTACAATCTACGGAATTGCTTAATAGGGTTACAACGGAGGAATTCGCCAGAGATTCATTTGAAAATGTCATCTTCCTGATTTGCAGGTATTTCGAATTATTTCAAAAGTATCCAGATTCTGTTACTATTGTTGGCTTTGAATTCAAAAGAAACAGATTTATAAACAACCATTTGGTTCAAGCGTTGGATTTTCCGAAGGAGAAACTTTCTTATATTGGAAATGAACCAGATCCTAAAGACTTGAATGAAATAGATAGAGCCAAATATTTCCAAGACCTAGATAACAGTGAATATAACTTTGCCGTTAAATATTTCGATAGCGATTGGTATGGAGTACAAGGTAAATTATTAAAAAAGAAGTTTGACAGAAATCCCTTCAAAAGATATCATGGTTATGCTTACAGTAATCCACAAATTTCGGATTTTATAAAGGCTCTAAATGGTCATACATTTTCAAAAAGTCAAGATATAAAAAACTCATTGAACGCCCCATGGAGCTAAGTTTATTTACATAGTACACATAGATTTTAAGAATGATTAAGTGCTCTTCTAGCTTGAACGGCCTTACTTAATTTTTTCAACATATCAACAGTAGAGTCCCAAGAGACGCACCCATCAGTGATTGATACACCATACTTTAAAGCAGATTTTCCTTCATTTGAAGCAGGCATATTTTGTTTACCTTCATTGATATGTGATTCAATCATAACACCGATTATCTTGTTTTCGCCTTTTTCTATTTGAGAAGCAACGGAATCCAAAACTTTTGGTTGGTTTCTATAATCTTTCTGAGAATTGTCATGGGAACAATCAACCATTAAAGTAAGTCCTGGTTCGGTGGATTTACTAATAGCTTCTTTCGCTTGTTTGACAGATTCTTCATCATAATTAGTGATATTTCTACCACCTCTTAAAATAATGAAGCAGTGGTCGTTACCCTTCGTGGTCGTGATAGCAGCCGTTCCATTCTTGGTAACTCCCATAAAGTGGTGACCCTTCGAAGAAGCTTGAGCCGCATCTAAGGCGACTCTTAAACCTCCATCTGTACCGTTCTTGAATCCAATGGGAAAAGACAAACCTGATGCTAACTCTCTGTGTAACTGGGACTCTGTTGTTCTTGCACCAATAGCTCCGAAACTTAAAAAGTCAGAGAAGTACTGTGGCGAGATAGTATCCAACATTTCAGAACCTATTGGTAACTCAGCAACACCAGTCAAGTCAGCATACAATTTTCTGGAGATCCTTAAACCCTTATTGATATCAAATGTGTTATCAACATTAGGATCATTGATCAACCCCTTCCAGCCAACAGTAGTTCTTGGCTTTTCTAAATATGCTCTCATTATAATGACCAAGTCCTTTTCTAACTTAACTGATAATTTTTTTAATCTGGCTGCGTATTCCATCGCAGCTTCTGGGTCATGGATAGAACATGGTCCCACTATGACCAAACATCTGTCATCCTTGCCCTTAATTATCTGTGAAGCTTCGATTCTACCTTTGATTACGGTTTCTAATGACTTAGCACTGGCTCTAATTTCATGTTGCAACACCGCGGGAGAAATCAATGGGTCGTAACCCAAGATTCTGGTGTCATCATACTCAGCTGGTATCGGCGTTGAACTCATCTTATTGCACTTATCTGTTTACTATTATAATTAGTTCCACTAAAATGTTCTTTCTTCTTTTGCTCTATTTTACTTACTCCGATATCTTTATGAATCTTTCGGCCTATAATAAAAGTCATGATTACTGCTACGCTGCTGACGCACTGAAAAATTTTTGGTATCGTGCCCAGTAGTCAATTTCTATGAGTCATCTACAAGATATCACTACAAACGTACGACGATTACTTACTACTCAATCATCTATAACCATCAGCGCCGACTACTGTAATAGCACCCAGCGTTGTACTTGCGTGCTAGTAGACAATCCTGGATGCTCTCGCCCGTCTCTGGTTTTATAAGCAGCTCATCTTGCGCAACGTGCGCTTACTGCCGGCATAATATGTTTCAATACCACGAAATTTGATCCTGCATTCAGTGTATTATCGTGCGATGGATAAATTGAAGGTTCCGTGTTCTTTTTAATGTATGCAGTCTTGTTGATTTCGGGTGTGTACAGTACTGATGCGAAGTGCTAGGGAAGAAGGATGGACTAACAGATAATCAGTACGTGCAAGTTGTAGGTTATCTTAAACAGATTGATTCATTAATTCCTGGATGGTCAGTACTTCTAGAACTAGCATTTTCATAACAATTAAACAGTCCTGCTGTAAATAATGCTAATTGTAAATGAGCTACGCTTGACGTTTGGATCGTTCTTCTTGTTTGGATTACTTAATAACATTTTGTATGTGATCATCCTATCTGCAGCAATTGATTTGGTTGGTTCCTCTATGCCAAAGGCGATCGTATTACTCGCAGATGTTACTCCTTCCCTTGCTGTGAAATTGACGGCTCCGTTCTTTGTGCACTTCATTCCATATTACGTGCGTCTATGGCTCTTAGTGGTTATGTCTGGTCTTGGGATGTTGGTAATCAGTTTGAGCTCTCAAACGAGCATTGGCTTGAAAGTATTTGGCATAGCATTAGCATCACTATCTTCAGGGCTCGGTGAGTTAACATTCTTACAGTTAACTCATTTCTACAAGAGGGAATACTCAGTGGGTGGATTTTCAAGTGGAACAGGTGGTGCGGGTTTATTTGGAAGCTTCTTGTTCATGCTATTCACTAATGTGTTTGGACTTAACGTTCGAGGTGTTCTTTTGATGTCTTCTGTCTTGCCATTAGGTTTTTTGGCAACTTTCTACATACTTTTACCCCTGCCAGGTATTACAGAAGAAGTAATCGAATATGAAAGCTTGCAGAGTGAAGAAATACAGCAAAGTTCAATAGTACTGGACAATCCAAAGCTTAGTATGGCATTTATAAAACAGCACATTCGCAATACTGTAACAAATATTCGACCACTTATTAAACCATACATGCTTCCATTATGCTCTGTCTACATATGTGAGTATGTCATTAATCAAGGGGTTTCTCCAACGCTATTATTTGACCTCAAGGGCCTTCCTCGCTGGTTATTTTCTTCCTATAGAGACATATATGTGGTGTACGGTTTCTTGTATCAGCTTGGAGTCTTCATTTCCCGATCTTCGATCAATTTTGGTATCAGATTAAGAAATTTGTATTGGCTCTCGATCTTACAATTCATTAATTTAGTCTTAACGTTGTGTCAGTCTATCTACGATTTGCCTTTTCCAAATATTTGGTTATTAATGATCTTAATTTTCTATGAGGGCCTATTGGGCGGGTTTCTGTATATCAACACGTTTATCTCGGTTAGTGAAGATGTACCCATATCAAAGCGTGAATTTAGTATGGGCTGCGTTAGTATTAGCGACAGTTTGGGGGTTGTTTTGGCAGGCTGCTTTAACTTTTGGCTAGAGATTCGTCTCTGTCAACTTCAAGTTCGGAGAGGGCGTGATTGGTGTCGAAATGGTGGCGGTTTGACATAGCTAATCTTTCCCTCATCTCTATATGTATTATTAAAGTATTGAAATATCTACTTATACGCCATAAAGCATTATGATCACGTGCGAGTAATTCATCAAATGTCCATCATGATAAGAGCCACAATGTAAACTAATTGACTCATTGGAGAATCATTTTTTCTTATTCCATAAATGTATGCTATTTATTAAAAGCTTTAAAGGTGCTAGTATTTGGAGAAATCAATTTCGAAAAAGAGAAGGACTTAGTAAAATGACATTACACACATCAGATCCTGAATCGCTCTATAATCCTTATTTTTCCCAGAAGCTGGGTCAGAAAGATATTTGGTCTTTGATCAACGAGACAGCTGCTACTGCTCAAAAGGAATTAGGAAAACCTATTGTTAACTTAGGGCAAGGTTTCTTCTCCTATAATCCTCCTCAATTCGCTTTGAATTCGGTGTCAGAGGCCCTTACAAAGCCTCAGTTCAATCAATATGCACCGGCAAGAGGGAACCCAAATTTATTGCAAGAATTAAGCAATTACTATACAAAAGCCTTCCATAGGGAGGTCGATGTATCGGAGCTCCAGATATCTACTGGAGCTAATGAGGGTTTATTTTCCGTTTTCTTTGGATTTTTAACTAAAGGTGACGAAGCTATCGTCTTTGATCCTTACTTTGATCAATATATTCCTAACATTGAGATGACGGGAGCCAAAGTTAAGTATGTTGAAATAAAATACCCGGAAAAGTTCAACACTGAAACGGTACATGGTGATGATTGGGAGGTAGATTGGGCAGGTTTAGAAAATGCCATTACCGAAAAGACTAAACTCATTGTCTTGAACACACCCCACAATCCTATAGGAAAGGTATTTACTGAAGACGAATTGGTTCGAATTGGAAAACTTGCAATTAAACATAACTTCCTTATCGTAAGTGATGAAGTGTATGAACATCTATATTACACCAAAACGTTTCCACGTCCTGCTTATTTGCCGAAGTTGCCTGAGTTGGCTGCAAGAACTTTCACAGTTGGGTCAGCAGGTAAGACTTTTGCTGCTACTGGTTGGAGAGTAGGTTGGATTCACGGACCTTCGAATTTAATCAAGTACGTCACGGCAGCACATACTAGAATATGTTTTTCCACTCCAGCTCCATTGCAACAAGCAGTTGCCGATGCCCTTAAGCAGGCTTCGCTGAACAATTATTTCGAAGATACAAGGAATCAATATATTAAAAAATATGAAATTTTTACAAGTGTATTTGATGAGTTGGGTTTACCTTACTCGGTTTCTGACGGAAGTTACTTTTTATTAGTAAATCTTCTGAAAGTAAAGATTCCTGAAGACTACAAATTTCCACCGGAAATAGAAGAAAGGCAAACCCTTGACTTTAAATTAGCTTACTTTTTGATAAAGGAAATTGGAGTTGTAGGTATTCCACCAACTGAATTCCTTCCTTTGGAGAAAAGGAAAGGAAATGGTATCGAGCGTTGCTTGAGGTTCGCTGTTTGCAAGGATGATTCTGTCTTGGAGGATGCAGTAAATAGGTTGAAGCTCTTAAAGAACTATCTTTAAATGAGCCATTTATAGAAATAATCGTTATTTATTTAGCTAGTTTTTGAGCATATCTCTTGAATAGATATTTTGTTTCTCCAAAATCATCGCGGCCGTCTTCCACTTCGCTTTCTATTTCTTTTAAACTCTCATCTAAAAGCTTCCAAAGCTTTTCTCTCTCTGCTTCAAAGGTTGGCCTCAATGGTATTTGAATCAATACTCTAGAATCTTCACTTCCTTGCAAGAATTTTTGAATCATATTAAACACCAAGTCTGGATGCTCTGAAGAGTAGATCGGATCGCTAATGAGAATTGTCTTAAATTTTGCTTCACCGTACCTTCCCGTAAATTGCTGTGGTTGAGCCCAGTCTAATTCGAATACCTCTGCGTCTACGTTGTTTAGAAGTACATTCTCTTTTAAATTGGGTAAAATTTCAGGTAAGTCTGTTAAAGTTGTCTGATGTCCAAGTAAGCAACTCACGATCCCCACTAATCCTGTTCCTGATCCTAATTCCAATATCGGTTCTACAAGATAGTCTCTTTTTCTATTTATCAACCGATCAGCAAGAATCAACGAAGATCCCCAAGTTTTCAACCCGAGGTTATCTCCTGTCAAAGAAGGTTCTTTCAACCTGATATACAGCCCAAATCTTAAGTATTTGGAAAGATTATGCAAAGATATATTTCGAATTATTTCTGGTTGGGCTGTCCTTCCACAATTTTCGCTTAAACGTAGCGTAGCTTCTTTTGATATAGCTGATCTATAGGGCTCATCGATCCACGCTAGCTCTGATGATATGATGTTTGTGAAATATGCATTGTATTCCAACTCAAAGTTCTTTTTTAGGGAGCTACTAAGCTTTGGAATGTATCTGAGCTTCAACTTAGTGTCAAATCTAGGACAGTAATGACTAAGCCATTCAAGCGAAGTTTGAAGTAGTTTTTCATCTACGTTTTTTTCTTCAAAAATCTCCGTCTTGTCGTCTGAATCACATCCACTATCTATCTTTTGAAAATTGTAAACTTTGTTAGGAGATAATAGCCTTAGTATAACCATCATTACCTCTGCTGGGGGTTTTAATTGTAGCATTGGTAAATCAAAAATATGAATCGGCTGTAGATGATCATCATTGAACTCATCATAAGCTGTACTTTTATAACTCTCTATATTATCCCCAAAAAATACCTTGGCATGATCAACAAGTAGACGTTCGTTCAGTATACTTTTGCTTTCTGCTGAAAAGAAGCTTAGAGGATCGAAGTCCATTGTTGGTGATACTTTATATCTTTTAAAGAGAATTAAGAGCTCGAGAAAAAATTAACAGCCAAATTAGATTTATCTGATGTTGAAACATCAACTTAAAAAGTATTTATTAGTTAATTATGATTAGTATCGAGGCATCATGACGATTCGATAAGGGCCCTACACATACTATATAAAAATAATTCAAAAGAAGCCGCAAGATCTGGGGAATGCGCCTTAAAAATCAGTTACTCTGCCGTTAAACGACCAGTCTGAGCTATGCTTTAAGGGATCCTGCTTTGGGCCACCTCTTTCACCAGTCTTCGGGTTCACGTCACCTTCAAATTCTGGAATGGTCTTGAGAACCTGGAATCCGCCGATATCGGAATTCATTTGGGGTTGTTCCTGACTCAGAGATGCCCCCCCTTCTGTTGAACCTGCTTTCCTAATCCTATCATTATAATCTTCTATAGCTATCTGAGAGCTGGCCACCTTCTGTAACGCTTCGAACTCTTCTTGTTCTTCTTTGGGAAGTTTAGGAGGAGACGGTTTAAATTCATTTGAAAATTTAGATGAATAGAAACGACCTATGAGCCGTAAATGTGCTCTTCCTAACACTTGAGTATTTGTAAGTCTCTTCATGATCATCTCTTAAACTGCCTGAACTATAGACGATTTTTCAACTCTTTGATCAAACCTCTAAGTATTTTTGCGAGATATCGGATTCAAATATTAAGCAGCAGACTACATATTAATAGTTTTCATATCATTACCGGTATCGCAACCTAATTGACAACTGGATTAAGATGACAGAGGATTTTCCGAAGGCGCCTCCTCAACCATCGGAGGTAACAGAAAATCCAGAAAAGCTTAAGGATGTAGATGATCGAGTGTCATTTGACAATTTATCCAAACGATGGACATTTGAACTTATGAAAGATGGAAATCCTCATGAATACTATTTTAGTTTCGAGGAAAACAGATGGCTAGAAAACAAAACTCATAGCAAAGATGGCTCTCAGCCTCAAAAAAGGACGCTTGAGGATGCTGATATTGAAAGACAAGAAGAGGAGAATAAAACATCGCTTAAAAGATTGAGAAAGGAGAAATTGCAGAAGATGAGGGAAGAAATTTATAGACTCAAGAGTCAGAAGAAAGAAATCAACTCATTACGAAATAATGGTGATGATACGTTGACCACTTCTGGGGTTTTTGTATCTAATTTACCATCTGATGTCACAAAAGATGAGTTATATCAAGCTTTTAATAGATTTGGAATGATCTCAGAGGACTATAAAACTGGAGAGCCGAGAATCAAGTTGTATTACGAAAATGGTGTTTTCAAAAAGGAGGCATTAATCATATATCACAGCAAAGAAAGTGTGCCTTTAGCGGTTGAAATGCTAGATAATACCCTATTTCAAGCTACTTCAAAAGAGAATATACATGTCCAGCCCGCACAATTCAATAATTCAAAAAAGGATAACGATAAGAATTCCGAGAAGAAAGTGTTAACAGCAGAAGAGAAGCAACTCCTTCTGAGGAAAAAAGATGCCATGTTAAAAAAGTTATCGACTTGGGATGAAGACGAAATCAGCACTGTGGATCATAGTCTTGATCTGATCAAAAGAAAAATATATGACAAAATTGTAGTTATAAGGAACATGTTTAGGATTGATGAACTTAAAGAAGATCCTTTACTAGAAATAGACCTCAAAGAGGATATTCAAGAAGATTGCGATAGACAGGGAATAGGTAATGATATTACAAAGGTGGTGCTCTATGATATAAGCGGTGTGGTTACTGTTAAGTTTAAAACACGCGAACTGAGTCTCAAATGCGTGGAAGCATTCAATGGACGTTTCTTTGATGGATTAAAGTTAGAGGTGAGCCTCTACAACGGTGAAAAATTTGAAATGTCGAAATCAAACACGGGTCATGAGCCGGAAAGAGAATAATATCTTTTAATGTCAATTGAATTATGTAGTTAGTAGCAATTAGAAAATATAAGCAAGGAGACAACTATATTATTAAAAATAATGCATTTAGAGTACCATTAGCTTTGAAGACTCAATTTTTTAAATTGGTCTTCAAGTTTGATTTTAGAAATTTCAATCAATTTAGCCTCCTCATCTAGCCAATACTTCAATTTGGTCATTTCTCTGCAATAATTTAAATAACTGGAATAACCTCCTCTCAGATCTGCAATGTTATTGGAATCCCTTTCAAGCTCTTTCAAGTACTTGACTTGAGATTCTAAATTTTTTATTGTATAATTTATACTCTCCTTATCATCTGAATCCAGCTGCACCATTTTGGCGATTGAGTTAATTTCCTTAAACCACTTATTTTCTGCGTTTGATAATGGAAGCGAGCTTTCGTGCCTGAGAATCTGGATCTTATTTAATAGCTTGTCCTGTAAGGACGACACTCTTTTGTCAAGGTTTCCCTGCTTTTCAATCAACTGAGTTAGTTTTTGCTCTCTCTTGTTTATTTTAGAATCCTTTTCTATTCCCTTTAAGGTCTCAACTTGTGACTTTAATACTCCCAATTGTTCCTCAATTCTGAAGTTAAAATGTAACATGAATTTAGTATAACCTGCAACTTGTTTGATCGTTTCATTGGATAACAAATGCACTTCCTTTAAAACTTTCACGTCATCAGTTTTAACTTTGAAACTCAAAGAGGATTTATCCAATTTTGATTGTAAGGTAGCGGGCGAGAACTGCTTCAAGCCATTTAATTCTAAATAAATTTCATCAAACGGTTCGCACTGCAAGACTGGTTGTTCAGGTATATCATAAGCAGAGATGCGCTTTATTTTAACAAGATCGTCAGAGTGACTTATCACTGAGATACGCTTGACTTCCAAATTATCAATACTTCCATTTTTTAGCAATATTATGTATTCCCCGGTATATGTCATCCTATCCTTGATGACTGCCAAGCTGTTGATTGTCTGTCGACCATTCGTGATTACGTTATATTCACTCAAAAATTCAGGCAACCTCCCCAATGTGAGGATACTTTTGAAGAAATTCTCTATCCAAGAAGATATATCTGAAGATATAAGAGTTGTTCCTATTTTAATTGCAAAGTTATAGCCCTTATCACCTAATGGAAAGAGCTGCAAAGCAATTTCTTTCACCTTAATTGGCAATACATCTACCGCTAAAGATGATAAAGATGTGTACTTGTCGATCCATAACTTGGATTGCTCCATCGAAAATTTAGGATCAGTTTTTGCCTTGGGGCTATTATCTTCTTCTTCAAATTGTTCCTCATCGGATGTATCAGATAAGTCGACAAATCCAAAACCTTTCTTAGGCTTTATGTATCCAGTATGCTTCAATCTCTTTCCCTTCTCTTCCGATGCCTTCGATTCTACGACTCTTTCCTGATCTTTTTCCTCTTCACTCCAAAACTTCATTATCAAAGGTCTCAATTGTGCATAGTAGCTTATAGTTATATTATCTGATTCATTATTTGATGCTGCTGCAAATATGTTGCCTACTTTGTTTGAGTATAATGGAATAAAGTCTCTCGTATTCTTTGAGGATTGAGATAATGGTGCCTGGATCACAGGCTTATAGTCTGGGGGCAAGGCTTGCTCCAAAATTAGATATTCCTCAGGCTTTTCGAAAAATATTCCTCTAAACTCTTTTATCGGTGGAACGTTGGACATACTTTGTCTGAGCAAATGATTATAGTATTCATATTGTTGAACACATGAGGCTCTTAAAAGACTGTTTTTATCTCCTTCTCGTTCTTTCAGTAAGAATTCTTCATCAATCTCGCTAATTATTTCAGTTATTTCTTCAATCTGGTTCTCTATTTGTTCTTTCTTCGTTGATATCTTTGCCAGATTGAACGTGAAGGGGTAAATTGGACATACACCAGTATTCTTTATCACTACAAACAATGTCAATGCTCCAGCTAAAGTATTTCGCGATCCAAAGGACATTGAAACAACTTCTTGTCCCATTAACTTACTGTCATTGATGCTCACCTGGGGCACGTCACTCGAGATGGACAAGTCGTACAACTGAATTTCAGATTTATCATTGAGTATTACTAGGCCGCAGTCGTTGGCCATAGCTGTATGCCACAAAACTACTTTTGGTTTCCCCCTGATTCCTTTGATTTGATAATCCTTGGATGGAATTGAAGAATCGTCAGAACTATTGATTGACGCTGGTAACGATACCACAGTTACCTGTTCATCGCCGATCACAGCCATCAATGTACCCAGAGTATTCATGACTAAACTTTTGATTTCATAATTTCCATGACTGCTTTCTAGCAATCTGTATTTGTTCATAGAAGGACCTACTGTGGTCATTCTGATACTGTTTCCATTTGCATAGAACAAATCGGCATTGTTCCTACAAACCAATTTAGACCCACGGTTAACGCCATCTTCAGTAGATTGAGCCAGAGGAAAAAACTTGAAAATCAGATTATCACTGATCTGTGATATAAATCCCCTTCCTTCCTTTGATGTGTCCATATCATTCACTGTGTTCCGTTTAATATTAAGAGATAATTATTTGTAGTATAAAAAAAAATTGATCCATTAAACGACCATTCCTATGCGCGAGCATTTGCGACCCATATTAAAAGTTAAAGTCTGATATATCAGCAAAGTTTGTCTTAGCTAGCCTGTTATGTTTGTATTGCAAGTCTACCCTTGGACTCCTCCGATAATTATTTTCTCCCCCGATGTTAGTGGACGTCGAAATTGCACTGCCAGCGAAAGATAATCTTTGTGAAGCAGAAGTAGTTCTATTGAGAGAATATACATCTTTCGTTAGAGATGATGTGGAAAACGAACTGCAATTATGGGACTTTGAAGACTCATTGGCAGAGTTTTTATTCAGGGCTGTGCTCTTAAGAGGAAAGAAGAAGCTTGAAACGGAACCAAGCTTCAAAGCTGGTGAGAATGCAGACTCAATTGCTTCTGTATTTTTATGATTGCTTCGGCTAATATTGTTCAAGTCCTTAATTATTTTGGGAGCTTTTATTTTGGATTCATTTTCAGTTTTGTTCAATGGTAAAAAATTAGACGAAGCGTGAAAGTTTTCCTGATTTGCTAGTAGAAGCTGTCTCTCTCGCCATTTTTCCTGATCAAAATTTGTTGCAGCATGTTTGAAGATTTGTCTTCTCTCCCATTTGGCATGTTGGTCCTTGGGAAGTTTTTGAGGCGGAGGATAAATCTTGAACGAATGCAGGTACACTGGAGAGTATTGGTCGCACTTTCCGTCATTTCTGATTAAGGAACTATCTTGATTGTGGTCTTCAATGTCTAGGTTCAAGTCAAATGTGGAGCGCTTTTCACTGGATATAACAGATCGCTCGTCCAACAAGCACTCCGTAATTGTAGTAGCGACATCGGCTGGGATTACAAACAATGGGTTTTCCAAATCGTTATCGCTTGGTTTTGGTTTCAATGCGAGTCGTGATCTTATTTTCAGCCTCAAAGAAAGCCTAGGGTCGTAAACAAACTCATTCTTAGGGAGCTTGTAGCATCCTTTGGTGATATTAAGACTATTACTTTCGGTGGCACCAGATCTCATAGAACTTTCAGTAGCATTATTCGTATCGTGCTGTTTGACTAATCCTAACTTTCTCAAAAGGGTATATCTCTTTGAGTTCTGAATCGTCTTCTCATATTTTTCCTCAGGTTTTTCGGCTGCAACTTCACTCTCAATTACAGTAGCAGTAGATGTTACTTCTTCGAATGCATTTGACTTATCATTCGGTGAGCTAGAAGCTAGTAGCGTTGTAGTCTCGGACCTAAGTTCTTCATTTTTTGAATTGGAAGAAAAATAGTAGCTGATGAGTGATTTTATTCGATCTCTTTTCCTTATAGTTTTATCAATTTTTTTGCTTTTTTGGCTCGAAAATTGACTTGAGACAGGAACTTTGCAACTTGCAACTGATTCAACTTCAGGTATATTGAAAGATTCTATAGAAACTTTAGAATACATTTTAAGCAAATAGTACCGGCTATGCCTAGCTTATAGTAAATGGAATTTTGTATGTGGCTACATGAATGAATTGTTACTTTCTTTGCATAAGAATGGTTTGTGTATTTCGCAACTTTGTAAACTTCAATTTGCACGCACCATATAATAATGACATAATTCCAAATGGAAACATTTATAAACTTCCTGGAGAGCTGATAACTAATAATTAAGTGATATTAATTGCTGCTTACCTCTTTTGTCCTTTAGTATAAATGTGAACCTATCGGTTAACTTTTTTTACATGAAAGTATTAAGTTGGTGTGTCTTCAAATTCTTACAAACGAAGAAGGTTTAAAGGACATTTAATTCTTGTCCAGTTACGGTTATCAGCTCGAAAGGAACAGGCACCAGTAACCAATTTGCTCTGATACCTACCGAATTCTATGGTACTGTGGCTCTTATTGATGGTACGCTATATAAGGGAGATTGTGCGCGATCAGGTAATCATCGCTGATAGTTCTCGTCGATAGACTCGCCTTTCAAAAGATCTTAGGAAGTTACTTCTGAATTACATCATTCTCCCGACATTTCAAGATGGTTGGAATTTCAACCAAATTAATTCATGGAGCAGACGAAGTTTCTCGTGTTCCTGATGTGATACCCCCAATCAACATTACCACGACTTTTAAATATAATGATGATCCTAACAAATTGGTGAAGGCTGCAGACCTAACGAGCTACTTTGATGGTGATTTTTGGTATTCTAGGTTGGGACACCCTAATTCAGAGCAGGTCGAAAAGGCAATTGGTAAAATTGCAGGGGGTTATGTTGTAGCGTACTCATCTGGGCTAAGTGCATTTTATGCAGCCATAACATATTTCAATCCTAAGGTGCTCAGCATTGGTAAGGGTTATCACGGTTGTCATGGAATTGCTGATTTACACACTCGCAATTATGGGTTAAAGCAAATCTCTTTGGAAGATGATCTTCTGAAGCTAGGTAAAGGAGATTTGATTCACTTGGAGACACCTGTAAACCCAGAAGGCACAAACTTTGACATCAAGTACTATGCTGATAGGGCGCACGAGAAAGGTGCATATTTACTTGTTGACTCAACTCTTGCTCCACCTCCACTTCAAAACCCCTTCGATTTTGGTGCGGATATGATCATGCACTCTGCCACGAAGTACTTTGGGGGTCATAGCGATTTACTAGCTGGTCTATTAATTACCAAAGATGCATCGGTTAGAGAATCTCTCTTACTTGATAGGTTATTACTTGGCACAAACATTGCTAATCTTGAAAGCTCTTTATTAATCAGAAGTTTGAAAACCTACGAATTAAGGATTTTAACTCAATCGAACAATGCAACTAAGATAGTAAAATACTTGGTAGACAACATATCAGATTTTTCCAAACTTGATGCTGTTTTTCATGGTACCTTACAGACAGATGGATATATTAAGGCGCAAGTTCCGGGCGGTCAGTCTCCAGTGTTTTCAGTTAAAGTTTCTACGGAAAGAGATGCTCGCTTCTTACCATCTAAATTGAAGTACTTTCATCATGCGACATCTTTGGGAGGCGTTGAGAGCTTAGTTGAATGGAGGGCTCTATCTGATACCCATGCTGATCCAAAGCTTTTGAGATTTAGTGTGGGCGTTGAAAACGTTGAAGACTTAATTGAGGATATTGCAACGGCTTTAAGATCACTTTAGCTTAGATAGAAAGCGAAGACGAAACAAAGAGTCTTTCCTTCAAATATTAATTCGTATTTAGAACAATATAGATCATTCTCTTTAGTGCTTCATGTAATGTTTTGAATTAGTACTTGAGTAACAATAACCAACACTATAATTTCTAATTGGGTTTATTCAAGCCCATAAGCATTTCGAGTGGTCACAGGGATCAGTCTTCAGAGTCCCTAAGATATAAATAAACTTTTTCAGAATTCTGCTCTATAAAAGTAACTTAAATCGATACTTGACTAACCTTGCATAATGAGTTTTGCGTCTTTTAATATTCACTAATAGTAGATTCCAATCAACTTGCACTTACTACAGCTTGTTAGAATTATATATACTTATTTGAAAAATGAACTCAGGAACTGTAAGTATATCATAAGTTTAAATAGTTGTTTTAAAGGGTTTCCATTATACTTAGGTGAATCCTATTGAGTACTTTACTACTTTGAGCTTCTGTATAGTGTGCTACTACCTAGAATCCCTAGTGGAATTAGCAAGAATACAGAGGTGCGAAATAGGACACATATTATGTGACCTTCCATGGGAGGCATTTCTTAGATATAATTTGGGCCATCCTTTACATATTATCGCCAGCTAAAGTCCTGACAAAGAGTTACGCTTTTGCTGCAGAGCTGCTTGAAATAGCTGCACTCTCAATTCGAAGAAGACATAAACGACATCTCTGGAGACATTTGTCAGACACAATTCTACTCCGAGAAAACCATCTTATTCCGTGAAAGATATTTGTCAGATACAATTTTCTCCGAAATGTTCACCATTCTTCCGGACAAGAAAGATAGTATAAATTGATTAACGTCACCACCTTGATGACAATGAACACATTTGATAACTACCAATCACTGTGATAAAAACTAATCATGGTTCTCAATAACTCTACTCTTAGTCAACTTGGAAATTCTGGTCTTAGGATCAACCATGCAGTAGTCGGCACTATGCTTTTAACACTGAAACTGAAAGATGCAATTATAAAAGAGATCGGAGAGAGCGAGTCGCTCAAAATATTGAAGAAATGCTATGACGAAGGTTTGCGTACTTTTGATACTGCTGATACTTATTCTGGTGGCGACAGCGAAAGAATAATTGGTAAATTCTTGAAGCATTATAATATTCCGAGAGAGGATGTGGTTATTATGACTAAATGCTACTTCTCGATTAACGCTTTTAACGGAGGAGATCCTGATTCCTTAGACTTTAACCATAGGGGTTTATCCAGAAGACATATTCTTGACGCTGTTAAGGGTTCGGTAGAAAGATTAGGAACTCACATCGACTTGCTTCAGATCCACAGATTAGACCAAAATGTTCCTAAGGAAGAGATAATGCACGCTTTAAATGATGTTGTTGAAAGTGGACAGGTCAGATATCTTGGAGCCTCAACAATGAAAGTGTATGAATTCATCGAGTTGCAACACACAGCAGAGATACGCGGCTGGCATAAATTTATTTCGATGCAGAGCTTGTACAATTTGCTTTATCGGGAAGACGAACGGGAGCTTAACGAGTATTGTAACAAAACCGGGGTTGGTTTAATACCATGGTCACCAAATGCGAGAGGTTTACTTGCCCTTCCTTTCAACTCGAAGAAGACTCAAGAAAAGTTGAAGAATACGCTAGGTGTTTCGTTTTTGGGACTCGATATTAAACAAGACAAGGCAGTCATTGACAGAGTTGAGGAATTGAGCAAGAAGCTTGGGTGTGAAATGGTTGAAGTTTCATCCGCCTGGTTACGTGCTAAGGGAGCACACCCAATAATTGGAGTCACTCTGGTGGAGGCGGTTGATCCTATTGTAAAGATGGCAAATATCAAGCTTACTGAGGAACAAGTTAAATACCTCGAGGAGCCCTACCGCCCAAAACCTCCAGCTTTCGTGTTACGCTAGGGTGTATGTAACCACTGTTTTGAAGTTTTATGTACTCTTGATTTTTGTTATGGCAACTAAAGTTTAATGACCGTATTCATACGATGCAAATTCGAAGTAAAAGCTCCATTCATTAATGATACCACCTCTTATACATAAGATGATCTTAGGAATTTAATAATGGCGGTTAAGAATTGTTTCTCCTGTAAATTCTTGGCAAATCATAGCGCTAGCTTCGTGAAGCATAATATACTTCAAACAATCTTATTGAACATAAAGCGATGTATCTGTGGAAGCTATTGGTTTAACCTTTCGGTTTTGTCTTCCAGAAGGTCGCGATTAAAATCATTTAAAAGCCTTAAGGATTTTGTTCTCGCTTGAATGACTCATATTTTATTCTGATTCTTTGGTCTAGAGGACGATACCATTTGTGAGGTTTATAGAGAGTTGTTTTAAATACTATCGTACTTAGGTGAATCATATTGTGCACTTGAATACTTTAAGCTTATGTAGAGTGTGCAACTACTTAGAATCCCTAGTATAATGTAATCTTCTACTATTGGGAGTATCTCGCGCTTATATACTTTTTACACTGTTTCAGATGTGTTTTGCAACACTCCTTCACATTGTGTGTACTTATAAGACTGATCCGTTACACAATTGGAAAAGAGGCAACTTGTCCGAGCGGTTAAGGAGAAAGACTTGAAATCTTTTGGGCTATGCCCGCGCAGGTTCGAGTCCTGCAGTTGTCGTCACGAATTTGTACCCTTTTAACAAATAAATTTTTTCGTAGGTGAATACTTACACAAAATGAATTATGGTGATCAATGCAACCGTCCCTTAGGCAAACTCAAATTTCTTATGCCCTTGACTTCGCTAAGCTTGAGGCATATTTTTGTGTTCGATCGATGGGTCGCTGTCAGTCAAATCTACGATCGCAGAGGAGTTTCGTTTTATGTTTTCCATTGAAGAGCCTGAAGAATTTGAAAAAATCTTGGTCACACCCTTGATTCTTCCGTATTCCTTCCGCTCCGATATTGCATGCGTCCAGAACAAGTCCAATGATTAAAGGGTAGTTTTCTTCACATTATGTGGATATTTTCTCAGAAATTTTCTTAAATGATTTGTATGGGGCCATCTTTCTGCTCCTCTTCCAAAAAAAGCATTTCCTGTTTCAGCAGCTGAACCTCTTAACTACCGTCTACAGAATGCAGAATATGCTATAATCGGATTTCCAAGCTCAGATACAGTTTCCCAAACACCATTGGAAATTAAGTCTTGACACATTAAGGATAGCTCCACTTCAATAAAAGATATTGAAAAAGTATTTGACGCCTTTCTTATTGAGTTAGCGTCAACTTTAGAAATCTCAATGCCATCAATTTTGCCGGTTTTGACGTACTCTGCGATTCAAAACCATAAGAATTTTAGGTGCTGTTAGGTATCCCTCTCGAGCATATTGGGCTATAAATGGACTACTTGAGAATTCTGCCCTACAAATGTGACTTAAATCGATACTATAATATTGCATAATATGTCCTTCTCCTTTTTATACTCCCCAATGGACTGTTCTAATTTAAGATAGGCCAATTGCAGTTTCTTAGAATTATGTATACTTTTTCTACAGATGAACTCAAAAATTGGAAAAACGGCAACTTGTCTGAGCAATTAAGAAGAAAGACTTGAGATCTTTTGGGCTATGCCCGCTCAATTCGAGTCCTGCAGTTGTCGTCACATATTGTCTTGTCTATTCTTCTTTTGAGAAGAGTATACACAAAACGAAGTAGACTATAATCAATGCAACCGTCTCCTAAGCAAATTCAAATTTTTCATGCCCTTCATTATACCTAAGCCCCTTGACTTCATTACTTCGAGATATCTTTAATCTTCGATAGGTCTCTGTCAGTCAACTCTACGAGCACAGAAAAGTTTTGTTTTAGCTTTTCCATTGAAGAGCCTGAAGGAGATGGAAAAATCTTGGTCACATTCTTGATTCCTTTATATTCATTCCGCGGATATTGAAAGAATCCAAGATAAGGCCAATGATTCAAGAGAAGTTTTCTTTACAACGAGAAAATTCATATAGCTTTTTAAATAACTTCATATTCTGAGGGATATTCTCCTTCAGGAGCTTTACTAAATGATTTCTTACGTCACCTTTGTGTTCGTCTTTCAAAAAATTGGTTCCCATCTGAGTAGCTGAGTCTGTTAAATAACCTCCGCAGAGTGGAAAATATGCTATAATTGGAATTCCAAGCTCAGAAGCGGTTTTCAAAACACCATTAGAAATTAAGTCTTGACACATTAAGGATAGTTCCACTTCAGTAAAAGATATTGGGAAAGTGCTTGCTGCCTTTTTAATTGATTTAGAACCAATTTCAGAAATTGTAATGCCATCAATTTTACCGGCTTTCGCATAATTTGCGATATAGCTTATTGAGTCTTCATATGGGACATTTGGATCGACCCTAGCACACTCGAAGACGATTTTCGGCCTCATAGAAATATCTTCAGGGAAATATGATATGACATTCTCAATTGATCGAGTGACCTCCTTTTCATTGCCGTCTAGTCCAAAGCTACCAGGAAGGACAGCGCCTTTAATACAAAAAACAAGTTTGCGATTGAATTCTGGTGTATTTGAATCAACAAATCTTTTCAAGAGCTTCAAATTGGCATCCTCCTGCCCATAAAATTCGCCACCATTTATGAGATTAATACCAAACTCCAGATTAGTTGTTACGTATTTGAGTGTTTCAAGCGATTTGCTCAATGGGCAGAGGAACTCGCTTTCAGGTCATGCTCATAGTGCCAAAGCTTAGACTCCCCTCGGCCTTACCGGTGTGAAAGCTCAGAGTCATAATGACTATTCTGAGATAACGCGGAACAAACAGTTGTACCTAAAAGTATACCTGTCTTGATTTATATTCCGCAATAGGATGGAGTTAGCGGGTATCTCTTCATTTTATTTGATCCTGGATATAATGTGGACTTATCGGAGAATTAATTTAGTCTTGGATTACTGCATCGGGGACATAACGGAATCCTAAAACCTGCATTTAAAGGTTACGGTTATCTATGGTCTCTCCAAGTATCCAAGATCTACGTCACATCCTGATAGACTCTCAATTGACTTTGCATCCAAGGTCCTGGATTTCATTAGAAAGAACAGAATACAAGGTTCTATCCTGAAATAATTCAGAGGATGACGATGTTATTTTGAACCATTTTACTTCTAGCCCGACTTCTCGAGTCGATTGCAAATTAAAACTCACTCCATTATTGCAAGATACTTACATGAGTATTTCATTGACATTAGCTTCCTTGGACAGCTCAAATTAGCTCAAATTTTCTTAAATGGAAAAGCCAAAACTTAATAGGCTAAAATACAATTATTTGGCTGTTTATATCATCGTATGTTTTGATTTTCCTTGATAAAATTTATAGACGACTTACCATCTGTGATATCACCATTCTTAAGTATATATTATATACAAAGACGAATAGTCAAGTCACGTCTTTGTCCTCTTTGTAAGATGTGATCTTAACTTCAGTTTATTGTAAAGTTAGAGTCAAAAAAATGTCTGACTGCATATTATTAGTGCAGTTAATAGATTCTTCATATTCTTTACATTTGTATATATATATATCATGGAGGCAAAAATGGATGAACCAAAAACAGACGAGAAAAAAGTCCCAAAAGTCGTCAGATCAGCTGGAGCCAAAAGGGGAAGAAGAAGAGCCCCAGTTTCTTGCTTGCCGTGCAGAAAAAGAAAAATAAAATGTGACAAAGCAACACCCTGTGCCAGTTGTGTCGACTCTGGCTCTACGAATCTATGCATATATACGGAGCAGCCATGGAAAAAGGATGTCGGTGACTCCTTTAGTAGTTCAAATTCATTGAGAGAGGTTGAACTTTTGAACAATCGAATAAAATACTTGGAAGGCATCTTACAGGAACAACTAAAAACATCTTACATGGCATCGCCTATGATTTCAGATTCGTCTCAATCTCCAAATTGTAACGAGAATAGCAAGATGATAGATATTAGTGAAAGATTTGACATGCTTACCATCAAACACTCAAAAGTGTTTCATGTTGGACCAACATCTTATTATTCTCTTATTTTAAATGATCCTGTCACAAAGTCTGCTTTTGAAAAGTTCATCTCTGAAAGGGCTGCTCAATTTAATAAGTGTTTCTATGATCAAAAAGTAGCTGTACGTTTCAATGAAAGTTTTAAGGAAAAGCTTCCTGGTTGGAATTCAATTTCATTTTTGATAGATAGATTTTTTGAAGCGTGTTATTTCTTTGCACCGTTCATTAGCAAGTCAAAACTAATGGCTGAGTTGAAAGATTTTTTAATTATAAAGGAGGACTTTATTACAGTCGATATTTCGAAACAACGAGATAATATTACATTTGCGATCCTTTTGATAATATTGAGATTTGCTTATCTCTCATTGCCTAAGAAAGAGGGGCACGGATCTTTCTTTGATTCTGAACAAGACTGGATTGGCGATAATATAAATGATATAACAATTGAACTGGAATACATAGACGTTGCTACGGATCTTCTTATTTCTCCTCAGAATATGAAGTTGTTCACTTTAGAAACCATCCAAGCTCATGTTTTATTGCTTATATATAAATTACATTGTCCCGAGGGTGCAGAAGGAGGACAAGAAATGAATATTTTACTAGGCAGTATCATTCAGATGGCCAGACATCAGGGTATTTCTATGGATACAAGAAAATATGCCGGTGGCATTTTGAGCGATGACGACGCTTACGTTTGGAAGAAGCTTTGGGTTCAACTTTTATTCTTAGATTCTTCTTTTGCATTCACTTTTGGAATGCCAATGTTGATAACAGAAGAGGAATTTGATTGTCAGTTACGGCTCACTTCGAATTTAACTTCGAGCTTGAAACTTGAAGAGGCACTTGTAGTGAAGCAGCTTTCTTTAAAGATATCTTCAATTAAGTTAATGAGAAAGCTCGTTCAGGACACAAAACAGACGAAAACTGAAAGGTCGAGCCTTTTAGAAGGAATAAGAGATGTTAATTATTTCATGTCTACTAAAATAAAAACATTTCACGAACTTTGTCACGTTGAAAATATTGTGGGAAACAAAAATGATAGGCTTCAGGAACTTCTGCTCCGCATTGATCTTGTAGTTAATTTATACATCCTCCACTACCTTTTGTTTTTGACAGCAGATGAAAAACTCGAGAGATCTTTGCAAATGAAACAATTTGCTTTGTTTCTAGAGCAAGGATTAATGATATTGAAAATCTCAGACGAAGTTTCGAAAGATATGTGCACTTTGTTCCCCTCTGAGCTAAAAGTATTTCTCCATACTACCGTGTGGAGCGCACTTATGAAAGTGCTTCCTTCTTTCTTCGGTGCTCTTCTAAGGATATACGATAGAACATTTTCTTTGCCTGAGGCTTCGTTGCTTTTTGAATCTATAGATTCATTTAGGTTAATATCATGGGCTGGAATTGATTACGATGATGAGGAGAAAAGTATTGACACGTTTAGCAAAATACTCAAGGAAATTTACTTTAGCTTAATTGAGGACTCAGAAAGTAACTTTCATCGTCAACAAGTTTGTTTTGTCTTTCAAATATTATTCGACTATTTGTATACCATATACAATATTCCGATTTTTGACCTTAACTCTGAAGACCCAAATAAATCAAAGGATGACAAAAAAATGATAGATGATTTTGACGATTTTTTCGAGTTGGATTATCTAATATTTAACAATACTTAAATAATACATAATTTTCAGTAATGATAATTTTGGACCTCTAGAATTGAAAGAAATGTAAACAAAAGATACTTCCTTGTGGCATTTTGGTTTGAAGAATTGGACAGTAGAATTTTGCTTTTAATAGAACTCAAATATACAGAATGGAAAATTTGGCTCTATGGCTATTAATTGATGCACAGCCAATTAATTGAAGGGTCTTGGTCCCGCACAAACACGGCGCTATTTTGCATTTACGGTAACGGCGATACGGAATAAATTACTAAGCGTCATCTAAAACCCGTATTTCGCTTCCGATCCAAATCAGGAAATGTGCGACTCATAATAGCTTTTTCGTAACTCCAAGCAAAAATAGATCCAAACTTTAGTCCTATGGTGTTGCTATAAAACGTTCTCAAAAAGGGGATTTATCTTTAGTTTTTGAGCTCTTCTTTCTTTCAATTGAGATGGATTATAGTGAAAAACTTAAGACTGGTAACTCCAGTGTGGAGCTTGAGGAGGGCCCGCTGGCAAGTAACAGTTCTACCAATGAGTTTCGTGGGTTCAACGATGCCACAGAAAGTATTCGAAACCTTGCTCGGCAGATCACAAATAGACAAGAAGGAGACGTGAATACCGGTGAAGAGTTACGTCGATATTTATCTAGCATGTCTCAAGTTCCAGGGATTTCGCCTTTTGAAGGAGAAGATTCTCGTTTAGATCCTGACTCTGATGAATTCAGCGCTCGTTTTTGGGTTAAGAATTTGAAGAAGTTGCAAGATTCGGATGATGATTATTATAAACCTTCCACGTTGGGTGTTGCATATAGAAATTTACGTGCTTATGGAAAGGCTGCTGATTCTGACTATCAGTCAACTTTCGCAAATGTCATACCAAAGTTTGCAGCAAGAGCTTTTAATGATACTGTTAGAAAGGACTCAAACGCATATTTTGACATACTTAAACAGATGGATGCCATAATGCGCCCTGGAGAAGTGACTGTGGTTTTGGGGAGACCAGGATCCGGATGTTCAACTCTATTGAAGACAATTGCTTGTCAGACCTACGGCTTTCATGTTGATAAAAGTTCGAAAATTACTTATGATGGATTAACTCCAAAAAATATTACAACTCAGTTTAGAGGTGAAGTGGTGTATGCCGCTGAAACAGATGTCCATTTTCCACATTTGACGGTCGGTACTACTCTCGACTTTGCAGCTAGATTACGAACCCCTCGTAATCGTGGACCTGTTGATAGAGAGACCTATGCTAAACATATGGCTTCTGTATATATGGCTACTTACGGTTTATCACACACAAGAGATACAAAGGTTGGCAATGATTTTGTCAGAGGGGTATCAGGTGGTGAAAGAAAAAGAGTCTCTATTGCTGAAGTTTCCTTATCAGGAGCCAACTTGCAATGTTGGGATAATGCCACCAGAGGCTTGGATTCTGCGACAGCTTTAGAATTCGTCAGAGCTCTAAAGACTACAGCTAACGTCCTAGGTGCAACACCTATTATTGCAATTTACCAATGTTCTCAGGATGCTTATGACTTGTTCGATAATGTGGTATTGTTATATGAGGGTCGTCAAATATTTTTTGGTAAAGCAGATCTGGCCAAGGCTTTTTTTATCAATATGGGTTTTGATTGTCCCAAAAGACAAACGACAGCGGATTTTCTTACTTCCATCACCAATCCTTCAGAAAGAATCGTGAGATCAGGGTTCGAGAACTTGGTTCCAAGGACCTCTGAAGAGTTTGAATCTTATTGGAGAAATTCAGGGGAGTATTTTTCTTTAATTAAAGAAATTGATGCTCATTTTGGTGAAGTGAATTCTTCAAATGTGACAAAAAAATTTCATGATTCTCATATTGCAAGACAAGCAAAGTACACTGGATCGAATTCGCCATATACAGTGTCTTTCTTGATGCAAACTAAGTATCTCATGTGGAGAGACTTTGCCCGTATGCGCGCTGATCCATCAATCTCAATATTTATAGTAGTTGGCCAAACGATCATGAGTCTAATTTTGTCGTCCGTTTTTTACAACTTATCACAAACAACCGGTTCCTTTTTCTATAGGGGATCGGGGCTTTTTTTTGCGGTATTATTCAACGCCTTTTCGTCTATGTTGGAGATTATGACATTGTTCGAAGCAAGACCAATCGTGGAAAAGCATAGAAATTTGGCATTGTATAGACCGGCTGCTGACGCATTTGCAGGAATCATTTCGCAGCTTCCTGTTAAGTTCTTGAGTTCTGCGGCTTTTAATATTATCTTTTACTTCATGGCGAACTTGAGACGAGAGGCAGGTCGATTTTTCTTTTACTGGCTCTTCTGTTTTTTGTGCACACTAGTCATGTCACATTTATTCAGATCATTAGGTGCTGTTTCGACTTCTTTAGCGGGAGCAATGACACCTGCAACCTGTCTTTTATTGGCTTTATGTATTTTTACGGGGTTTGCAATCCCAACTCCGAGCATGTTGGGGTGGTCCCGCTGGATTAACTATATTAACCCGGTGGGTTATGTCTTTGAGTCTCTTATGGCAAATGAATTCCATAATAGGGAATTTGAATGTTCTGAGTTTGTGCCTAGTGGACCTGGATATACTGGAGTTAGTTCTTTAAGACATGTGTGCTCTGCGGTGGGATCTAAAGCGGGTTCCTCTGTCGTAAATGGAACAGATTATATTGCTCAATCATTTGAATATTACAATTCACATAAGTGGAGAAATCTTGGAATCGTGATCGGGTTCATCTTATTCTTCTTAGTGGTCTACATTATCTTGACCGAATACAATAAGGGTGCTATGCAAAAGGGAGAAGTTGCTTTATTTTTAAGGTCTTCATTGAAGAAAACGAAGAGAGAACAAAACAAAATCGTAGTTGACGTCGAGTCTGGTAGTACGAAAGATAAGATCAAGCTTGAAGAATTAAATGAGCCTTACAATAGTAATCCCGCAGAGAGATATTTGGATGACAAAAAGCTACCTTCGTCGGATGAGACATTTCTTTGGAAAAATTTGACTTACGAAGTTAAGATCAAGTCAGAGACCCGAGTAATTTTGGATCATGTTGACGGTTGGGTGAAGCCTGGAGAATTAACTGCATTAATGGGTTCTTCAGGTGCTGGTAAAACGACCTTATTAAACTGCCTTTCTGAGAGAGTTACGACAGGTGTTATTACTGACGGAATTCGAATGGTGAATGGGCATTCATTGGATGAATCATTTCAGAGATCTATTGGGTATGTCCAGCAACAAGATTTACATTTAGAAAAATCAACTGTAAGAGAAGCGTTGAAGTTTTCTGCTCAATTGAGACAATCGAATTTAGTCCCCGATAAAGAAAAGTTCGAATACGTGGAATACATTATTGATTTGTTAGAAATGAGCGCTTATGCAGATGCGGTAGTAGGAGTTGCCGGAGAAGGTCTAAACGTAGAACAACGTAAAAGACTTACTATAGGAGTTGAATTGGCTGCAAAGCCAAAACTTTTACTTTTTTTGGATGAGCCAACCTCTGGACTTGACTCACAAACAGCATGGTCTATTTGCAAATTAATAAGAAAATTAGCAGATCATGGTCAAGCTATTTTATGTACGATACATCAACCATCTGCTCTCTTGTTACAAGAATTTGATCGTTTACTTTTCTTGCAAAAGGGTGGAAGAACAGTATATTTTGGAGACTTGGGTGATAATTGCAACACGCTTATTAATTATTTTGAGAAGTATGGAGCAAAATCTTGCCCAGAAGACGCGAACCCGGCTGAGTGGATGTTGGAAGTTGTTGGAGCAGCCCCTGGATCGCATGCGAACCAAGATTACTTTGAAGTATGGAAGAACTCGGCTGAATTTTTAAAGGTTCAAAGCGAATTAGAATATATGGAGAAGGAATTGGTTCAAAGACCACGAGATACGTCTCCTGAAGCACATAAAAGGTTTGCAGCATCACTTTGGAAACAATATATCTTAGTAACCAAAAGAGTTTTTGAGCAATCATGGAGAGACCCCGGTTATCTCTATTCCAAGCTCTTTTTGGTGGTGAGCTCTAGTTTATTTAACGGTTTCTCTTTTTTCAAGGCTAAGCGTTCTATCCAAGGATTACTGAATCAAATGTTTTCAATTTTTATGTTTTTGATTGTTCTCAATACCTTGGTACAGCAAGTAATTCCATTTTTTGTGAAACAGAGGGCTCTTTACGAGGTTAGGGAGGCACCGTCAAGAACATTTTCATGGTTTGCGTTCATATCTGCTCAAATAACATCTGAAATTCCTTATCAGTTCCTCCTTGGCACTGTTGCTTTTTTTGTTTGGTATTATCCGGTAGGATTTTATGAAAATGCAGCTGTAACTGATACGGTAAATTCTCGTGGTGTTCTCATGTGGTTATTCATTACTGTTTTTTTCATTTATGCTTCGACAATGGCACAAATTTGTATTTCATTTAATGAACTTCCCGACAATGCTGCTAATTTAGCTAACTTGTGCTTCACTTTGTGTTTAATTTTCTGTGGCGTTATGGCTCCGGTATCTTCTTTACCAGGATTTTGGATTTTTATGTATCGACTTTCTCCCTTCACTTATCTCATTCAGGGTGTTCTTAGTACAGGATTAGCAAATGCTGATATTCAATGTTCAAGTAGGGAGTTTTTACATTTTGTTCCTCCTGGTGGAGAAACTTGCGGAAAATACATGGCAGATTATATTAAGGTTGCTGGTGGATATTTGAAGGACAGTTCGGCTACAGATGAATGTCAGTTTTGTACCATGTCCTCAACTAATAGTTTTTTAGCTTCAATAAGCTCTTATTATGACCAAAGATGGAGAAATTTTGGAATTTTCATTTGCTTCATTGCTTTCAATATCATAGGTACTGTTTTCTTCTATTGGTTAGCGAGAGTTCCTAAGGGGAATAGGGAAAAGAAGTCTTAAATTATCCAAGTCTAAGTACTGTATTTATTTATTTATTTATCACTTGGATCCTGCAATACATTTCAATTTTTCATAATTGTAGCCGGCACGTGCAACTTATTTCCTACTGGCTGCGAAAAGAGGAAAAGAGGCAATACATTTCAATGGCAGCTTTCTACTTATAAAAAGGTATGAAAATTGCTTACACAAATATTGTCGGGCTTCATTCTTACTGAATTTTCATGAATGTATCTTTTGGTAAATATGCTTAGTGCATTCTTCGAAGTTTTTAGTACCGTTGTGTTGCTTAGAATTCTTTTTTTTTTTTATTTTTGCATCGCTTTGATGCAACGTCGGATGCAACTTCGGCATGCCGGTGAACTTTTGAGAAAATTGCTGCAAACTCTTTAATATAAAATCTCAATCACAGTTGATAATGAAACCTAATTTTTTTTCTAACAGATATGACAATAGCAGAGATGAGTCAAAAAGACTTGGAAGATCAAACAAAAGAGAAAAGTAATTGTGCTATAGAGGAGGTTGATGGTGGCTACGGTTGGGTCGTTGTGTTTTCTGCTTTCTTGCTTTTGTTTTCTACATGGGGTGTCAATTCAGCTTTTGCTATTTATTTCACCCGATATCTTGATAAGAACACTTTTGCAGGAGCAACGAGAACGGACTATGCATTTATTGGAGGAATCTCTTTCGGCGTCGGCTTGTTTAGCGGACCATTAGTCAATCTTATCCACGGATTAATTGGGACTCGCTTCACAATACTCTTGGGTAACTGTCTCCAGTTCACCGCAATAATGTTAGCAAGTTATGCAACAAAGTTATGGCACCTATATCTCACTCAGGGCTTATTACAATCTTACGGATTAGCGCTTATTAGCCTACCTGCTTTGACTTTAGTTAGTCCCTGGTTTAGTAAGCGAAGGGTGCTAGCAAATGGCCTCTCGGTGATGGGAAGTGGCGCAGGAGGAGTGACTTTCATTATGGGTATGTATAAAGTTATGGAAATCAGGAGTGTTCACTGGGCATTACGAGCTCAAGCAATTATTAGTGCGAGCTTGGTAACAATCGCAGTCATGTGTGTTCGTACCCGATCGAAGCACAGTAAAATTATTTTCACTCCTTTTGACCTTGAAACAATAAAATGTGCTGGCTTTTGGTTACTTTGTTTCTATAATATTACATGTGTTCTTGGATACGTTATCGTTTTATACAGCATGTCAAATTACGCCCGGTCACTAGGATACTCTGAATATCAAGGTGCCATAGTTTCAACTATGGTTCAGGTTGGGTTTTGCTACGGAAGACCTCTCATAGGTTACATTTCAGATAAGCTTGGGCCAACCACAGTATGCTCGTTCTCATATTACATGGCTTCCATCTTCACTTTTGCCATGTGGATTCCGGCAAGAAACTATGCCACCATAATCATGCTCGCATTAATAGAAGGAACTTTCATTGGAGCCGTTTTTCCAACGACGGCTCCAATTATTGTACGCCTAGTGGGAATTCGCAAATTGAACGTTGCTTTTTGCATGCTGTGGATGTTTTTCGGAGCAGCTTCAATTTTTGGAGAGCCTATTGCTGCTGCCTTAACTAATTCCCCAAAAAGTCAATTTGACCATAAACTATATCGTAATACTACGATATTTGCAGGATGTTGCTTCTTTGCCTGTGCCACTGCACTTCTATTACTTCGGGGATATATTATTGCAAGAGACAAGCTATTATATTTAGCAAATATTGACCTGACAAGCAATGACGTGCTGTCTGTTCGTGTACCCTTTATAGATGCATTTATGTATACACTATCGTGGCCAGAGAAAAGGGCGTGACTTGTTAATTCTTGTCAAGAAATCTTTCCTTTCTCAAATATAGTACAGCTTTCTCCATATATAATATGTCTTATCTTCTATAATCCGGACTTTGTCTTAGTAAACTATGATGACACTTTTTTTTTTTGTAAGCGTCGCATCGGGAAGCTACCGGTCCGACTTCAAGAAATAATTAATTAACGGCTACATAAAAGTAATGAACCATTGAAATCTCATTTTGAAAAATATGCATAAGTAAAACTTAGATATTTAAAATGGGCAAAATCAAAAGAAGGGCACCCGTTGCATGCAAGAGGTGCCGTAAGTTGAAAGTGAAATGTACCGGTAATCAGCCTTGTGCTCGCTGTGATAAATTTAACCTTAAATGTACTTTTGTATCTTCTGAAGATATAGACAAAAATGCTTTTAAAGATGACAATTCAAAAACGAAATACCAAAGGTTTCTGAAAGAAGAAGAAGATCAGGGAACGAATGTTCCCTTTTTTTCAAATGATAGTAAGGATGAAGAGATAAGCAAATTAAAGAAGCGATTCAATGACTTGAAACGCTTCGATTTTGCCGTTTACGATCAATGGCGTATACAGGGACTGTGTCAAAATAAGTTATTGAGACTTCTTTGTGAATCAAACTTAAAACAGATACCTTCAAACATTCTGAGCCCAATAAGAATCCCTAGAACACAGTATTACGGTTGGAACATGTCAGGGATCCAGTATCTACAACAGAACAAGTTTCCCGAGAGACCAGGCTATGACTTTTCGAAACGACACGACGAACTTCTACATTACTTTTTCAAAGAAATCAATCCATTGTTTGGAACCTTGCAGGAAGATTTTCTTAGATATTTTTCCTCAAGATATCTAGATTTTATGAAAATGCTCGGGGAATGTTCTTTTAAATCCAACAATAATACAACTTTGTACGCTTCAATTTTGTATCTAGTGTATGCAATTTCAATTCGATTTACGGAATTTCTGAAAGAAGAGGGTCCCGATTTCAGCATGGTTTCATTAGGTTGCGAATGTTTCAATTTCTCCTATAATGTCGTAAAAATATTGAGCTTCGAATTTCTGTCTCTTGAATTAATACAAGGCTGGTTGCTTATCTGCTTGTATTTAAGAATTTCACATAGTCAAAGGTCTCTCTTGAGCTCTTTAGATCAAGCGAATTGTATGGCTCGTAATATGGGTCTTCATTTAAAGAATATGGTGGCAAATTTAGATCTTGTCATTAACAAAAAAGCGAGACAAACTTTTTGGTGCCTTTATACTTTCGATCAGATTTTTTCACTTCAAGTCGGTCGATTCAGTTTCTGGAACCTTAAAGAAATTTCAACAGAGGCTCCCAACGACTATTTTAACAGCGAAGATGAAATGTGCTCAGATATATCATCATTTGCTATGTATAAGCTAGCATTATTGGCCCATGAGGTCCAGTCCACAAAAAATAAAGATCTAGACGAGTTTGAAGTATTTCAGATTCGAATGAGGGTAGAGAAAATGAGAAAGTGGCTCCATGAAAGAGGATATTTTGAGGATATGTTATCTGAAAAAATAGCAAAGCAAAATTTACCAAGCAATGGCGAACAAGTCATACTTCATTACTGTGAAATTAGTTTTTGTCTTCATGGGCCACATCTATTCAATTATGTAGGTGAAAAGCATTCAAATGGTGCTTTGAGATGCGAGAGTCTTCTCTCTGCTATGAAAACAGTCATTGAAACTTTCAATCATATGAGGTCGCATTCACTTCTTAAAACACCATGGTACAACGTGCTATCATTATTATTCTGCGTGGGAAGCTTTGGGTTAGCAATGATAAATGGGGGCATCTTGGTGCGGGATGCAAGAGATTTGTATTTTTCGGCAATTGAACTTTTAACAGAAATTTCATCTTTTGAAATAATGTTAGGAAATAATAAGAGAACCCAGTTTCCAATGGCAAAAGAGTGCCTATGGGCACTTTCCCAAGCTAGCAAATGTATCAGATTACGATTTGCGGAAGAATTAAAACAGCTAATAGAAATTGAGCCAGGTATCGATGCTGATATCAATAAGAATAATTTTGGAAGTATTGGCAACTATAATGATGAAAATCATATACTGACATTAACTGATCACAGCAGTGGTCAGAATAAGAAGTTAGTGGATCAAAGTACACATCATGCTTTCGGGAATGATGTTTCAGGTCACCTGCCCTACTTTCTTGGAGACAATACTTTTTATCCCCCAGAAATAAGTAGCAGCGAAAATAATTTGATTTTTGAAAATCCTTGGCTCAGTGATCTCGAAAGCGAGAATCTCATAGATGATTTCTTGCTCTTCATGGAAAACCATTAAACATTTTGAATAAAATCACATACGTTCAGTACAATTTCAGCTCCGCCTGTGTCCGAAGTTATCTTTCTCACCTTTTCAGTTGATTTTGAATAATCTTAATATATGTGGATCCAACATCTGAAGTAAAAAGAAAGCAATCAAAATGTTAGAAATTGCAGCAGAAAAAGGCATCAAACCTTGGATTGAAGAAGTACCTGTCTTCTGCAAAGTTGCGGAGAGTTTTTGGAGAATTCTTACAAAGGTGATGCTAGATTTAGATTTGTTTTCACCGACTATGAGAATGCTTTATGAATTTTCCTATTGCTTTTCCCCTGGTTCTCTTGGTAAAGGAGGATGGACTTTCTGAGCCATCACAAGACCGTTTTCTATAAGATAAACTATAGTGAAAGATGAAAACGTGCTTCATAAAAAGAGATCACGAAGTATAGTTTGTTCAGTTAAATCCGCATCCTCGCATATTGAATTCGGAGATCTTCTTTTGAAATAATCCAAAATAAGTCTACAAATCCAAACTAAAGTAACCCCACGGCGACATAAAAATTCGACGACAAGATTCCTACTATCGCTACTTAGATCTTCAAATAAGGCGACGAATTTGTCAACGATGTTCTCAGAATGGTTTAGTTCGATACCTAATTCATTCAAAAATTTTGAAACTTCGCGAGACTTAATTTGGGACAAGTATTTATGGAAACAACCTTCAAGTATGGATTCCTGCAACATAAGGGAGCTAATAAAAGGTATCACTTTGAACAAAGGGTCCACGAAATATGACGCAACAATTTCTCGAGTAGCCGTTTGCCCCAGGGAATTCTTCACAAAGCTATTACCCTGATGAAAAATAATGAGAGCTTCTTGCAAAGCAAATTGAAAATATGAGTCCCTTAATGATTTCTCCCTATCTTTATCTGATGTTAAATACAAAATGCAGAGAATCGCATATGATTTCAAATGTAGGTCTATCTTGAATTTAAGACCTATCAAAGATCTATAATAACCCTTATCCCCAACTGAGACATCGGAAATATTCAAATCACCAAAAAGTGATAAATCTTCATTAAGTATCATTTGCAACTCAAAAAATATTTTTTCCAACGAGGCTCTCAGAGGGTTGAGACTTGAATTAGTCGTTAGTTGAACTGCTTCCCTTGCTACTTTGGTCACCCTTCTTCTTAATCGAGCTTCGTCATTCAAAAGAAGAGTATGTGATTCTCTAGGAGTAGAAATAACTTCATCGTAAGAATCAGTTGAAAAAATAGATGCATTCGCAACCGATAAAGGTATCCCCAAACTAAACGAAATTAACGCATCATAATATAGTAAGTGAGACCAGAGAATCTTTTTTAACTCATACTCATCACCAATGATCAAGGGATCTTCTGATGACTCTGTCATTCTATCCAACCCACATAATTTGGCCATCTGGACCGCCATTCCTAAGAGCAGTCCAATGTCAGTGTTAGATTCATCGTCATCAGGAGAGTGCATCTTGTAGCAAAGTAAAAGCATCGTAGCTTGTATTTCACGAGCACTTATCCTTCGAAGGTTCCTCATCGACAAAACAATTTCACCTGCGTATTCAACATAAGAACTTCCAATGTTATAACTGGAAATAAATTGCTTAGCGAGCACATACTCAATTTCGGTGTCATCATTAGACACTTTAAACGACAAAGTTGAAAACGCTAACCGTAAAATTATCAACAACATTGCGACAGTGCTCGAATTTCTCTCTGAAAGCTCATCAAGGTTAAGTTTAAAATCTTTCAAAATCTCTATTATGTCGTGTTTGAAAGCATGCTCTTCTACGAGGGGAAAGAAAGGGTGGCAAACAGCAAAGAACCTACTTATCAATAATCTGATTATTTTGAGGGGAGGTAAAACTAGCTTTCGGGGCATCGAAGAATTTAAAATCATTATTTCATTGTCTTCTGGTATATGAGCATCCGACGACTCATTATTGGATTTGCGCTTAAGGCCAAATGCTCGTACCTGGTCATTTATGTATCTTTCGCAAATACTTCTGGCGTATTCATCATTGAGGTAAAAGAACGCATGTGATGTTGGCCCAAAATACCTCAATCTAGAGTGCTTAACAATAAAAAAACTGAATCCTTTTTTTAAATTTAAAAAAACATCATCTTTCCCTTCTTCTTGTTTGAAACACTCATTTCCTATATTCTTATTGCCATTTTGATTTTTCAGTGAGTCATGTCGGTCAAGCTCAAGCTCCAACAGCTTTATCTTTTCATTAAAGTATTTAATTTTCTCTGATATATTTTCTTTAACTAATCTTTCTTCCGTGAGTTGATCCATCAAGGGGTCCCTTTGGTAATGACATAAATCTACTCTATTTTTTGATGCGCAGTTACTGCAGAATGGTCTGAGAGCATCACATCCTATCTTCTTTTCTCTACAGGGACTGCAAGCTCTGCGAGCTCTTATTCTCCTTCTTGGCTCGTTATCATCCATTGTCTTTGTAGATATCATAGAATATCTAACTCTAAAGTTTTTTTTATAACGACTATCGCAGTACATAAATTGAAATTTTAGATTCGACATGTGATTACCATCATGTGATTCACACATAAAGATAAGACTTTAAAATGAAAGATATCATGAGTTAGATAAGTAATTTCTGTAACAGGTCACATTCTTAGAAGCTTCAAATGTATTACAATTGCTTAAGTTTTTGTTTCCGTATAAACTTCATTCCTTCGAGAAAGCACTTTCAGAGTATAAAGTATATAGGGACAGAAAATCATAAACACATCACTCATGTGTTTGAAGGCCATTTTATACGTGAAATTTCTCGAAGCTAGACACTACATTTATTCTATTCGCTCCTAAACTAAATTACACGTACTAAATTTATAGCGTTTGCAATGTTCAACTTTCTAATATCAATGAAGCTCAATTTAATTTTGAGATTAATATTCTCTTTTCTAAATACTTTATGTTATTTCGTCCGTCGGAAACAACTGAGGTAGATATCTGACTTATCATACTTGATTATTATATCGTGGGTTGGCGCTTTTTCTCAGAAAGTTCAGCCTAAGGGTATTTTCGAGGGGGCACTTTTCTTTCTGTAAAATCAAACTTTATTTGCTCTATCATCAGTTAAAACATTTTGGCCACTAGGTCTTTTCAGCTCCATAATATATTAGAATCAACGAGCAGCCATAACCGACCCATAGGAAAATTGATGTTATAGAAGATGCCCATTCAATACCATAAGCTTGAATCCGAATCAAGATAGGAGCAGAAACAATAACAGCAGCTGTGAATCCAATCATATAATTCGAAGCAATTGCGTCCCTTTTCAAATCAGGTAAGCTGTCTATACAGTATGCTTTCAAACTTGGAGAGCACATTGTTTTAGAAATTCCCTTTAATATCAAAACAATAATTGGTAGCGGCATACCTCCTTTTCAAACTTTAATGACTATCTGTACACAAGCACCGACCCAGGTAGGCCCATCCCGTATGCTAAAAGTCAGGATCTTAGTCTATCCTGGGGAACTTTTTTTTCTTACCTCCGTATACTTCCTAACAATGTTATCGGCCCAACGACTGCCAAAAAAAGATCCAATCAAGTATCCCACATATCCCACACCTAGAGGTAAATAAAACAAAGCAGCATATATTAGTGTTTTAAGTCAAACCTTGGATTAATGACATATCTAATGGGAACAAAACATATATGTTATAATGCATAGAACTCATCATGCCAGCTAGAATTAGTTGTTTATATCTCATAGCAAAGACAACCCGAAACGGGTTGAATGGAATCCAAATCAACTCACCAGTTTTCTATTCTGCATCCGTATTTTAGGTTCCTTGATGTTTCGGGTAAAAGAAAATAAGCTCTGAGTAAGTCAATGAAGCCAAGTCCTGCTAAAACCCCAAAGATCACTTTCCACGAAGTATATGTGACAATAAGACCGCCAATGCATGGCCCCATTGACAGCCAAATTTGTCTGCTAGATAAAAATTTCGTACATCTGAGAGGCAGAATCTGATTTTGAATGTGCGCTGTTATAACAGTATCCTGCCCTCTTTGGTAGGTAAGTTTCAATCGTATTGGAATACTTTTTATTCGCCGTGGAATTAAGCCTCACTTTGCAACCTAGAGTACATATTAATCGTTGCCTTCGGAATAAAGCCGCTCTACAACACATGCAGTCGTATTCCGTGGAATTAAGCCTCATTGATTTGCAACATGGAGTGCATATTAATCATTGCCTTCGGAATAAAGCCACTCTGCAACACATGCAGTCGTGTTCCGTGGAATTACGCCTCATAGATTTGCAACCCAGAGCGCATACTAATCGTGGCCTTTGAAATAGAGCTCTGTGTAGCATCTGCTTATTAACTTTCTTAATGAATTGCTTGTCGACCGACTATTTAAAGAGACAGCTCCATCTTTTTAAAAGGTGCAACTTATAGAATATATTACAGCAAAATGACTATCACTAAAGAAAATTATCCGAGTACTTTTAAAGGTTTTGGTGTCGATAAGGCAGAAAACTGGAATAAACCTAAGCTTGTTGAATATAAAGCAAAGGATATGACTCCAACAGAACTTTGCGTTAAGATAGAATGCTGTGGTCTCTGTGGATCTGACGTTCACACATTGAAGGGGCACTGGGCACCGCTTCAAAGAGATGATCTAGTTGTGGGACATGAGGTTGTCGGAAGAGTTGTCAGTGTCGGAAGTCAAGTCTCTGAATTTGAAATAGGAGAAAGAGTAGGAATTGGTGCGGCGTGCAATTCTTGCCATAATTGTGTTAGATGCAAAAATGACAACGAACAATATTGCCGCAAGTTGATCCATACGTACAATGCTTCAGACTGGAAGAGTGACAACTACGTGACACAGGGAGGTTATGCAAATTACACAATAGCTGATGAAAGTTTCACATTTCATATTCCTGAGAACTTGGAATCAGTTCATGCAGCTCCCTTAATGTGCGGGGGATTGACAGTATTTTCTCCTTTGGTCAGAGGAGTTGGCTTCGATGCCAAAGGTAAAAATGTTGGCATAATTGGTATTGGTGGCTTGGGGCACATGGCAATTCAATTTGCCGCTGCTATAGGTGCTGAAGTTACAGCATTCTCTCGCACTTCCTCCAAAAAGGAACAATGCTTGAAGATGGGAGCGAAATATTTTGTGGCCACTAACGAGGATAAAGAATGGTATGAAAATTATGGTGACAAATTTGATATGCTTTTAAATTGTGCATCTAGTTTCACTGACATTGATTATTCTTCCTTTACCAAAGTATTAAAGGTTGGAGCGGTATTCACTACAGTAGGAGCCCCGCCTGTGTCTGAAATGTTATCTTTCTCACCTTTTCAGTTGATTTTGAATAATCTTAATATATGTGGATCCAACATCGGAAGTAAAAAGGAAGCAATCAAAATGTTAGAAATTGCAGCTGAAAAAGGTATCAAACCTTGGATTGAAGAAGTGCCCATCTCAGCAAAGGCTTGCGGCGAGTCTTTGGAAAGATGTGACAAAGGTGATGTTAGATATAGATTTGTTTTCACTGATTATGAAAATGCATTTTGAATGTTCTAATGTTCTTTTTTCAAATTTTTTTTTTTAGCAAGGCTTGAATGAGCTATATGCTTATTGTGAGCTATCACTAAAGATGTAAAAACAAGCGTTTCCTTTAAGATAAACATTATATAATGCAGTAAATAAAGACAAAACTTGTAACAGAAACGAATAAAGCAAGCTATGTCTTTACATTGAACGTACTTGTGTAGACAATTATTCGGTTGAATTCTCATACTCGCATAATGGGTCCGAAGAGTTTTTTCCAAAGTAATCTAAAACAATCCTACAAGTCCAAACTAAAGAAACACCACGACGACATAAAAAGTCGACCACAAGCTTGCTGCTCTTCTTACTTAGATCTTCAAATAAGGCGTTAAATTTGTCAATGATATCCTCAGATCCATTTAGTTCGATTCCTACTTGCATTAAAAACCTTGAAACTTCCCTCGATTTAATCTGAGACAAATATTCAAAAAGACAACCTTCAATTATGGATTCCTGCAACATAAGGGAGCTAATAAAAGGTATCACTTTGAACAAAGGATCCACGAAATATGACGCAACGATTTCTCGAGTAGCCGTTTGCTCCAGAGAATTATTCACAAACTTAACACCCTGATGTAAAATTATGAGAGATTCTTGCAAAGCAAATTGAAAATATGAGTCCCGTAATGATTTCTCCCTATCTCTATCTGATGTTAAATACAAAATGCAGAGAATCGCATATGATTTCAAATGTAGGTCTATCTTAAATTTAAGACCTATCAATCTCCGATGATAATTTTTATCCGCGATTGAAACATCGAAAATATTTGAGTCACCAAAAAGCAACAAATCTTCATTAATTATCATTTGCAACTCAATATATATTTTTTCCAACGAGGATCTCAGAGGCTTGAGACTCGATTTAGATGTTAATTGGACAGCTCTCCTCAAAATTTTCGTCACTCTTCCTCTTACTCTAGCTTCATCATTCAAAAGTAGAGTGTGTGACTTTCTAGAAGTAAAAAAAATGTTATCGGAAGAATCAGTTGAAAATGCATCCGAAACAGATAAGGGTACTCCCAAACTAAACGAAATCGACGCATCGTAATATAACAAATAAGACCAAAGTATTTTTTTCAACTCATACTCATCACTAATGATCAACGGATCTTTCGATGATTCTGTCATTCTATCCAACCCACATAATTTGGCCATCTGGACCGCCATTCCTAAAAGCAGACCCGCCTCAGTGCCACAATCATCGTTATCAGGAGAATGCATCTTGTAGCAAAGTAAAAGCATAGTGGCCTGTATTTCACGAGCACTTATCCTCTGAAGATTCCTCATCGACAAAACTATGGCGTCTGCATATTCAATAAAAGAACTTGAGATGCCATAATTGAAAATTATTTCTTTAATAAGCTCAGAATCAAGACCCATGCCATCATTACACAGTTCAAGCGACAACGTCGAATACGCTAATCTTAAAATAACTAACAACATTGCGATAGCGCTCGAATCTCTTTGTGGAAGCTCATCAAGATTAAGTCTAACATCTTTCAAAATCTCCAATAAGTCACGTTTAAAAGCACGCTCTTCGACAAGGGGAAAAAGAGGATAGCAAACAGCAAAGAACCTGTTTATCAATAATCTAATTACTTTGAGGGGAGGTAAGACAAGTTTTCGAGACAACGAAGAATTTGATATCATGATTGCACTTTCATCTGAAATATTAATATCAGATGGCTCATTATTGGATTTGCGCTTAAGGCCAAATGCTCGTACCTGGTCATTGAGGTATCTTTCGAAAATAACTCTTGCATACTCATCATTGAGTAAGAAGAACACATGTGATGTTGGCCCAAAATACCTCAATCTAGAGTGCTTAACAATAAAAAAACTGAATCCTTTTTCTAGATTTAAAGCAACATCATCATCATCATCATCATCTTCTTCTTCTTCTTCTTCTTGTGCGAATCCATTTCCTATTTTCTTATTGCTATTTTGCTTACCCAGTGAGTCACTCGGGTCAAGCTCGAGCTCCAACATCTTTATCTGTTCATTTAAGTATTTAATTTTCTTTGATATATTTTCTTTAACCAATCTTTCTTCCGTAAGCTGATCCATCCAGGGATCCCTTTGATAATGACATAAATTTACTATATTTTGTGATGAGCAGTTACTGCAGAATGGTCTGAGAGCATCACATCTTATCTTCTTTTCTCTACAGGGACCGCAAGCTTTGCGAGTTCTTATTCTCCTTCTTGGTTGGTTATTATCCATTGACTTTATAGATATCATGGATTCTCTAGCTTTAGAATTTCTTTTCTTATAGCGACTATCGCAGTACATAAACGAAAATTGAAATTTTAGATTCGACATGTGATTACCATCATGTGATACACACATAAGGATAAGACTTTAAAACGAAAGATATCAGTTTGATAGGTAATTTGTCTAAACCGACCTCCAACTCAATGAAGTATAATATAGTTTTCAAAAATTTTAACAAGTAGAGCGCGTAATTGGGATAAAGAATACCCTTAAGCTACTAAGGTTATTATTTTTGTAAAGTGTAATTATGGGCTACCATTAAAGTATTAAATATAGAATAACAATATGTATACGACTTGCAGATATGTTTGACAGAGAGTACTGATTGAGAAGTATAACTTTGGGCCTTTTTATGACACCTTCATTTCTGACATGTCACAACAAGTCTACTTTTAAATAGGATGCAGTATGTACGCCATTAAATTAAAGACTTTTAATGTGATTTTTCGTCCTCATGAACCTAATTCCATGGATTTGTTTGTAACCTACCGTCAATTGTGCTACATGAGAACTTGGGAGAGATCTTTCCAATCTACCTAAACTTTGATTTTCATTCAAATTTAGGATAATCTTGAAGAATTATTTAGATACTTATTCGATGGCATCCAAGAATAGTAAGTTTTGTTTGAATGGGTTATGGGAACTTAATGTGTGACGTCATTCCAGTAGTTGCGTATATATCATCAAAAGAAAGTTTATATTTTATGTTCGAGGTTATTTAGTTGTTGTACTACCACAAGGAAAAATTACGAACATGGTGAAAAAAGTCACTAACACTTACGAATACGAAAGATGAATATTAGACATGATTTTCTTTTAAAACAAACTATACAATATAAAAAAAAAAGGGCATTTCATAGGGACGCAACATGTTGATAACGTAAGGTCAGAGACGATATCTGAAGTGAGGGTTTTCCCTATCTGTCATATCAGCAAACTCGAAGTTTTCAAGGTTCTCAAGGGCATCTTCTTTCATTTCACTAAGGTATATATCTTTCTTCTTATTAGAGAGCCAGTAACTGAAATAAATAGCTGCAATAAGTAACAATGTTATGCAGTCGCAAACCACAAAACTTATCTTGCCACCAGTATATGATGGGGCTTGGGAAGCTATGAAGGTCTGAGGACCAACAATATTACCCACACAGTAGCCAATTAGAAATACGGCATTAGTTGTGATCTTTTTGGTGTGACCAGCAGTATTGGATGCAAAGCATGATAAGGCACAGATAGTAGTGACAGGATAGACATACATTAAATAGTATCCGGCGAGTCTTGCGCTTTTAGACTGGTCTGCGAATGCTAGCATACACGATGCTGCCAAAGATATCACCATGGCTGTAAACGATATAGCCATACGATGAGGAACGAATTTGTTGGAGGCTGCAAATAATACGCATCCGGCAAATTCTACAGCTCCACATGGCATATTCATTATCAAAGACTTCTTGGCGTCAAAACCGAAATCTGAATTCAAAAGGATGCTACCAAAGTTCGTCAATGCACCATTTGGTATGTTAGACGCAATTCCAAAAAGAAAATATAGCCATGTATTGACATCGCGCATCGCCTCCATAAATTGATACTTTTTGAAGTGCTTGTTACCAAATCCTTGCTGATTGCTCCTTATTCTTTCGGCAACTAGCACTTTTTCCTCTTTGCTTAAAAACCATGCTTTGGAAGGAATATCAGGCACATGAATTAAAAATAGGATGCCGACAACGATGGTCATGAGACCAGTTACTATGAATAATACTTTCCATGCCGTTATGGAATAGTGCTCATCATGAGATGCAACGCCATATGCAATCGCACCGCCCATAATTATCCCAATACCGTTACAGGAGAACCAAAGAGCAGTACGCAAAAAATGCTCCTCAGCTTTATACCATTGACCGGTAAATATCACCATTGCAGGTGTCACTGAAGACTCAAATATACCCAATAAAGTTCTCAAAGTGATGAATCCAGCATAGGTACTAGGGGTTGCATGTAAACACAAAATCACACCCCATATTATAATAAAAATAGAGGTTGCTTTCGCAAGCGGGAACCTTTGTAGAATTGCATTTGCTGGAAATTCAAATGCCAAATACCCAAGGTAGAAAGCAGTTCCACACCATGAATACATATCGCCTACCATATTGAAATCCTCCTTCAATCCCATGACAGCGGCATAAGAATTAGTCGTTTTATCCATAAATTGACAAGCGTATAGAAAGCATATAAGTGGAAGTAAATATAAGTCAATTTTTCTCAAAATTCTTCTGTCTGTAGCTTTATCAAGAACGAGATCATTATTATCCAACGCCACCATCATAGCTTCGTCCACATCACCAGTTATTTCAACAGTATTTCCTGTCGCTGAGGTGAAACTGGTTATCACGTTTGAAGACCCAATGTTCTCTTTAGTAAAAGAGACTACTGGCTCTATTACGTTTTCATCTTTTGATTTATTTTTCAATTCCTCGTCGGAGGTTCTTGATTCATCTGGTGGTTGTGCTGCTGGTGTTGATACCATATTGTTATCATCAATTGAAGTTTTGTTATTCGTGTAATCTGTCGGTTGAGATCCCATTATGGTCTTTTAAGCAATACCTGGCATCCTCAATGGTGAGCTTCGAGCCTTCATTGCTAAGTTTAAATACCATATCATATGAAATATCTTTTGTGATGAGATGAACTTATCAAAATATAAGTAAACCGCCGCGCCAATTCGGCCACGGGCCGTTTCGTTTTAATTTTTTCTTTTGAAAAAAAATTTTTTCAAAGTACTTTTGCAAGTCCTTTATTTTAAATCTCCCTTATCTAATCTCAATTAAATCGCTTATTACCTTCTTTAGTCATCTCGTAAAACCAACCCTTGAGGATGCATCGAAGTCGTAAATGACCATGTTAATCAAGTGCTGAGTCATGTAAGACTTTGAGCTTTGACGTACAAGGGAGCAGAGTAGTAGCCAAATGAAGGATCCTTGGTGTACATTTGAATCTGACAGCAAAATCAATCATTTAAAAGTTTACATGAACAATTGAAATTAGTGTAAAACAGCCAATTCACATATCTAAGCATTAGCGATGAAAAAGATACATCGCTCGGCATTAATCAGTAGAAATTCAATGAGTCTCAGAAATTCCCACATGTAACACTATCCTAGACATTCAATTTGAACTGGGGATAAAAATTATTTTTGCAATACGTCTTCTTGATAAGCAAATTTCAAATTTAGATGTACTAATTGAGTATTGGTATTTCTAGACGACCTAGCTGAATCCTATGTAGAGCCTAAGTCTTGGATGCGGAACGAATTAGTGAAGTTCCAAGATTACATCAGCACTTTCAAATTAGGCAATCCGATAGTTTGGAGAGAAGCGGTCGGGCTCTTGAGTGCCGGTCACCAATGATCAATCCTCTGAAATTTTGGTATGTAGCCCTGAATCATTTTTTATCTCTAACCTTTCCTATGCCAAGTAGTGGAGTTTATCTTCGGCGTGTCAGATTGACGCCGATTTAAGAGCTGTTCACTCGCCGACAAGCAAAGAGCCAGCGCCGCATATCAGATCTGATAGGATCAAGTATCTCACAAGATAAGTTTTTTTATATACCGTCCTTTATAAAAAGGCATCAACATCTTTTATCAACAGTCCTTGAACTCAAACTGAAGATACAGGACTGAAATAGAATAAGAAGTGAAAATGGATAACGACTCATCTGAGCCTTTGCTATCAGCTTATGAGGATCCTTCTACATCTATCGCAGGTTATACGGTGGATAGTATAGCTGATGGAGACCAGGAATTAAGAAAAATTATTAGCAATAGTCGAAGAGCATCAGTTGCCGATGAAGATTATCGTCTTCCGAGGTCTCAATTGTATCCTGTCGTCTTAAGTTTATTCACTTCTACATTTTTATCATCTTTGGATACCACGGTAGTGACAACATTATTGATTGATATAGCTTCTGATTTGAATGCAGTTCCTCAAGTCTCTTGGATAGCGACAGCGTATTTGTTGTCTTGTCTGGCTTTTCAACCACTATTTGGGAAACTATCAGATATTTTTGGAAGAAAAATTCTTCTTGTTTTCTGTTCTTTATGCTTTGCTCTTGGCTGTTTAGTGTGTACACTGGGCTCGTTTATCTATGTTGCACTTGGGAGATTCATTACAGGAATTGGAGGAGGCGGATTAGCAACTTTGGGTACTATTACAATGTCAGATATAATTCCTTTACGAAAAAGAGGTTTATTCCAAGGTATGACGAATATATTTTATGGTATCGGAGCTGCTTCTGGAGGAGCTATTGGTGGGGTTATATCAGACTTTTTTGGCTGGAGAAGTGTATTTTTCGTGCAAATTCCATTTGCGCTATTGGTGGGATTTTTATTTTGGCACAACTTGAACGTTAGATTAGGGGAAAGCGAAGAAACTAGCACGATCAGTCAAAAATTAAAGCGAATTGACTTCATAGGATCTATTTTTTTAGTACTGGCACTAGTTGCTATCATGAGCGGTGCAGCTTTTGCTGGAACTGCGTTCCCTTTCAAGTCCTTGACTTTCTTCGGATTGGTTATTGCTGCAATCATTCTTTTAAGTGCGTTTGCTTATACAGAGCTTTACATTTCTCCAGAACCTGTCATACCTGTGAGGCTATTGGCTGATAGGACTGTCTTGGCATCTTCGTTGGCTAATTGGTTTTATTCTATGAGTATATTCAGCTATTTGTTTTATATTCCGATTTACTATTCCTCAGTTTTAAACTTTACAGCTGGGCAGAGTGGTATCCGGTTGATTGCCAACTTCTTTGGAATAACTTGTGGATCAATAGGAGTTGGTTATTATATGAAAAAAACTGGCAAATATTATTATTTCGCAGCAATTGTCGGCCTCTTTGGTCTATTTGGTATGGTCAAAATCTATATGATCAATCCCGATATAAGCGAAGTAGCCCAATATCTAGTTTTATTTCCACCGGGCGCTGCCTATGCTTGCATGTTAACTGTGACTCTTTTGTCCTTAATAAGCGCCGTTCCAATAACGTATCAAGCGTGCACAACTTCTATTCAGTATACATTTCGATCTACTGGATCTACAATTGGTGTCTCTGTTGCGAGTGCAGTGTTTCAAAAGCTTTTGAAAGATCACCTAACGAGAGAAGTTCGTAAACTTGTTTCCCCAGAGCTCGCGCAAAAAGTTATTTCCAGAGCTCTCAAGGATGCAAAATATGTTAATGAAGCTCCAGAAATAGTGCGAGCCGCAATCAGAAGCTCTTATGGAGAGGCTTGCAAAGGCGCCTTTTGTTGGAGTTTCGTGACAATGTCTCTTGGATATGTGTGCATGCTTTTAATAGAGGAGCATTCTCTATCTCGTAGGCAGACTTAGGCACGTTGTATGCTATGTGATATCACACTTCGAGATAGGAATTCATAGTAGTTGTAAATGCAAGAAAACTTTTAATGTTTCTTTCTATGTACCTTGTGAATTATTTACTTTAAATCGACACCAAAACGAAAGTTTTCCGAAGAAAAGAATGGCCATGGAATAACAACCAGTTTTTTGGAAGACTTGGACAAAGGAATTCCATACATAATGATGATTAGCTCACTTTTGATTAAATCAATTATTTCAATGGTTATTCTTACAGCGGGTATTGTCTTCGCGGTACCGGCTAAAAAGACATTTCGGTGACTTGAGTCTTTTAGTCTAAAGAAAAGTGGACTAAGCTGTTTAGATGAGATCTTTGTCATTTTTGGGTCCATGTATGCAAATATAAGTTTCCAGTGAATAAGAATGAATAGAAATATTCAATATACAGCTCCTTTTCAAGTCTGTTTCAATAATATCACTTGAACATGAATCAATATAGTGGCACTTTTCTGCTCTTTTTAATAATGCAAGTCATTCACCATTAATATATAAATTTAGATCTAATAAAAAATAAAGAGAAAGGAACAAAAGGAAAATTTATATAAACTTTTTAAAATAACTGTATTACTTCGCTAATTTGTTCTCTGAGAAAGCAGATGTGGCGAAAGTAGGATCAGATCGCGTTCGAAAAGCAGATTCTTTTAAACACTCAAAAAGTAGTAAACAAGGTCTCATTTGGCTTTCACTGAATTAAAGAATATATCGTGTCAGAATATTCTTAAATTTTATGGACTTCTAAGAATTTTCTAATTTCGCTGTTAAGTTTTGGGAGTCATCTCAGCTTGGCAGATTTGTAAAGACATGCTTCGGACATCCCTGAACAACCAAAAAATGATAGCCCCATGGGCCTCGCCTTCGTCCAGGACATCATAGGATGAGAGTAGTTTTGTAACCTCTGTACTGACATTTGCTTGTTTATCAATATCAAGAACATTATTGTTTATATGAAATTGAGTTAGAGACAGTCTTATTGACTCAAACTCCATGATCTCATGAAGCAGTAGCAAAATATTCGCTAAATATAATTGGCTATCGGCAGCAAGCGTCCATCTTTTTATGAGATCTCTCTCAACACGAAAAGTGCTTCCAGAAACCGTTGACAAAAAGAGGTACAAGCCAGGAGTAGGTGAGATTGATAGCATTTTGCCATACCTGAAAATTGCTTGCGAATAAAATAATGTTAATAAATTATTATGAACTATGTGAAGTATGAGGGCTCTTTCCTCTGCAAAAGCTTTATCCACCACAAGAAACTCACGGGGCAAGTTGACTGGCCATAGAAGAATATTATTTTCAAGCTGAATCAACTCCATTTTGAAATCTTTCTCACTTAATTCTTTTTGACTTATTAATTTGAGCAACTTGTATATATAGTATCCCACATATATGAAATAAAAGGAGAAATCATTGGTTTTTTTTTCATTCAAATGAGACCAGATATGAATCAAAATGTTTGAGTCAGTATATAAGGTCATGGAGTTGCTAAACAATGAAAAATAAGCATCTATCATGAAAGCTCCCACGATTAAATTTATTGGTAATTTTCCTCCTTGCTTTTGATATAATTCATTGAAATAAAGAAGACTATTTTTTATTATGTCTTTTGGCACTCGAATCCTTAAGGGTAACAAAAAAAAAGATGATAATGTGAGTATTGTCCAACTGACTTGTCTTCCTTCTTCAAAATATTCATTCAAGCTTTGAAGAAACTCGCTGACACTACTCTCTTTAAAAGCCTCCTTTGATTCCATTGATGCCCCTAACTTTATACAATAGAAAGCAAATTTTCTATTGGCTTCGCATACATCATCTTTCCAGCAATCGATCAGAAGGAATGGAGTGTATGGTTCAATGAGTTCAGTATATAGTTGTAGTATTGTTGTTAAGTCCGTTCCCATATCCGAACTGGTCAGACTTAATAAAGGAAAATTATTCGAGAATCGATCTGTTATCTCGAATGATCGCAGATCATCTTCGATAGAAAAATTGTTTAGCTTTGTTGATTGAAACTGAAGGGTTGATTTTTTATTCCCTTTTGACACATTTAATCGCTCACCGGTGGAATGAAGAGAGGGAATTAAGTCGGTTGACTTCAATTTTTGTATAAATTTAGTCTTCTCGAAACTGGATTTCCCATCCGCTACTGCAGCTCTCTCACATTTACGTTTGCATGTTTCAAACTTGTGATCAAAACTGCATTTCATGTTTTTAATGATACACATACCACAGCTGCTCTCTTTTGGCGTCACGATGCATTTCACTTTTCTCTTTCTACAAAAATTACAGGCCCGAAGCAATTTGATTTTACTGCCTTGTGTCAACAGAGTTGAGTCGCTTTTTCTGGAGAAGCTGCCATTCTTCAATTGCTGTTTATTTAACTGTTGCTTCCTTGAATGAGGTAACTTGGAAAATGCCTCAAATACAATAATACTCTCGTTATTCACTTCTGGGGGTATGTCTTTTCTACTCAACATCAAAATAATTCTTGTCCCAATCAATCTTGAATTTTCAATCAAACTTGAACTCAGTTAGTACGAGATGTCATACGGGAAAGATGCTCTTTTTATGAGCGGAGCATTTGTTCAAATTGGGAAAGGATCTGAGGTTTTCCAAAAATTGGGGCTTCCCAGAAATTTTCACTTAATCGTGGGGTAATGCAGTGATTGTTCATTCAAATTAATGTAATGGATGAAAAAGTCGAAACAGGAGAAGACTAACATTCCAATTCGTGAATTACTCAACTCTTACGACATATTTTACCCAATTATGTAAAGCTTCTGACCTCATCACGAGGGCTGAAAAGAAAAAGAGTTACGGCTATATTTTAATACTCCTCACAGATGTTAGTGGTGTGGGGTGTAATGCAGAAGTATGTTTGTATTGTTATATACAGGAGAAATATGAAGACTCTAAGTCTATCAATTTGATGAACTGTCGTGGTATTTTCCAGTACAAAGTTGTAATATGATCAACTATAATCAAGCTTTTAATGAATTAAGGCTTTGCCAGAGATTACAACCACCATCGATTATCTTTTTTCTTCGAGGAAAGCAGGAAAAGAGAAAGGAAACAAATACCAATTACTTTAATGATAAAGTTGTATTGAGAGTCAGATAAGGCTCTACACTCTTTGGACTAAGTTTTATATATTAAGACAAATTCTCTTCATAATGTTGCTACTCGTGCTTTATTTTAACTAATAACTATATAGCTATGAAAGCGACAAAAATTATCGAAGGATTACACTGATTTGTCATAATCCTTCACCCAATGAACTCTCTTATCTTCTACAAACCTTAAACATTTTCCACATGTGTTACTTGTGGTTTTTCCTTGTTGTTGGTCATGGTCACGAGAGCAGTTTCGTCAGGAATCTCTCCAAACACCTTTGCGACCTCTTCAAGTGTACATCCGGAAGTTTCGACAAAGACAAAGTAAAATATCACCAACTCTGCTGCTAAAATACAGCAGTAAACTATGTAATATTTCCACTCAATGGCATCCATGGCTATAGGATTTACAAAACCGTTGTAGACTATAATGATATTTTGGGCAACCTGAAAGATATTGATACCTTTAGTTCTGTGACTGTAAGGAAGAATTTCCGTGATATATAAAAATGGAAGACCGTTAGCACCTATATCATAAGCAAAATAATAAAGGAATATCATAGCTAAGATTCCGTTTGCTAGGCCCTTATCTTTGAAGTTACGCTGTTGGTTAATCGCTGATAATGCAGTCCAAATGATGTAAAATATCAACATTAATGAGATCGATGTAATGAAAATCTTTCTTCTCTTAAATCTATTAACCACAGCCGCAACTGTAGCTGAAAGAACGAAATTATATATCATAAGACAACCATTTATTTCTAACTTCTTTGATTGATCAGTGATACCAATAGAATCAAGGACCTTACTGAGGTAATATGAAACGAGACCATTCCCTGATAACTGCATCATTACTGCTGTCATGCAAATTAAGAAAAGTCTTTTTCTAAATCTTTTGTTGGTGACAAAGTCAACATAACGAGAACTCGAATTCAACTTTTCTAATTCAAGGGCGGCTTTGATTTCGTTCATTTCAAACTTTACAAACGAAACTGCCTTGTCATCGTTTGAATAACCAATATGCCATTTTTTCAAAACTTGCTCCGCTTCATCATATTTTCCTTTGCTGATATAATAACGGGGTGATTCTGGAACTATCCAAAATAATAAAACTTGAACCAATGGAAAAAAACCCTGAAGGTAAGAAGGAATTCTCCAAGAATAATCAGAAACAATGTTTCTAGTTCCATAAGTTACCCAAGCAGCAACTATAGCTCCTAAATACCAGCAAGTGTTATAAAACGAAGTGGCAACCTCCCTATGGCTGGGGTATGCAATTTCTGAAATCAAAGTAGGGCTTGACACAGTCGCAAAACCCGATCCAAAACCAATCACTAGTCTGGACACGAAAAAGAAAGCATAATCTGTGGAAACTCCTTGTAATATAGCACCAATAATAGATATAATCTGACCTATTATGATACATGGTTTTCTTCCGAACTTGTCTGACATGTAAGATCCAACTGCAAAACTCAACAAGACTCCAAAGGTGTTACCGTTACTTAAAGCTCCCAAAACTGCACCAGAGGGATTACTCATTTTCTTGTTCCAAGAGGTCAACAGCTGTAAACCGTTCAACATAGAGCCATCATAGCCATTGTTTGTTGATGTCAATGTTATTAGAAAAATACAGAGGTTTAGTTTCAATAAGTAAGGAACTCTATACCATGGTTTTCCTTCTGTGATTGCAACGGCATCTGATACGTAATCTATTTGCCTATTGTCTGCGACAAAACTCTCACTGGAATGAAAACTATCATAAACCTCAACTTCCTTATCAGTCATTATTATTTTTTTAGAAGTACTTGAATTAGTTTCAGTGAAAGTTACTCTGCAGAAAGACCAGGCTCTATTTATCAAAGATCATATCAAGATGTGTAGCGCCTGAGCACTTTAATTGCCATTTTGTGGGGTGTGCTTTATTCTCTAGCTCCACCCAGTTGTCTCATCTTCATGGTCACTACTTAATAAAATATAAACTCAATTACGCACTCGTCGGATTATTTTTGACCATATTCGATACTATTCTCCGACCGGAGAACCCTAATTTTTTCCATCGTGGCATTTTGGGGGAGATCAAACTAATTTGTACAAGAGGCTTCGAAAGGCGGAGATAAAATAACCTGTAATACGCATTTTATGGGGTATATACACAATGAATAATTAAGACATAAAATTCTTGGGCAATCAAAATGGGGGTAAGAGGCTGATAACCCCCAATGACAAAAAATATTAATTCTTTCTAGTTTCCTAGTTTCTTTTGTCTGTGGAGACAATCATTTTTAAATGTGTCATTACGATATGAATTCGGACAATTGACCAAAACAGTAAATCACGGAAAAGCTTCCCCAGGACATCTATAATAGGAATCCTAAATTCAGCTTCTAGCACTTTGTCAATATCCGTACATGGGAACTTGAGGATTGAGACTATAAGAACTAATATGTTGTGCGCTCAAGGGACAAAGCACAATCAGAAGTTTATTTTTCAGCGAAGTATTGATGACAGGATTTTTAAAAGTTAAAGACACAAAAATTGTAGATGATGAAGGCAATTCCATTGTATTGAAGGGCGTTGCAACAGGTGGACACCTTAATATGGAAAATTTTATCACTGGCTACCCGGGACATGAGACAGAACATAAGAAAACTCTTGAGTCCAAAATTGGAAAAGAGAAATTCGACTTCTTTTTTGAAAAATTCTATGAATACTTTTGGACTGAAGAGGATGCAATATTCGTGAAGCAGCAAAATTTGAACTGTATCAGAATTCCCTTCAATTATCGTCACTTTCTTGACGATGATGGAGACTTGTTTAATGTGAATCCGATTGGTTTCAAAAGGCTAGACAGAATTGTGGAAACTTGTGCGAAACATGGCATATATACGATTCTAGACTTGCACTCAACACCAGGTGGACAAAATCAAGATTGGCACTGTGATTCTGGTATCCACAAATCTTTATTCTGGGATTTCAAAGTTTTCCAAGATGCAATTGTCAATCTTTGGGTTCAAATAGCAAAATATTATAGGGAAAATACGTTTGTTGCTGGATACAACCCTCTAAATGAACCTGCTGTTTCGAAAGGCTCCAAGTTGGTATCATTCTATATTAGGCTAGAAAAAGAGGTCAGAAAAGTAGATCCAAATCACATTTTATTCTTAGATGGAAATACTTATGCTATGGATTTCAGAGAATTTCCAGGAAAAGTATTACCTAACTCAGTCTATTCAATCCATGATTATTCTGTTTTCGGCTTTCCTTCACATGACAACTCTCTTTACAGTGGTACTGAGAAGCAAAAGTGTAAGTTACAACAACAATATAATCGGAAAATTGAGTACATGAAAAAGTACTCTGTTCCTGTTTGGAATGGGGAATTTGGACCTGTTTATGCTTCCACTTTCAGAGGTGACTCCAACGTCGATCAAATCAATGCTTCGAGATATAAGTTACTAGAAGATCAGCTAGAAATTTACAAGAAGGGTGACCCATCCGGAGACAATACCGCAATTAACTGGTCAATTTGGGTATATAAGGATATTGGATTTCAAGGGTTGACTTACGTGTCAACCAAATCCAAATGGTTTGAAGTTTTTGGAGAGTTTTTCTTGAAAAAGAAAAGGTTGGGATTAGATAGATGGGGAAATGATATCGACCCCAAATATGCTGCTCTATATGATAATTTGGTGTCGCACTTCATTGAGAATGTACCTGAAGATTTTCAAAAGGCACTATACCCTCATAATTGGTCTATTAAAGATTATGTCGCTCGAGTTACTAGAGATATGCTTCTCAGCCAATATGCGCAACATGAGTATGCTTCTTTGTTTGAAGACTTAGACTTCAAAGACCTTGATGAATTGGCAGCCTCTTTCAAGTTTGAAAACTTAGAAAAGCGTGCAGAGTTAAATCAAATTTTGAAGAAATTCTGATTTGAATTTGTTTAGTTTTTTATTTTTATTCATTACAAACAAAATAAACAGCGGCGAATTGCTGCGAAGCAGTTTAAAGCCGATACACACATAATAAAGTAAAAGTCTTCGATCAGCACGTAATGGAAAAATGAGTTGACACGTTATTCTTAATTACAAAAAAGTGGGGACTGTAATATACTGTAGCTACGTCCTTTGATTTTGTCAAATGCCATCTATTTCGTTAGGTGAGTTTATATTGGCACCCCACATCTGTAATGCGGAATGCTAAATCTTCGTTTGACACCTTCCGCACCCGTAATTTCTAATTTTATCAACTTTGCACTACTACTGACGGAGCGATATACTGAATTTAGAAGTGTAGTCAGATTTATTTGGCAGTAGTCGTTTAGTAATAGATTTTTCTTCAGTATAAATATATCGTAATTGGATAAAAATGTATCGAGATTGTTAAAAAGCAAACTAAAGTCTCAAGATTCCGAGGTATCAAAGTTGAAAGTTTTGATAAAAAATAATGGCTACAGAATTTAATGTTGAAAGTTTGCTTGGTGAGTTGACTTTGTCAGAGAAGATATCGCTATTGGCAGGGGCAGATTTCTGGCATACTGTGCCGATAGAAAGATTAGACATACCACAGATTCGGGTATCAGATGGTCCCAATGGTATAAGGGGTACTAAGTTCTTCAATGGTGTCCCGTCAAATTGTTTTCCATGTGGCACAGCAATGGCAGCTTCATTCAACAAAGATTTATGGACAGAAGCTGGTATTTTAATGGCTAAAGAAGCAAAAATGAAAGGTGCTCATGTTATTTTAGGACCAACTTGTAATATCGTTCGTTCTCCTCTAGGAGGTCGAGGATTTGAGTCGTTTTCTGAAGATCCTCTCTTGTCTGGCCATGCTGCTTCCCATATAATTAAAGGAATCCAAAGTCAAAGTATCTTAGCTTGCATAAAGCATTATGTGTGCAATGACCAAGAAGATGAAAGAAAGGCTGTTGATGCTTTCGTCAGCGAGAGGGCTTTGAGGGAGATTTACTTAAAACCATTTCAAATTGCCTTAAGAGATTCCGATCCACGGTCATTAATGACAGCATATAATAAGGTGAACGGAACTCATGCTTCTCAGTCTAAATACTTACTACAAGATATTCTAAGGGATGAATGGAAATATTCGGGGGCTGTTATGTCAGATTGGTTTGGTACTTATTCAATAAAGGAATCTTTGGATGCAGGCATGAATCTTGAAATGCCGGGCCCTGCTAGATTTAGAGAATTGACAATAACCTCTCATAAAGTCAATTGTAATGAAATTGATAGAAATGTTATTGATCATAATGTGAGACACGTTTTGAATTTTATTAAGGAAGCGCGTGGTGCTAGAATTCCGAAAGATATTGTTGAGTCCCCGAATACGTCCCCGGAAGCATCAAATATAATGAGAAAAATAGGTGATGAGTCGATTGTTTTACTTAAAAATGAAGATAACATTTTACCATTGTCGAAAATAGCCATCAAAGGACAAACAAAAATAGCGATGATTGGTCCAAATGTTAAGGCCAGTCAAGATTCTGGTGGAGGTTCTGCTTCGATGAATACAAGGTATAAGATATCACCTTACGAGGGTATGGTAAAAAAATTAGAGGAAGGCGGAAATAATGTTATTTTGAAGTATGCTCTTGGCGCATCATTAGATAAAAACCTACCTGATGTGGGCTCGTTGTGCAAAAATAATGCCGGTAGGGAGGGAATCACTGCAAAGTTCTATAAGGATGCACCTGGCGCGATAAATAGGCACCAGTTTGACGAGATAGATCTAAATAGCTCGAAAATATTTCTAAGCGATTACAAAAACAATGCCTTAGATCCAAGTCAGAGTTTATATTTCGTCGATTTTGAATGTACTTATGTACCTGAGGAATCGGGAATCTTTGAATTTGGATGCTCTTGTCTCGGAACTGCCCAAATTTTCGTTGACGATAAATTGATTGTGGACAATAAAACTAAGCAAGTGGCAGGAGTTGATTTCTTCTTGGGTATGGGCACGAGAGAGGAAAGAAGTGAACTTGAGTTAAAGAAGGGGATATTTTATAAAATTAGAGTAGAGTTTGGAACTTCCCCAACCTATACTCTTGAAAATATTCACAAAGAAGCTGGAGGCGTTAATTTTGGATTCAGTATCAAATTTTCTCCTGAGAGGGAAATAGAGAAGGCTGTTGAATTAGCCAAAGAAGTAGATAGGGTCATCATTGTAGTAGGATTATCAAAGGAATGGGAATCTGAGGGATTCGATAGACCTGACATGAATATCCCGGGATACACCGATAAGTTGATTAAAGAAATCTGCCTGATAAATGAAAACGTCATAGTTGTGAATCAATCAGGGACTCCAGTTACTATGCCATGGGCTGAAAAGGTTAAAGGGTTAATTCAGGCTTGGTATGGTGGCAATGAGTTAGGGAATGCAATTGCAGATGTTTTGGTTGGAGATCATAATCCCTCTGGAAAACTAAGTATGTCTTTTCCTAAAAGATTAGAGCACAATCCTTCATTTTTGAATTTTGGGAGCACTAATGGGCAAGTACTTTATGGTGAGAATATTTTTGTAGGCTATAGATATTATGAATTGGCAGATAGAGAAGTGTTATTTCCTTTTGGTTATGGTTTATCCTACACCACTTTTCAGTTTAAAGACTTGGACGTCAAAATAGATGAAACAAAAGTATATGTCACCCTCAAAGTGGTAAATACAGGAAGACTTAATGGTGCTGAGGTTATTCAAGTATATATCCGTCAACTCAATCCAAGTGTGAAAAGACCTTTCAAGGAATTAAAAGATTTCGAAAAAGTCAGTTTAAAATCTGGTGAAGAGAAGATCGCACAATTAAGTTTTTCCTTAAGAGAGGCGACATCTTACTGGGATACTTATGAAAAGAAGTGGCTTTCTGAGAAAGACACTTACAGCGTTTTGATCGGAAATAGCTCCGATAATATTTTGTTGGAAGGTCAGTTTTCTACAAATAGCTCACTTTTGTGGGAGGGACTTTGAATTATTGTACTTCTCGTCTAAGTTTCGAGTAGAAGACTTGTTATAACATCCGAAAATATACTTTACAGTTCATATTTGTGAAAGAAAAAAAAAACATTTATTTTCAAAAAATGTAGAAGATCGTCTTAAAAAATAATTAAAATTGACTCGCTGTGGAATTTTTCTGACAAGGAAATGTCTGATGAGACCCTAATAGCATGTAATAGAAAGCGAAATTGAAGGAAAGTTGTATTAAAGAGAACGCCAGGTAGACTTGTTACATGATATTATTTAAGCTGTCACTTTTATTCCGATTCAAGGAACTTTAACTCCCTCTGTTTGCATTGACCCTTCATAATTTATCTGATTTAGAATTACGAATAAAAAAAAAAGAAAAACAAACCATCTGCTATATTTTAAATAGCATCATCTCCCTTTTTCGTGTCATTTTTTTAGCAAATATCAAATAAGTGCACTGAATAATGTTGATTAATTTAATCCAATTTGAATCGAAAGCTGAAATATGTCTTCAGTAACCACATCAGAATACTCACATTACCAGACATCAAGTAATATACCCTTCCATCCTTTACGAGTCTTGTACCATTCTTCCTCGTCCTTATGTTCTGTTTCGCTTGCTTCAGAATTGGGGTTTACAATTGCAGACTCGACTGCGTTTTGTTGATCACCTAGGAAATAATTACTTTGGAATAAAGCTGCTATAAGGCGAATAAATTGTAATCCTAAAGCAATTGCATAAAAGTAATAGTTAACCTCCTTGTAAGCTCTGACAGCTCCTTGCCTTATTTCGCCTTTGAAATCGTATCCACGGATCACAGTGATGTCAGCAAAAAAGCTTGCAACTTCTGTGTCCAGAACAGAACTAGGCAAATGTTTTCTCAAGGCGTTATACATCTTCCCTTCCCATATTGCAACAGATATAGCAGAACCAATTGACTGACCTATATAAGACCAAAGTGATAAAATAGACATTGATATAGACATATCTCTATGAGGAACTGAAGCCTGTAAGGCGACTCCTGATCCAACGACGTTAAAGCCTCCTCCCATACCGTCTAATATTTGAGACCAAACTAAAGCAAGAGTGCTTGATCTTGCATTTTTTCCTTCTATCATTATTCCCAGTCCAAGAATTGAAAGGACGATTCCGAAAATTTGGTAAACTTTATACCTATGAGTTATTCTATAGAAAATACCAGCCACTACACCGAAAACACATAAACTCATAGTTAAAGTGTTATTATAATAAGTCCAATTTCTATCACTCCAATCCTGAACAATATAGGCAAATGATGATAAATAAACCAAAGGAATCATACCACCTAATTGATAGAAAAAGTCAATTAAAATTGAACATATTAATGTTCTATTTAAAACTCTTTTTGGAGTTATCGGGTAAGGTGCCAATAAGAATTCGTACAAGAAAAATAGAATTAAAATAACACCACCAACAACCATCATAGCAATAATGCTGGGGTTTCTCCATCCATTTTCAGCACTTTGATATAACGAAAGAGGTAACAAAACTAAAGCGAAGCCAAAGCCTAGAAGGACTAATCCTAAAAGGTCTACCTCCACTATAACTCTCCATAAAAGTGTTTTCCAATTACCTTTAAATCCATATGAAGCTTTATAGTCAGCTTTCTGTTTAGGTGAAAGATTTTTTTGAGCTCTCCCTTCATAATATACCATGATAATAGTTGCTGGAGCCACAACTACAGGCATAATAATTGTAAACATTCCATATCCCCATCTCCAATTTTGTGCACCCAAATCTTGAACAATATACCCAGCATACCAAGTGTTAATGATGTATGGTGTTGACAACATAGATGTGACAAAACCTCTCCATTTTAAGCTAGACATGTCTGCGACAATAAGGCTATTTAGGAAATCAATACCTGAAGACCCTGCGCTAGCTACGGCCAGTCCAACAATGTAAGCAGATACGGTATTACTTGCTGCAACAATAATATATCCCACAGCATAAAATAAGATACTAAGTATGTAAGTAGTTGGACGAGAGACCACATTTGAAATTCTAGCGAATACTGGCTTTGAGATGGAAGTAATAATTGCATTAGCAATCGAAAGCGCACCCAAGCCCATTGAGTGCTCCTGATACGATGAAGTTGCCCATGGCTGGAGACTATAGGTAACGCCAGAATCTAAAGCAATAGCCCAAGCACAGATCATTATTGAGGTACCGAAGATGATTTTCATCCGCAAACCATTCTTTATTGTATCCAAATATGTCTTTAGAGCCTCTACTCTGTATACCCCTCTATCTTTAATAACCGCCGCAGATGCATCGAAGTGATCCAATTTAACATCTTCGTTCGTTATTTGTTCACTGAGTTCATTTTGGTGAGACTCAAGAGCATCGACATCTCGATTCTTGCCCTCATCGAGACTTTCGTCTTTCTCAAAACTCATTTTAGATAGCACTGAGGATAAAAGATGTAGTGATTTAAGTATCAAAGCTACCTTATATGGTTTTCAGCTTAGAAGCCCACATACAATTAACAATGCCGCATAGCTCTTCAAAGAGGTCAAATTTTTGCATTTCAGCCAATAAGGGATGCATTTCTTGAGACTTTTTTTGGTGCGGCGACGTCCGTTGAAAAGCGGATGCGCGGTACTTGAATTGATATAAACAATATCTAATCAATCTGATCAATCAGAAGTTCTACTTAAGGTCTTGGCAACGTCATTCGAATGCCACGCAAAAAAAAAAAAAAAAAACCAATAAGCTTAGAAACAAGAGCCACTCATAAAGCTTGCAGGAGACAAAAGGCGGTTTCGTATCTTATATGAACTGGAAAGTAAGATCCCGGAAGACATGATGTCTTTACTGTACGCTCAAAGGTAGAATTCTGCAAATAGCTCTTTGTAAAACTCCTCATGGCTAATCGCACATGGTGTATTCTGTAGCCCGTCTAGAGAAATGTCTCAAAAGCTATCCTTCGAGTTTCTGTCGTCAATCTTTGTACGGCATTATTAAACATGCAGTGGGTGTCGCATATACCGGGTGTTATTCCATAATCTTAGAAGAGTATATGGGAAAGAAGCTACATATATCTAATCCAACATTCGTCTTGAAAACTTTTCTAATAGAAATTGCTCCGCTATTCGTGTCTTCCTTCAATATAGCGTTACTTTAACATCTGATACCTAGGGGTAGGGCCGTCCTTTATTCACAATGCCAAATAATTTTTCTTAGTTTCCCAGCAACTCGTATTGGAAATCTAATGTCAAGTGGTTACTCGATTTCGCAAAACAACTAATACTATTGTACTCCGCTGTTGTACTTTGTCCCACATTATCAGGGGTTCAATCTAAATCTCCGGTTTTTTTTTTCAGTCAGTAAGTACCTTTTGTCGGTAAATTGGGGCATATGTAGATTGCTATCTCAAGCTTCTATGATATGGCATCTTCATCTTTGCTCGCAAAAGAGACCTTGTTCATTCAGGGAAATGGGTAAAATCTAGTTGTTTGTCGTCTATTGGAAAACAGCTTCTTTACGTAAAGAAGCTGAACCTGCACTATCAGCTAGTCGAGCAGAGGTGTATGGAAGAATGAAAATATAATAATGATTTGCCTGGGAGAAGAATCTCATACTATATTACTCGACAACCGATTTCTTTTACAAAGAATACATAGTAATCAAGTTTACCCAGTGATAGATACAATTACTCATTGGGTAAATCAAGAATGCATTCAAAAGCGATTCTTTGAATCAGATTCATTTCATCAATTGACGATGACAGTAATCAGGAACACGACATAATTATCTCAGGTGTAGATATTGAGGGTGATGAAATTGGAAATGAAAATGAAAGTGAAGATGAATTCTTTGGAGTTTCTTTATTCGAAGCTGAACATAATGCACATAATATGCATGACGATGAATCTGAAGACATTATAAGGAATAATAATGACGGAAATGTCCTATATTATAGCTTTGGCCCTCAACAAAGACTAGACGATGAATATCATTAGATAATATTGATATAATTAATTTAAATGCAGATGGTATTAATAACCAAAGAAGCAACGGTATTTTTTCCACATTTTGAAAGCACGAAGAATTATTTTTTATTTTACATTGGAGCCTTAGGGTTAGAGGTTGCCACACAATATGTTCGCATGTTTAATGAAATACATTAAGCTATTAAATGCTTTATTTTTTTGAACATAAATAGAAATGCAAAAGATCAAGAAACCAATATGAGAATAGCGGAAGAAACTGATGTTTTGAGAAAGCGTGACATAGAGTTTTGAGGCATACGGTGGTTCACTATATTAAATTAATGGGACGTTGCTTAAATGTCAACTTAACTATTCAATTCAACTATGATATAGGTGAAATATATGATGATAAAGAGAAAATAAAAGATATAACTGTAGATATAACTGTAATAAGAAAGGTCTTTCATCGATAAAATATATTAGCAGATATATAGTACGAATTATATCATACGATAATGAATTAAATTTCGTCATTGATAGAGTGTGGTCTATGCAGTGGAATGCTAACCTTAACGATATCCGATAACTCCAGTTTTCGGAAATTGTGTAAGCCAAAAATGACATGTATGTCCTTCTTTGAGAGATGCCAATCAGTTTATAATATTCTACTTTTGATACCATGTTTAAAGTTTTCTGGTAACAAGAATATGACTTTATATTTTAGAAACATTTTTTTTGCAGCACGGTCTTGTGATCATATAGGAATCGAATATAAGGGTGTTTGTTTTCGGTTTTGTACGTATAGGAAGTGTAATTAGCCCATGGTGTCAATTATACCTTTCAAAAGCAGAAGTGAAACCTTGGGTCAGTCTTGATTCAACCTTAGTTTATTCCATTTTCATTAAGTGAGACAGATCAGAAGCAGTAAGTTCCGCGACAAAAATTTGGCCTTGAAAGAATATGAAATATCAGGTCGAGATGGAGAATTAATTCGAATGCGTTCCACCTCCATTATATCACGGTAATATTAATCATTTGTTCGACCCAAGAAAAGAAACTCCTCTTCTAGCACGCTCGTCTACTGTTAGCTGGAAAATATCATTGCGAGCATAGTGACCATTTATATCAAGATCATACCGTGACTCTACAATTGTTTCGGTATCTATTTCGCAGCTTAACAAGCCTTCCTTACCCACAAGTGGTCCAGCAAGAATATTTCCATATGGATCGACGATAACAGAGCCACCATTAATACAGTTCCTATCTTCCTCCCAAGATGGTAGTTTTAGATTACATTCTTGTGGATTTGGTAGAAATTGAACAGCAGATATAACGTATAGTCTACCTTCGGCACCGATAGTTCTCATTAAACTTTGCCAAATTTCACGTTCATCTACCGTGGGTGCGCAATAAATAGTCACACCTTTAGCGTACATAGTAGCTCTGTAAAGTGGCATATAATTTTCCCAACATATTCCGCCTCCTATCTTTCCTAACCGTTCATTTTCCATTGTTATCAAACCTGATCCGTCGCCTTGACCCCATATTAACCTCTCTGATGCTGTCGGCATCAACTTCCTATGCTTCCCAATATATCCTTTTTCTGAGTCTATATAAACCATAGTACAATATAATGTACTGCCTCCTCTTTCAATTGCGCCTAATACAAAAGACGAGCCTGTACGTTTAGCTAGCTCCAGTAAAATATCTGTTTCACTACCGGGAACTTCGATCGCCTCCTGAAAATAACGAGAAAACTCTTCACGCCCTGTTTGTGAGCGATAACCCACATAAGTGTCAAATGTTGAACCTTTGGGATATCCTCCCAAAGTTGCTTCAGGGATGACAACGAGACTGCAACCAGCTTCAACAATTTGAGACTCATAACTGAGAAGTTTATCAAGTGTTGCCCTCATCCCAAGAGGTGAGCTTCCTATCTGGAGGGCTGCAACTATTTGCTTCATTGCCACTCTTGTCAAATTTAGAGTTTAAAGCGCTTATGGAGTATTTATAATTTCTTGATAATTGTTCGACGAGGAATTTTGTGTAACAAAAAGAATATGATCCATGCTGCATACAATAAAATTGAATATATAACGGACCAAAACTTCCAGATAGCAGCAAGAGATCACTTATTCTTATGAGGTGATTTCATGTTTCTAGTTTGGATTAGGCTTTTAAATGGATTTTTTCTAATAATCATCATTGTTTCTTTTATATTTTTGTGCAAAATTCTAAAACACGTTATTTTTTAGTTTCTTCTACCTATTAACATCATATAATTCCGAAGTTAGATAAAGTTGAATCGTTCATCTAACTTCGGCGATGACGAATTCTTTCTTCGTTGCTTCTGTATGGAAGCTGCTCTAAGGTGGATATTGGTACTGATTAATCGTTTCCTGTACATAGTGTAATTTATTCTGTGTTAGGCCGTGATTTCTATCTCAAGGTCCAAGAAGGGAAGTTTCCTTTGTGCCCCTGACCAGTTGCTTGTTAGAAGGGGATCAAGTATGTTCAATGAAGTCGGTGACTTATTTACAAAATATTTTATGCTTGAGGATTTACAGATTCATCAAACTGGTCCTATTTCATTAGGTAAAGGGGGAGAAAGAATCTGCCACAATGTAGAATTTGTATAGAATAGGATTCCAATGGCAATTTGCATACAGGAAACCCCTAATTTTGGCTGCAAAAAAGTGAATTGCTCATTTCTTGGATTGCTTCCAAGTTCTCTGAATTAAATAGAATAGGACTGACCGAAAGAGCTACAACTAAACTAATGACTACCCATATTATTAAAGCGAAATTACTAACTATGACATAATTTTTTCATAGAATGTTTAAAATGCTTCCTGCTCTTTTACCCAGCATTCAATAAATCAATGACAGATCGTTTTATATTGGAATACTATAAATCAAAGGATAAGCTGGTAATGGATTCAGAGAAGGAGAATACTTCATAGGTATTTACATTTTTCTTCCTTTTCAGGGATATCAACTAAGACTTCTGAAGAAAGTCTCATTTTGACCAAGAACATTATAGTGAAATTGCCCAGCACCAAACTCAATAGAATACTTACCTACATGTTAGCAATTTACTTAGAAGCCTGAAAATTAAAATCCAGCAGGACTACCGCTTATATGAAATAAAGCCGGCTACAATTGACAAAAAAAACAATATACTAAATTTCACAAATGCATAATCATAGATGAAATATAATTCTACTGTTTTTTAAAGCAGCTGCTTTAAATGTGGTGTAAGGTGAAAACATTCCCCTTCAATCTGTTTCATACAGCGTATCAACAACATTAATATGTACTGAAACTGGACAAAAAGGATAAATACAAATAAAAGAACTAGCTTGGAAAGTATAAGATCAAAATTTTGCCTGAAAGATCAGCGAATTCAGAATTGACAAAACCAATTTATTTTCAGTATTTCTAAACTCTCTTCTATGGCTTTCTCTAGAATTCAACTTATAAAACACTTGATCAAACGAGAAATGAAAAAGCTTCTTAATTATTTTCAATCCTTAATGTCTTAAGTTAGAACTAAAACTCCTTCTCGATTTGAGCAACTAAATCACCTGCGTAAATCAAATCTCCATTATTAAAAGTCATCGAAACTAAGACTCCTGTTTCATTGGCTACTATATTCATTTCTGTTTTCATGGCTTCAATGATTAACAAACTATCACCTTTCTGTACAAACTGTCCTACTGAAACCAAGGACTTCCATAATCTCCCAGAAAATTCTGAATATATACCCACAGAAGCACCCAGATCTCTTTTCAAGGAGGTTTCAGCACGGCTGCACAAATGCTCTTCGGGAGCCTTAATCAGATTTATGAGCCTCTTATCGCATCCCTTTTGCTTTTCTTTATATTCTGCTATAGATTCTGATTCAGTCTCTATCCAATGCTGATATGAAAAGTGGTCGAAATCAACCTCATCGATATCTAACTTAAAATTCCCATTGTTCATACGTTCAGTGTAGTCGTTAATTTCACTCTCAGAAACCTCGTAGAACTTTATTTGATCAAATGGTGAAAATAGCCACGGTCTTCCTGTGATAGAAAAATCACCTATAGAAAGTTTGTTCCAGATAGGAAGAGTTCTGCCTACTAATTGGTATCCACCTGGAGAGTCCATTGCGTATATGCCTAGATAGTTTCCACCAAGAGCAACTGTACCACAAGGTGTATACGATCTCGATGGGTTGTACTTTGTACCCAATAGCCTATGTCGCGGATCAAGAGGAATAGCACAAGGAGCACCTAGGAAAACATCACCAAGTCCTAAAACCATATATCTTGAAGAATAGAGTATTTTTTTGACATCGTTTCTTTCAATCTGATTAAGCTCCGCTAAAAAGTCAACATTACTGGGAATCCAAGGGGCGGCCGCTCTGATTGTTTCTTTATATCGTTTAACAGCATCAAGTGTTCTACTATCTTCAAAGGCCATCGGTAGTCTAAAGAGTTTTGAGCGGACTTTCCAATCTGTAGAAAAAGGAATTTCTTTTTCTACAATCTGTAGCGTCTCTAATAAGTCTGCTTGCAATATATTCGAATCAAATTCAACCAAGATAGATCGTACTCCTCTGGATAATTCGACAATTCCCGCAACATTATTTTTGTTAATATACTCTATGAAGGCATGAATTCGGTATGAAGTATTTAAGTCAACTTCATTATCCCCATATTCCATTAGTATGTAACGATCTCCAGCTTGGCGATACACTACATTTGGTCCGTTAGTTGTAGGACTGTACTTGGCCAATATACACTGCTCTGGCAATGCAATCAGTTTTGGATCCTTTTCAAGTGTTCCACTCATATATTTAATTAGGGCTTCCTGATGATTTTTTAAGTCTTTAGCATCAAAGTAAGTAACTGGTACGAACTGAATGTAATCGCCAGGCATCACTTGGCCAACCTTCCACATATCAGCTTCAATTACAACAGCCTGACAGACAAAACCTCCCAAAGAAGGACCATCATTCGTTATAATTACCGGTTCGTCCCCAGTGAAGTTGATTGCCCCCATTGAATAAACATAATCCTGTGTGTTTGATGGGTGCAAACCTGCCGTTCCACCATCCAATCGAGCCCATTGCGGCTTTGGTCCTAAAAGTCTTACACCAAGTCTATTGGAGTTATAATGTACTTTCCATTTATGATCAAAGAGAGCATCTGCATTGGCAAAAAAATCTGGAGCGCCATGGGGACCATATGTCACATGTATAATCCATGGATTTGCTTCACTGCTTACATAAGAAGGAATCAATTGGCTTGGTAATTTCGTCATTCGGCACTTATCAGGGTCACTTGAAAACTTGGCATGCTTCTTGTCGCCAAAAAATAATGTGTCCCCAATTTTAAGTTTTCTTCCATTGTAGCCGCCTATTTTTCCTTGTACAAAGGTTGATCTAGACCCTAAGTACTCTGGGACCTCAATTCCGCCTTGAATGGCCATGTAAACTCTGCATCCGTTTCTAATTTTTCCAATTGAAATATTATCGCCGCTTTTAACTATAACTCGGCTCCATTGATCCACTTTCACTTCATTTAAAAAAACATCACAGTCAGCTCCAGTAATTGAAATAACTGAATCGCCATGAAAAATTAATTTGGGACCTGACAATGTTGCCTCGAGTCCTGATGCTCCTTCACTATTACCTACAAGACTGTTAGCCATTCTGAAAGCATAACTATCCATACAGCCGGATGGAGGCACGCCGATTTTCCAGTAGTTTACTCTTCCTGGATAGTCTTGTACTGTCGTAAAAGGCCCAGGAGCGACAACTTCAAAAGCACTAGGCTTGTAATGGTGAGAATCTAACATTGTCGTAGATAACTGAGCCCCTGCAAAAGCCTTCGATGTTACGACGGACTGCAAATAGTCAATATTAGTCGCACATCCAAATAATGAAGTTTCCTGTAGTGCATTTTGCAACTTTGTCAAGGCATCACTTCTATCAGTTCCATGAACTATTATTTTTGCTAATGTTGGATCGTAATCAGTAGTTACGATAGTCCCACTTTTAATCCAAGTATCTATTCGTGGCCATTGGGGAAGATTCACCTCAAACAACTCGCCGGGTGATGGCAAGAACCCTTTAATTGGATTTTCTGCATAAACTCGTGCTTCCATAGAGACACCATGGATGTCAAAATTTTTTTCAAAATTGAGAGATATGTCTGATGCTATCTTTATCATCCATTCTACAATATCTATGCCAGTTACCATCTCTGTAATTGGATGCTCAACTTGTAGTCGAGTGTTCACTTCAAGAAAATAAAAAACTTGCTCTTCTTCGATGAACAAGAATTCTATCGTTCCAGCAGATTTGTAGTTCATCATCGAGGCCAACTTGCAAGCACCATCATGCATCTCCCTTCTTATTTTTTCGGGTAATTTTGGAGCTGGTGTCTCTTCAATTATTTTCTGGTTTCTTCTTTGGACTGAGCAATCTCTTTCACCTAGGGCAATAGCTCGACCCTTTCCATCTCCTAAAATCTGAACTTCAACATGTCTTGCTTTTTTAATGAATTTCTCTAAAAAAACACCGGAATTTCCAAAATAATCACCGGCTAGATGACGTACCAGTTGAATTACTGTTTCAAGTTCTTGTTCTGAGTCGACCTTTTGTAGGCCAATTCCACCACCTCCGGCAGTGGACTTAGCCATCACAGGAAATCCTATTATCTTAGCTACTGATTTAGCCTCATTCATATCATATATGAGTTCAGATCCAGGAACTAAGGGAATCCCCACTTTCTCTGCACATTCCCTAGCAACATGCTTTAATCCCAACTTGCGGATGGATTCTGCAGACGGACCTACAAACACCAAGTTCTCGTCAAAACACCGTTCAGCAAATTCAGCATTTTCAGAGAGAAACCCATAACCAGGTATAATTGCTTGAGCGTTTGCTTTCTTCGCCAAAGATATTATTTTCTCTATGTTAAGATAGGTTTCCAGTGTGCAAGAGTCACCCAACAGAATGGATTCGTCTGCGATTAAGACGTGCTGTGCGTATTTATCTGTTTCAGAATAAATAGCCACAGACTTAATTGCTAATTTTTGCAAAGTTCTTATTATTCTAACTGCTATTTCACCTCTATTTGCGACTAAGACCTTTTCAAAGATTTTAGCCTTTTGTATGTGTGACTTTTTATATGCTTTATAGCTACCAAAGTCAGTTATATCCAAGACTGTTGACCGAGACAATACTGTTTCTTCACAGTTAAATGATATGACACTTTCTCCAGAACTCAATTCAATAGAACAAGGTTTCCACGTATCTCGAAACAAGTGCGCAAAATCCCAGTATCTTTCTCTTGGAATTCCATAAACTTCTGTAGAAATCATTTTACCGCATTTCGGACCAACATCTCTCAAAAGACAATCCTGATAAGTGTCATCTCTGGTTATAGCAAAGAGTCTATATCTTGACGATGTGAATTCGACGCCAATAAAGTAAGCATTCAAATCAAGCAATTGCCTGTGTAAATCACCATCTGATTGATACTGACCAACTATAGCCACTTTGAATTGACTATTCATGTTAGATGTTGGAAGTGGAAGCAAACGATCTAAAGTAGCTTTCATAGTGCAGCCTGCTCTCCTACCTTCATGGTTAGAGTAGATCTTCATGTACCGGCCTGCAAGATCCAAGAGTGCGTAATCAGTGAATTTTTTACCAAGAAGGGTTATTCCGAAAGGAAGCCCATCTGGTCTAAATCCTGCTGGTATGGCTAATCCTGCTAAGTCTGCCAAGTTTACAAAATTTGTGTAAGTTCCTTGGTAAGAATTCACTTTAATGGGCTCTTCGGCAACTTGAGCCATCGTAGGATTCAAAGGACATGTTGGGACCACTATAGCATCTATATTCTCTAAATGTAGATTCAAATCAGATAATATCCTTTGGCGTTTATACTCAAACTCAAAGGCATTAGCTGCGGAATATTTTGAACCTTCTTTTATAATACTTGTGGTTATCGGATTAAGATCTTCCAGTGGTGGTTCAGAATTGAAAAAATCTTTAAGGAGAGAATATCTCTCTGAAACCCAAGGACCCTCATAAAGGCACCTAGATAACTCTACTAAAGGTTTGATGTCAAAAAGGACAGTTTCGGCACCACTAGCACGTAATGTATCGACTGCTTTGTCAAATAACTTTGGGTTTTCTTGCTCACCGAACCAAAACAATTTCGATGGAACTGCAATACGGGGGGTCATCCTAAACCTAAGCAATGGATTTTTAGGGAGTGGTCTCGAGTACTCATAGTTAGCGAAGTCAGGCTTTGCTAAAATAAAGAAGGCAAGTTGGGCATCCTGAAGATTTAACGTTAAAATTGAAATGCAATCAAGCGTTCTGCACGCCGGAACAGAGCCTGCATATGATACACACCCTCTCGAAGGTTTTAATCCAATTATATTATTCAAGGCAGCTGGAACACGTCCCGATCCAGCTGTGTCACTTCCTAAAGCCAATGGAACTATACCTCTGGATACTACAGAAGCAGATCCTGAAGAAGAGCCACCGCTAACGTGATTTGGGGAGAATGTATTAGGAGTCGCACCATAAGGAGATCTTGTACCAACAAGCCCGGTTGCAAACTGGTCTAAGTTAGTCTTGCCTATGATAATGGCGCCTGTTTCACGTAATAATGAAACAGCTGTCGCATCCTTGGGAGCATCATAGGCGTAAGAGGGACATGCAACAGTAGTTTTAAAACCATAGGCATCAATACTATCTTTCACTGCTACCGGCACGCCGTACAATGGTAATTGTTTATTTTGAGGTTTCAATTTTAATATATTCCATTGATGGATGATACTGTCCTTGGAAGCTAAAGCTATCCAAGCCGGATCTTCTGGAGAAGCCTCCTGCAGCATTACTAATTCTAATAATACTGAAAGTGAATCCTCATCGCTTGAATGCCGATGGTATTTGACCCAATCTTCAATCGTCCAACCGATAGATCTCATTTCTTAAAATAGCAAAAGTTACCTCTAGTTCAATTCTGAACCTTTCCTATGAAGGCATGGGTTTCGCTCAAGTGTTTTCTAGTTTCGTTTTTATAATTAGAAAGTTAATGAGCTGAAGACTCAAATACCGTCGGTCAACCCTGTATATAAGTGGGTGCCCGCCGCTTTCACCGTGACGGCGGCCGCGATATTCAAAGCCCCAAGGTGCAACTTTTCAGATATGAGTGTTATATACGTTCAAAAGCGTATCTATGACCTATGAAGTCCAAGGGATCCTTGGGTAATGACGTAGCATGAATTAAGATTATGAATTATACCAGCGTATCTAATCAGCAAAATTAAGAAATTCAAAATATAGATAACGTCTTCTTCTCTATCTAGGCACCATTAAAGCAAATGACAGATTCCTATAAAAAGAGCGAATCATTAAGACAGCCAAAAAAGGAGTAAGTGATCTAGATCTGATATTAGAAAACCCGAACTTGATACTTTTATGAAATGGGATATAACGCTCCACTACCAAAAAGCGCTGGATATGCTGTTGTTGTTGGCTTAGGTTTTCTCTTCGCGTTAGGCATGGTTTCAATTACAGGCATCCTTCGAAGGTACAGAAAAGAAATTTTAACAAGCGAAGAATTCTCGACAGCAGGAAGATCAATTAAGGTCGGTTTAATTTCTGCTAGTATTGTTTCAAGTTGGACCTGGGCTGCAACGTTGCTAACTTCAACCACACAGACATATTCCAACGGCATTAGCGGAGGTTTCTTTTATGCTGCTGGTGCAACATGTCAAATTATATTGTTTGCATGCTTGGCCATCAAAGCAAAGGAGAAGGCACCCAATGCACATACATATCTTGAGATAATCAAAACTCGATATGGAAAAACGTGCCATATAGTTTATATTTTTTTCGGCCTAGCTACAAATATCCTCGTGACTGCCATGTTGTTATGTGGTACTTCAGCAACAATTCAGGATATGTGTGGGGACATTAGAATAGAAGCAGTCATCCTTTTATTGCCTTTACCAATTGTTGTTTACACAATTTTAGGTGGCTTGAAAGCAACATTCTTGACTGACTATGTCCATACCATAATTTTGATAGCCATAATAATGGTCTTCTCCTTCACCGCATTTGCAAAGTCAAGTTTGTCTGGAATTGGTTCCGCTGGAGCTCTTTGGGAAGTAATAACTGAATTGGGAAGGACAAACCACATTGAGGGCAATGCTGACGGATCATACTTGACCTTACACTCCAAAGGTGGAGGAATTTTTTTTGTAATCAACATAGTCGGAGGATTTGGAACTGTCTTTCTTGATAATGGGTACTTTAACAAAGCTTTTGCTTCATCACCGTCAGCAGCTTTACCAGGATATGTTTTGGGAGGGTTAGCTTGGTTTGCAATTCCAGTGTTAACAGCAACTACCATGGGATTATCAGCTTTGGCTCTAGAGAACACACCTGCTTGGCCGACTTATCCCGAGAAACTCACGCCCGAGCAGGTTTCGGCAGGGCTAGTACTCCCTAACGCTGCAACAGCACTCTTGGGAAAAGGTGGTGCTACGGCGGCGCTAATCATGGTATTTATGGCGTGTACATCAGCAATGTCAGCAGAGCTCATTGCAGTATCCACAGTATTTTCTTATGATATTTTCAGGACTTATATTAATCCCAGAGCTAGTGGTAGAAGGATCATGTTCGTGTCTCATTGCACAGTTTTGGCATTCGCTTACATTATGGCAGGTTTTGCAATTGGATTATACCATGCAGGTATATCTATGGGGTATTTATACGAGCTCATGGGAATTGTTATTGGAGGGGGTGTATTTCCATCTGCTTTAACTCTTCTCTCTAAACAACAAAATAATGCTGCTGCTATTGGTGCCCCTTTACTTTCTCTAGGCCTCGCAGTCATGTCATGGTTATTAGTTGCTAAATTCAAATTTGGATCCATCAATATGCAAACAACATTTGAGGACGATGCTATGTTGACCGGTAATGTTGTTGCACTATTATCACCCCTAGTATTCGTGCCCTTGTTAACTACTATTTTTAGACCACAAAATTTTGATTTTTCAAACTTGAAAAGAATCTCAAGGGTTGATGAGGAAGAAGAGATCTTGCAGGCTGTAGCATCTCAAGCTGACGTGGAAGAACTTGGAGACAAGCCCTATCGTATTAGATCTAAAGTGTCGCAAATTGCGGAAGAGATTATAGAAGAAAGCCTGACAGACAACAATGAGGAGCTGGCCCTATTAACACACTCTTTCAAAAAGTCAGCTATTATTTGCACCGTGCTAACCTTGAGTATTGTGATATTATGGCCCATGCCCTTGTATGGTTCCAAATATGTCTTCTCTAAGAAGTTTTTCACAGGATGGATTACCGTGTTATTCATATGGATCTTTTATACAGCTATAGTTGTTATCTTATATCCACTTTGGGAAAGTAGGAAATCGATTATAATTTCGATTAAGGGAATCTATTGGGATCTTAAAGGGCAATCATGGAAAGTCAGAGAATGGCAAAATCAAAATCCAGAAGAGTTGCATGTTGTCCAGTCTCAAATTGCAGCACAGCTCTCTAAAAATATCGCTGAGTAGAACCAAATTATAAGCATCATGAAGTATTAACAATTTCCTGATATTGTATAGTTTAGCCTTAGTCGATTAATTCCTTCTGGTTTAATTTTATTCTTTGCTTGACATTTACGTTAAGAGAATGATCGAAAAGTAGTAAGAACCACAGGAGCCATCATTTCAAATTCACCTTCTGAAACGGATACTAAAGTAACGCCCTCTTCATTGAATCGAGATTCAGAAGTTGACAACCTAGATGATTTTGTATATTACTCCAACTAATTATCATTTTCAAAGATTCCTTTCATACGGCTTAAAACCGTATCTAACATTTCGAGAGCATTTCCTGTCTGCTCAAACCCTTTTGATGTTATCTTGAGGATCCATCTGTAGTTAAATATTTGGTCCTTATAAAACTGTTCTTCTTCCACTGAGCGTGAGGTCACAAAAAGTAGAGTAGCAAAGGTACCAATGAGACAGAATTCTGCAGAACTAGTAGAATACCAGAAAGCTTGTAAATGTTCCGCTTTCAAGCTCTTAACAAAATCTATCGATGCAACAAGACGGGAGCGCGCAGCCGAGCGGCATACTTCAATGATCTCTTCTGACAATGTACTATCTTTATTATCTTCTTCATATATGGTGGTAATGATCTGTCGGTGCAAAGAAAGCTCTCCGGCGAAGTATGCCAAATGCAAGGACCCATTTGGGCAAAGCTTACGCAGTTGCACATCTGTAATTAGAAGCTCTTCACATAGTGACTGGTACCAGCAATTCAACCTAAGCTGCAAAGGCTTTGCAAGGTTCAAGATTTGTTCAGTGTCTTTGGCATATCTTACTGCTTTATATGAGTACATTCTTTCCAATATTTCTGATAAAATCACAGACAACTCTATCATTTTCTGAAAAACTAATTTTCCTATGTCAATATCAGATGAGCCTTCTTCTTTGTCTCCATCACCTCGTCTTTCTGGAAAATCCTCGTCATTCAAGGGTCTCGCTATCCAGTTCGACTCATTGATACGCGCCGGTCGACCAGATACTACAGCCAACCATTTATCAGCCATGTAGACTCCCCATGCCATCCTCTTACGAAGACCCTTTTCCCATGCTGGTAGGTCCCATTCATCACAATCGAGACCCAAACCAAGCTCGTCAGATATTGCCACTATCTGAGAGAGTATATTCCAGCTATGATATGATGCTCCCCCAGTTTCAGATGCTCCCATGTCTGAACGGTCATTTTTGTAATGAGTTTGAAAAGACGTACATTGTAGCAACAATAGACCGGCAGCAACAGCACTTAGCTTAGGGTTTTTAACAATATCGTTCACATATGAGTTCATTCCTATTTCCAAGATACGATGACAATCAGGCTTTGACTGCTTCTGTAGGTTGGGATCATAGTCCCACCATTGAATTGCTAAAAAATAAACTGCCGCCAATAAGGGAGTACTGAATTCTCGATGAGTCCTCGAGTATTTTTCCAAAAACACTTTCTTATGGAGAATTGGATATGATGGATGAATAATGCGAAAATATAAATTTATAAGGGCTAACCCATTAGGAAATACAGTTTTCTCAACGTAATCTATGTCTTCAAATCTCTTTGAATTCATTGATGGATTTTGGTGGTCTTTTATTAACAAAAAATAATCTCTAGGGGATGCTTTTCTTAGATCCAAAGCTTTTCCAAAATTAACTTGGTCAAAATGTTCATGATCGTCTGTGGCTTTCAAATTAGTTGAGGGTTCGCGGTATTCGATAATCAGCTTGAGTACAGTTTTATCAAATAAGAAGGAGCTGGAACCGGCGTAATAGCTCGATTTCAGATAATGCAAGGAAAGAGTTTTTAGTAACAATGAGTTCAGAACCTTTGAATAGTCATCAAGGGGAAGACCTTCTCTTAGAATTAAATTTGATGTTGGTGTAACGTTTAACTTTGATTCCTTGTATAAGCTCTCTGGGGATCGCGCAACTGAGACAGTATTATTAGAAGGTTCATCCAACAGTTTCTTTCTTGAATGGGAATTACTGCGACCTTTTGTTAGGTCAGTCGTCAGACGTGGTGGGTCGTTGAAGGTGCAAGCCATGTCTCTGGTGTTGCATCTGACACATATGCTTTTATTATTTTCGAATACACATTTCACTTTCCTTCTTCTGCAGTAGTCGCAAGGCCTATGAGGTCTTGATTTATCATTAAAACTTGATGGCAAGCCTTCTACACTTGCATTAGTATCCTGAAATAATAAGTTAAACATAAATGGGTCCTTAGAAGATGGATAGCTTGATTTTTTGAATTCCCTGGTGAAGGGAGAATCATTAAAATCGTATAGATTTGATTCTGCGGCTCCGTCACTTGAAAAATCCATAATCCCACCCACTTTATTCTTTTCTACTTATGGTACTCGCTAAGAGGTTGCCGTTAAATTAACCACTATTCCAAAAATCGCTTGCTCTCCCTAATTATCATTAAATAATAGTCGTGTTATGTCCGTAACGGCCAATCTTGTAAACAGGTCTGATTCAACTATATCTGAAGAATATTGAATATTGACTTGCCAAATTCTCAAATCGTTCTCTTCAGTTAAGTTTATCAGGAAAAAGTATCAATTCCTAATGATGACACATATCTTTTTTTAAAAGCTTGTGCCTCTGAATAGAAAATGAATGCTTGGAAGAGAATTTGCTTTTATCTGTAATTGAGTATTGCTGCAGATTGCAAAACTTACTTTTAACTTCAACTAAAAACCCTCAAAGAACTACTTGCATAGAGTCATATGCTTTCAGTCTGGTTTTATGTTGAAGGAATCTGGAAATAATTTGAGAAACTTTAATAAGGTCCACTCGAGTCTTCAAGTGAGCGGCAATCCAAAAGGTGGATCTTCAAAGTTCTTCGGGATCTGCCTGTGATGTGTAATATGCTCTTATTCATTCCGTATTTTGTGACTTGCATTTTCCTTGATCTATATATTCTGTATATTCTGTATATTCTGTCCAAGTGGGCAGCTTGTAGCCATGGAAACATAAATATGTGACATATCTGTATGTTCTGGTGTATTAATAGTGGTAACTACTAATCTTATTGTGCATCTTTCTTTAAATATTGCTTTAAAGAGGTTTCCTCCCAAGATGTAATCCCTAAGTAGTTCAAGATGCTCAAATTATAAACGTTTCCAAGTGATTCTCTTGTTAGGACAAGGCACTTGAAAAGAGACTATTCTATATTGGAGAAGTGTTTAGTTAGTTGTTGAGCTTACCAGCTGAAGCTCGTAATGGTAAGAGATCAATGCCTGCGACTTTTGTAAAAAAATATTCTTAGTTTCTGAGAGTGTTATAAAGTGATGTGCTTTGTATCCGGACTTTTACGTAATACAAAAGGCGCATAAAATAAATGCTTGCAATCGCATCATTAAGCCCACTTGAATGCTCTCGGTGAGCAAAAGCTAATTTCATAGCTGATAAAAATGAAACTTTAGAAGTACCTTTAGGTCACATTTCATTTTACATTACAGATGGTAATATTTTCGTTATCAATGCTGCATTTTAATACAGTTTTATCAAACGATGAGTAAGAAGCGAAAATTCAGCCCCAGCAGCTGAATTTTTAAATGATAATCCAAGGTCGCACAATGCCTACAAAACGGGAAAATGCATTCGATTTGTTTGAAATGACTAAAAAGCTCTCTGATAAATTTAAGCGTAAACTCACTTCCTACCAAGCTTTGGAAATTTCAGTTTATTATTTGAAGATTATACCAATTGTGACATTTTTTTTGTGCTCAATGTATCCTATCAGTATACTCCTATCAATGTATCCTATCACTTCAAGATTACTAATATATCGGACACCTATAAAAATATAACAAGAGTCAACTCCACTTTTTCCTCTGGAGTTATTAGTTTTTTGGCTGTGGTGAAATTACTATGAGATTTATTAGAGACAGTTTTTTTGGCCGATTGTTGTACCATATATCTGGTCATAAACTTTTTGGATATAAAGAAGAAAGAGGAGACTATGTAATACCCGAAAAATATTATTCTGGAGAGGTACTGCAAGAACACGAAGGACCTTTTACCGAGAATAGCACTATAACACTAGCAGGAGAAAATGAAAAAGTCAGTTATCAGAGTCGACTTATTATTGTCGACTATGATGGACCAAACGATCCGGATAATCCATATAATTGGCCGCTTTACAAGAAAATATTTTTCATAGGTGGGATTGGATTCTTAACGATATCTGTATATATGGGCTCGGCAATTTACACACCTGGTATCGATATCTTGATAGAAGACCTTGGCATTTCTAGAGTTAAAGCAACCTTACCATTATCTATGTTTGTAATAGGGTATGGAATTGGACCGATGGTATTCTCGCCGATGTCAGAAAATGCGATTTTTGGTCGAACCTCCATTTACGTCGTTACAGTATTCATTTTTTTTATTTTACAAATTCCCCAGAGTTTTGGTTCTGCAACTCATTCACTTACTTCTCTTTGTGTGCTTAGACTTTTGAGTGGAATCTTTGCTTCACCAGCATTAGGTACAGGTGGTGCCAGTGCTGGAGATGTAGTGACTGCAGCTTACATGCCCATGGGAATTATTGCGTGGAGCTTGGCTGCTGTGTGTGGGCCGACAATTGGTCCATTGGTTGGTGCGGCTATAATAAGTGGCACAAATGGTCTGTGGATTTGGACGCTAAGGTTTATGATGATTTTATCAGGCGCCTCATTTATCTTTTTCGGACTCACTCTACCAGAGACTCTGTCCAAGGCAATCTTACGTCGAAAAGCTCAAAGATTACGAGCAATTAGTGGTAATACCAATTTTAAAAGTGAAGGTGAACTTGAGAACGAAGATATGTCCATCAGTGAGGTGATGATTGACACTTTGTGGAGGCCTTTTGAGATATCACTTTTTGAACCTGTGATTCTACTGATTGATCTTTATATTGCCTTGATATACTCTATATTGTATCTATGGTTCGAGGCATTTCCCATCGTATTTATTGAGGTTTATCATTTCACTATCGTAGAGTTAGGAGTATCTTACGTTAGCGTGTCAGTTGGTATAGCTATGGGCTCATCGATCTACATTGGCTATATTTACTTTGCTTATACTAAAAAGCTTTTGACAGGCAAAAATGAGGATGTCAGCCCGGAAGTATTCCTACCACCAACGATTGTTGGGAGTGTAATAATGCCCATAGGTATCTTAATCTTTGGTTGGAGTGCTAGTGCTGGTCTTCATTGGATTGGTCCTATGATAGGAGCAGCTTTATTTGGTATGGGGGGCTTCGTAGTGATACAGGCACTTTTCAATTATATGGCCATGTCATTTCCGCAATACATAGCGTCTGTGTTTGGCGGAAATGCCTTGTTTAGATCGATTATGGCTGGATGCTTTCCTCTCTTTGGTGCTCCGCTTTACAACAACTTAAAGAATTACAAATATCCTGTAGGATGGGGTTCTACTGTTCTAGCTTGCATCTGCGTGGGCATGATTGCAATACCAGTAACATTTTATAAATTTGGGCCCAGTATTAGAGCGAAGTCAAGATATTCTGGGATTTAATAGAATCATACGCTATTATTGTCTGAAATTTCGGCGTAATTGTAATATATTTGGAGAGCTCGGAAGATTGAAATAATAATGCCGTAGCGCGCAATTCAATAGAAAAGATGCATTTCAACTATACCTATATGAAGTAGGCCTCTCTTAACTTCGCAACGCTTCTTTACCGCTAGCTAGCTCGTCAAAGTAGTTACGAATAAATTTAAAGGAGACAAGAACTTTGATTGGGAAAATTATTTGAGTTGATTTTCTGTCGTGCTCCACAAGATCAAGTTTATATTTTCGGCATATGAAAAGGCGAGACAAAAACATGAATCAGATTTGTATAGTGGTCACAAAATAAAAGCAGCTCTCTCTGACACACTCAGGTGACAGTTTAATTGAAGGATCAAAACACTTGGCAACATCTATTGCAAACTCCTGTAATCCAATGATATAATTCCTCGTCGATAACTTGCATAAGTTTTTGGTTCATAATCAGTGTTGCATAAATTAAGCAGAATTGATTAGGATAGTACTATGACTGCTGCATTGAGAGAAGGCCATTAAAATATGAGCCCCTGCTGATATAATATTAAACTAAAACAATATGGGGTCTTTAATATTCTTCAAACTTAAATCTCTTAGTCGATTACATGTTTTGTATACTTCATTTTCTTCTAAGGAAGACCCTCACAAACATTGAAGCAGGTAAACACACATTTGAAACAAAGGAAATAAACGATGAAAACTTCGATGTCATCTAGTCACAAATCTACAAGAAAAAAAAACTCGCCTCGAAAAAATCATGTAGACAACGATTAAACACTTTTACTCTATTTATTTCGCTAGGCTAAAAAAATTACCTGCAAAAATTTAAAATTTAAAATATTAATATAACTAAACTCAATCATGGTGAACCATGTCCTGTAGATACTTTAAATTCATATGAACAGTCATATAAGGTGCACTTTAAAAAAATGATAACATGAGATCACTTATTAAGAGCATCGCCCAAATTTAAAAGCAATCCTACCAACTTACCATGGAAGTTCCAGACCGTCGTAACTTAAAAATTTACCATTGTTTTCAGGCTTTGATGAAAGAAAAAGTTTTTCCAATGCTTCGGCGCTCTGATCTGGAGTAATAACGCTAGAGGGGTCAAAGAAATCAGCCATTTTTGGATCAAGAGCAATCAATTTTTCCGCAAAGTCTTTTCCCATATCCGTGCCGACTACGCCTGGGTGCACAAGTACTAAAGTAAATCCTTCAGACTTCAACTCGTTAGCCATTTCTTTAACTGTGTAGTTGAGGGCTGCTTTTGATTGTCCGTAAGCAGAACGAGGAATTGGAAGCTCCATAGTAATGGATGCCACTACACTTGAAATAAAGAAAACCTTTTTGGTACCACCCTTTTTGATCAAAGGATAAAACTCTTGTAACAACAGAATAGGGCCAAGAACGTTGGTGTTGTAGTGCTTGATCCAGCTGCCTCTTTCAGTCGAAAAGGAAGAGCCAGTAATATCACCAATTCCACTGTTTGAGATGAAAATATCAATCAGATTAGTGACTTTTGCAGCAGCAGCTGCTGCCTCACGAATACTCTCTTCGCTGTTTACATCCAACTTGATCACGTGAACGTTTTTATTCTTCTTCGCCAATTCTTGCAATTCAGTGGCTGATGCATGATTTCTTGCCGTGGTAAGGACCTTAATTTTAGTGTCCTGGCTGAATAACTTTACCAAAGCAAATCCGATTCCACGGTTGCCACCTGAAATAAAGACTGTTTGTTGAGACATCTCGTTTTGAATTTTGCTTTAATTGTACGTAAGCGAGCTTAATTTTACTATCTATTTAATACAAATAATCGTAACTACATGGTGCTTTTTATAATGTTCGATTAGAAATACGTTTTTTGCAATTATTAGAAATGGATGTTGCGATTTCTCAGCAGTCCTGTTTGTGATTGTTTGAACCCAGCCGCATCTTACAAATCGAATACAAACGTTAAGGATACATGCAGGTTTGATAAGTTACCAATGATAAGTTACCAGTGATAGGTTGCCAGTGATAGGTTACCAGTGATAGGTTACCAGTGATAGGTTACCAGTGATAGGTTACCAGTGATAAGCTACGAATGGTGTGAGATCATCGGCCAGCGCGTGAATAACTATTCCGAACATTAAACAATAAGAAAGTAGATAGAGCTTGCGAAACTAAAGGCACAACATTTGGAGGTATGTGAATTGTTTCATAGTTAACGAAGGAGAAGTAGAGACTATTAGACAGATAATAATCTACTTTCATATATCGTCACTTGCGCCACAACTTTTCTGGAGTACTGCTTTTTACACTAAGTAAATTAATTGTCTGTTATTAAATCATGCTCTGGAGCTGAAGGATTAAAGTTTATTAAATGAAATTGTATTTTCTATGAAAAACTACAGTAGTGTATTGATTGAAACAAGCTTCATATTAGTATACTCAAGTCTTTAAGGCTTTTGTTGAATGATGAGCTGACTGGTCCTACAAAAAATATGACCGAAGCAGCAACGTCTCAAATCTCTCATACCTAATATCTCTATCCATTTGAAATATTTCACTTTCTTGAAAGTCTTCAAAAATCAAATGTATCACCATCTAAGTCACATAGTTCTTATTATGGATAGATTGCTAACCCTTGAGCACTAGCTCCAGCCCATTCGCCAACTTTGAAAGATTGGACAATAGACTTGTGTTGGCTGTCTGACACTGAAAGGACACCAATCTCAGCATCTGACCCGCTCTTGCTACCGGGTGAAAGAGCATAAACATAATCCCCAGCAGCTGCGATATCTATATAACCAGTCGCATCATTACTATTTGTTGTATTGATAATCGAGAGGATAGATGCATCTGTCAAACTCATCTCTACTATGTGGTTGACCAATGGGTCAGTGACAAAAGCTGAATTAGAAGAGGAAGATATTGCCGCCCAGCACGTAGCCATTTGTTTTGGAATCTCTTGCTTAAAAAGGAGCCTAGAAGTCTCATTCATCTCATTGACTGAGATAATGGCAGCACCAAAGGAAGCATCAGCAACGAAATAATTGTCTGACTCAGGAATCTGGTGCAACCCAAATAATGCACCTGTTCCGTTCACAACACTTCTGATATCAGCAGCAGATACCCTAGCCTGACTAAACAAAGAAGAACCAAAGACAGAGTATACCGAAACAAACCCCGTTTTGTTTATAGCTGGATCTCCTTTTACAGTAGTTATGAGTAAAGATTCATCTGTCGAGAAATACGTTTGGGAAACAGTGTTCAAAGGACCGACAGGTGGAGTGGATTGATCAAGATCAAAAGGCCTAAGGAAGTCTAATTCACCGATACCAACGTAGGGTGAATACGGGGCGCAAGACACTCCAGCCTTTTTTCCGCTAGTTCCAACACAAACCAAGCGATTCAAAGCAGAAGCAGTCACAGTTACTGGGAACTCGCCGGGTACTTTTGAAGGACTTCCTAAAAGCTTTAAGTTGGTAGGCTCAAACTCATCAATGGAAAACATGGAGACCGTATCATCTCCAGCGTTGACAGCAAAGAGAGTTGTTCCTACTACCGTAACGGACCCTTGACTACTCAATCCATCAGGGCTAGCTGACATGTTCGTTGCACTGCTAATAGAACTCGCACCTGAACCACCAGTACTTGTAATGGTTCCTTCAACCAAAGTACCATTTTCAAGAATTTTAAGAGCGATAATACTATTTGTATCCTCGTTAGTTTGAAAGTAGAGTGCTCGACCAGCCTTTGATCCAACAATAGAAGTTAAATCTGAAATTGGATAGGTTGGCACACTCTGAACAGCTTGAAATAATCCAAAGCTTAACACCAACACTTTTGAAAGTAAACTGATTAATTGCATTTAATTTGTGACTTCTTTCAGGGATTGTTCAAGATATCAAGATTAATTTGAAATTGTAACTTGAAAGAAAAATTACTGAATGCATACAAAGACACAATAAGTTTGCTTCATTATATATCAATTTGCTTTATTTTCAATGCAAGGTTACGTAGCGTTCAAGGCTTGATTTCATGTCAACTAGTTTTATAGTCATAGTTTGAGTTATATTCTTTTCCAAATCAGGAGCAAAGATTAGTAATTGTCCAATTTTACAGCACAATGTTGTCACATAATTATTTGTAATACGAACCTCAAATCAAAAGTTTTCATATTCGCCAGTTTTGGCTCTTCCTTTCCTAAAGAGGACGGATGAAATCTCTTTATACACCAAAGAAATCTCATTACTTCCCTGTTATGGGAAGCGATCCAACTCACCGAACTTGCATACCACAACATTGTATACAGGCTTGTTATCTGAACTTCTTAGTATTGCTGGAAGAGACTATGATTTAAAAAAAACGGCGGTACTGAGAATCGAATTTAACAGTTAAGACGATTATTAGAAGCCAATGCCACGAATCCCTTCTTCCTGAAGGGACAGTTTCTGTCGAACAGCTGTCACGAAGGAATCTAGTATGAAGGAACCTGTTACCAATGAACTTCATATTACTGGACTTGCGTGGTCATTCGAAGCCACTGAAGAAGATAATAATTCCAGATTTGGAAGATATTAGTGCGTTGAAAAAGGTGAAAAAAAAAGTTCGATGAAGGATGTGCTGTATAGAATGTGCCATAGACCACAATAAATTACTAAATTTGATCTTTGGCGTCTTTATCTTTCACATTGACGTATGATTAAGGACCCTAGATGTTTTTAGCAAATTAAAAGGAAAAAAATTATGTAAGATTATGAGTTTGCATCATTGATGCGTGTGCCAATCGATAATTTACAATACTATTATTGAACGTAATCCGGTTTTTATTTCTTGTTTTCCGCGTTTATCAGAATTTTCTCAACACCCTTATCAATTCTAAAGTTGGCGCGGCTAAGAGCATTTAAAGTGATAGATTTAAGAGCAATATTCAAAGGGCACTAACATGTTTTAAGACCTACATAATAGCATAGTTTGAAATATAATTAAAAGAGAGCAATAAACACTTCAAAGTATCGCTGGATGTCATCATCCACGTGAGTAGAGTAAAATCTCCAAAAGGATAGTAGTATTGTGATGACAAGAGTGAAAGAAGAATATTATCAATTCTTTGGTTCAAAGAAGTCACATTGAAGTTAGTATAGTAGGTTCAATGTTCTGCATAAATAGATAGTCTTTGGTGTCCTTGCTGGCCGTGTATGCTTTTATAAATATAAATATCGACTCATTTTTGTTCATTTGCCATTCCATATTTAATTAAAAATATTCAGTATTTGTTGAGAAAAAGATCATGATCATATATACCGCGATTAGTAATGTCTTTTATGTTAGATTTACGACTTAACAATAAAAGAACGTGAGCTAACTCTTATGGTGAATACTTAATCGATAAAAATGAGTGATAATAAGAGTTTTTATATGATTCAGTGCAAAAAAAGGGAATCAGAGACTTTATGAGTGAATTAAATGAAGTTCACTTTAGGTCTTGAATAAATGAGTAGTTTAAAAGATATACTTTTTATCAGTTATTACCGTTTTCATATCTCTCAACTCTGTCGACTATTTGTTGTACCTTATTAAAAAATTGATGCAATGCCTCTTTTTTGACCTCAGAAAACTTCGACGATTCTTAAAAGGGGAAAAGGGAAAAAGTCATAATAAAATCTTTGAATTTGCTGCCTCCGCTGATTCTCTGAACGATTGTAAAGTTTAGAGGCAGCCCCAGGAACTTCTTTGTAGTTGAATTTTATTGGATTTAAAAGATACGATTGTAAGTAATGTGTTAATCATTCTATAGTAGCTTGGGAATCTTCAAAAGAGAGGAATGCGTTTTTATTTGAAAAAGTCCTTGAGCCGTACCGCCTACATTGTATGAATATAATGTCGTTGCGAACGCTAAAGTAGTTATGTTCCATCACGAACTTGGTAAGATGGAAATAAGTTTCTGCTTTGTTGCCTTGACCCATCTCTATGTAGAGGTTACGAATAGTTTCACATCCCTCATTTGTTGGGATATTCGTATAGAGACTTGTAACTTTGGGAAAAGTATGTCCCTGAAGATTTGTTTCTTAATTTGAATGACAGGTCTTATACCACTTCAGAGAACCTTTCTTCGATATCGTAACTCCTAATATTTTCTCAGATTTAATCATTATTAAAGTTCATAATTACCTTTGACGCGGATGCTGGAGTTAGGTATTCAAAAGGTGATGAAAATTATCCAAATCAAGGAAACTCAAACCAACTCCTCGAATAATTAAAGAAAAAAGTAAAGTTATACAGTCATTATCGCCTTAATAACAGAAATAAGACTACAGTACTGTTGATAATGCTAATATGAGAAACTAAAGGAATCTTCACAAAGTAATACTTATCACCAAATGTAAAGCCATATTATATATACCTCTTATTTTAGTGGATCCCTGTAAAGTAAGTAGTTGATTGCTTTGAACGTCCTTGGTATCAAAGGAGCTGTCTTAGCGCCGCAATTCTCAATGTTTTGTCTCAAAATTTTCATGCAAAGAAATCAACCTGAAAGGAAAACTTCCTGATGATCACTACTTTGATATTTTGACAATTACAGAGACAATGCAATACTGCAGTTTGCGACGCCTCTCATGGACTTATATGGAAAATTGCTTCGCCTTCTAGAGAACCACCAATTTTAAAACCATAGGAGCTCGTATTAGATAAGTGTTAATTAATCTTCAGTACAATGTTCTAAAAGTGCGCAGTTTGAAATACGTTTGAAAAAGAAACTACTATTGGTAGAAGATTGCAATGAGAATAATAAACACGACTAATTTATTTTATTTTTTGTCTTAGTGAAGGAAAAAAAGGACCATAATAAAGCGGTTCTTTCTACATAGTGTGGTCTCCGGAATCATAGCTTTTAAGCTTTTGTTGCAAAAGTTTCACCTTCCTCAAACAATTGGAGCCGAGAAATCAAAAAGCGAGAATCTTAAAATATTAAGCAAATCAAGGCTAACTGAATCATTTTGCCAATTGATAATCTACAATTACCTTCATGATAAGAAAGGTGAACTGAGGGGGGATCATTGGCAGCTACAATTCATGTATTAACAACACTAGCACTCGAGTGTGCGCCTGGATTTTAGGCTGATTATTCTGCTAGTGCTGTTTATATACAGGCTATTATCAAAAAAAGTGGTAATAGTGGTGTATGCAATACGCATAATATGTTTTAAACTTCGAGAACAAGGAGCATATAAGTTCAAGGGAGAGGTCCATTACTAAGGTTTATGGCTAAGCAATGTCAGATATAACAGAGTCAGAAAGGCGGCTGATTGGAAGAAGGATGCAGATGCATCCT